TGTCCTATGCCCTTTATGTCTAATGGATTAGTCTTGTCGAAGTTTGTTTCAGGAATTTTGCTATTGTGTTGCATTCTTTAGTTTTTATGCTTAATTATTTAACTGGATTGGTTAGTTCGTATTTTCTTTTCCTTTCAGAGTGTAAGTAGTCCATTATGTCTATTTAAAGCTAAGTTTTGTTTTTTGAATTTCTTTTGTTTACTAGTGTTTTGATTGTAATTGTGTTGTTTACTATGTTTTTCGTTATTCACTCTCGCACACATACATAGGGAGAGAGAGGAAGAGTGAGAGAGAGAAATTGTGTGGGTGTCTTAGAGAGAGTGGAGTAACGGCGTAAAAGGGTCCCACCTCAATACCGCAAATAGAAATCGATAGAGGTTCTCATCGATTATAGTTAACAACAGCTTTTATGATTTTGCATAATAGACACAATCAATGAACTACTAACATCAATAAAAATGTTTCCTGTCATAAACATGGGCTTAACATCCAGTTAACAGTTGGATGTCGCGGACGCGGAGTCAAACCACTTTACATATACTTTTTTCATACTATTCCCAGTTAAAAAGCTTGGGCTGTGCCGGAAAAACGCACTAATTTCGGGATTCGAATTTTTGGTGTGACAAATATGAGACATTTGAAAAATGGCAAAAAAGAGGGAAAATTCGAATGGTTGTAGATGGGGAGTTGGCGTCCGAGTGGATCGAAGTCACGACAGCTCAAGTGATTAGAGGAGAGGCGTATCGAGACGGAAGTTGTGGGTTCGAACCCCGCTCGTGACACTAACTTTTTCATCTCAAGCAAGACCATACAGAAAAAGAATAATTAATTGAAAGGACTAAAGATTAAATTCGCCGATAGTCAACCGTTTTGTAGAATTCATCCAAGAGCCCTCTGCCACGAATTAAAGCCACGAGAAGACGAATCTGGTCAACGAGATTTACCCCGTGCAATGGTTCATTAACCCACCGGGTAATAAAAATGAAATTTGCCCATTCGGCGTAATTGACTGACCCGATGTGGCCGGCTCGTGAACACCTCTTAACCTCGGTCAACTACGCCTTGTTTGTACATGAGGCACTTCGCGGTTGGCCAAAGTAGACGGGCGCAATGTGCTCACGAATTGTTTATCCTCGTGCGACCTTGTCAAGATTATAAATACCATCCCCGCCATCGTGAATACACGCGCGGCGCATCTGTTCTGTAATCGTAGAGTTTTCCCTCCCGTTTCGCCTTGGGCCAGTAACAATTTTCATCTCCTGCCGAGGGTCGTGAACCCAAAATATACCCAGTTCATAAAATTCAGATAGGAATTTCCTATCCTGATACACTAAAAATAAAATAAAAAATTCTTTGCGCGCCCGCCTGTCCTTTGCCGCTAGGCGGAAACAATGAAACAGCCTTGACAAACAACGAAAAATAGCTGCGTTGGGAAAGGGCACGTACGTAAATACAATATAATAATAATTTTTACCTCCTCCCTGGAGAAGGTTGCCGCGTGGTCTGTGGTGCCAATCTTACGCGTATTTAAATGTGCAATCACTTGGTGTTCAGAAACCCTCCTTTCTTAAATTATTACAATCCTTTTGTTTTATAACCGCATGTGGCGATTCTGCGCAGTTTTTGTTTGTTTGTTGACCTGGTCGGTTAGCGGGAAGTCGCGAAAGTGCTTTGTACCCAGTTGGCGGTCTTCTTCCTTTTTATTCCTATAAAAAGGTATTTACTTTAAAATGTCCTTTCTGTGTTTATATCGCTGATTACAAAATTCATGATATAAGTGCCCGTGTTTTCATCTCGGTTTTCATATTTCATATGACTTTTTAGTTTTATATTGAGTCTTTAAAATTCTATCTTGAAAATATCCACGTGTTTATTGTTACAACTTACTAAGTAAATTTTTCCTTCGGTCTGTACCTTTTTAACCATGCTGAATTTCGCTATCTGACCTCGAAAATATTGTAAAACTTTTGATCTTACCTCCAACAAAAATTAAATCTTGGGAATTGAACACAGACGGAACTTAGCATAGTATAGCGGATCAGGACAAGCTTTCAACAACTAGCAGACGTTGTAACAGTATGGCTTCTGTTAATGTGAATACAAATCGCACAACCGCAAGAAAAGTGACACATCGCAACAAAAGAAAATTTTACAGGAGATGGAAGCTTACTTTTTGATTAATGTATTAAGTACACGCCACTACAGTTGTTGGCAATAAAACCTGTCATGAACCATCAACATTTATTGTCTTTCGTTTGTCCAAGACTTAAGTTAAAACACAAAACTTTAAAATCCAGCTGTACTACCCCTAACAAGCTACCGCTTTTTTGTGACACTTTTCTTGCATTTATTGGTTCTCAGTAATTTAAGTTTGTTTGCTCTAAGATAATGTTTGTCAGTGAATGACAAAGGGTATTAATTTCTTTGTGAGTGACAGACAACAAACAAACCTAATAAACGAGCATAAATATCCGTTACAAAAAAACATATTTGTACAATTTATTTAACAATTGTTTTTCTTAATGTGAAATTAGGCCCTGAGATGATGACCTTTAAATAGGTCGAAAGCTTGGTAATAACAACTGAATTTGCTTTTTTCTTTTAAGACCATACCTTGACCCAGAGTGTTCGTTAGTGAAAAATTGGTCGATAGTTGGAACAATGAAAACTAAAACAATTCTAAAATTAGTACTACTTTGCTCTTACAATGAAGAGAAAAACTGCAGCATAAGAGCTCGGAATGCTGTTAGATTCCGTTAAGGACATCCAATCTTATTTTTTCGCATAAAATATAATTGTGATACTTAAATATTTACAATATTTCGATTTTCTGTAACTTTTTTGACCTGCAACCTCTGAAGCTGGCATTCATGCTTCTCAGATTTCGTCGCCACTTTTCGAGAGTGGAGACTGCGTTCCCGCCAATTCAAAATGACATTGGTGCTTCCTAGAAGCTAAGAGTTCACATACAGTGATGTCATTTATCCTGTAGCATCACACACCCGAATACTTAAAAAAACACCTAAATAATCCGATTTTTAGAATTTTCCGACTTGAGTCCCTTTTCTTGTGGGTGTGCGGAATTGGAAAAGTAAAAATTTGTGGTTTGGTCGTGGCTGTTGCCTGTCAGAAGCGTTTAGGCATCATCAGTGTTGGGTTTATTATTAAGACATTTCCGTTCCCGAGAACTCATCGTCAACAAGACAAGAGAATCTTTAGCGTCCGCACCTGGCCTTTTCGGCCTTATCGGACGTTTTGATTCTCAAGATGAGAGCTGACGGACCTCCGCATACGACGGAATAGTGTTACCGCCGCAGCATTGGTGTAGAGGCGCCCCAGCCCCTAAGGGCCAAGACAACCTCGCTCTCCGTTTGTCCACTCCGAATGGTCGGGCCGGCATTGTGCATCGGGTCGTATGCCGCACGCAAAGGGCTAACAAGCTGAAATAGATCAGCCTGTTCTCCCGCGTACTCCCTAGATAGAGAAGGCCACTCTATCTCCATGAGTATAGGGGCTCCCCTATCGTAGAAACTTCCAGGAACGCCCCGGCAGCGGTTTAGTTTAAAGTGGAATTGCTAACCACACCCTAGATGAGCACCGCCTACGGTAAAAAGTCTCTTATCGAGCTCAGCCTACACCTGCCATGCGCATTCGAGGGACGCCATAGGCTCAGCCTAGGTGGTCCGATCCTTCGCTTCCCCAAGGGGTAACGCCGGTCATACGCACAACAATTCAAAGCATACTCGAGTCAGAGAAACCGATTCACTACCCGTTTCCGTTCGCTTACTCACGCATTCGAGGGACTATTAAGCATGATCATCGCGTCCTCAACGCTTTCACGCTGTCGTCCGGTCGCAACGTCTCCAGTGAGGCCGGGGGTAATAACGCTGGTCATACGCAAGCTTCACGAAGGTCACAGATAGAAGACAGCCTCTGTCTACGTTCCCGCCAGGGGCGTCACCACGTACCACCACGAAACCGTTCCCAGTGTAACTAGGGCTGATTTTGGAACTTTTTAGTTACCCCGTGGTACAGATGGTCATACAGCGCCACTAGCCAGACATGATCTAGTGCACTTGCCCTCGTGTGACTCTGCTAAGGCACCCGCCGCCCATGCCGACACGAGTACAGCTTGTGCTTTAGAGAGGTTGCCACGCCCTCTGGGCTGCACCTTTATTTTGTGCCCGGATACCCCCCTTGCAACCAAGGTTTGGGAAGGTCAAAGGGTAGAAAGAAGGAACTTGGATTGAGAAAAAGGGCCGTGGATGAGAACACGTGGTGAGCCGTTTCGGGGTCTCGAGTCTCAAACCACTCTATACCACCCGTCGTCGCCGTAGTTCCACTCATAGTGGGCCACGACTCCCAGGGTGGGTTATTATTATGACAGGAAGGCAATTTCATTTCAACTGCAATAAAAGTAAATAAACATTCTAACCATGCTGCCCTGGAGGGTAGCATTGTTGTTTATCCCCGCAGACCATAAATACTGCTGGTTACCGTCTGCAAGCCGCTAAAACTAATTACAATATAAATAAAAATTGTTTGCATAGTTCGATTAAAGTTATGATTTTTAATAAGTAAAGCGATAATTTCTAAAATAACTCTTAATTATTGAAACGGGGATAAACAGCAAAACAAATGATTCAAATGTATACCATCATTAATGATTGAAAGCACAATTACATAGTATTTGTATTTTATAGTGTGATTAGACTGCCCTTTCGCAGATCGCCAAATATAATGTTGACAATTAGTTCGAGAAGAGGGGAATCCATTTTCATATTTAGTTACCAGTCGTACTACTTATCCATAATTTTCCATGGCATGGCGTTTTTACCCAAAGGACAATGTATCTAAACTCTACCCAGATAAACTGAACTACCTTCTACTGGGCATAGCTAAGAAAACTGCAATTGTTTTTTTTTTACGTTTTTGTGCCGAATTTCGGTTTTTTATATTTCACTATTTTGTCACTAACGTTTTTGTTTTGTTTTTTGCAGGGAGGGGTTAGGTTGGATGGGGAGGGGGAGGCAGGATGGTGAAGACGTTCCAGGCCTACTTGCCAGATTGCCACAGGACTTACTCCTGTATTCACTGCCGAGCGCACCTCGCCAATCACGACGAACTCATATCAAAGGTAAACACGATCAATCACCGTCACCTTGACGCTTTGTCATTATCCCACGAACGTAAAACAACCCAATCTAATCATTGACTATGGGCCATCGCTCACTCTTTTTCGACTCGGGCGTCTTATCGGTCATTACGGAAAACAATTCTTCCCTTAGGATATACAGGAGCGAAACCATCAAACATCTCACCGGCCCTTTTTCAATGCACGTCTCTTTTCAGGTAGAACGTAAATATTTTGACTCTTTGAGTGATCAGTTATACTACACATCGCAATTCATCATACATACATGGTCCTAGAATATCGTCCCCACATTTACTGAGAAAATTTAAAAAAAAAAATTAGTCATGAGCGCCAGATCTCGTATTATATTACCCCGGATTACTAAAGAATGTTATGTGGCCTCTTTGGCACAAATAATGGCATTTATAAATAACTTTGATATCGGTTACATTTTGTGGAACCACTGGACAAAAGCTATCCAATTCAGCTCTGCTAAAGAAATCGGCCGAGATCATATTGGATAGTCTGCGCACGACCAGCCAACCAATCATTTTAGTTTGTCTAGATGCAGTGGCCGTAACACCCCATTACCCGACAGACCTCGACCGGTCATCACACAATGAAAAATTAAAGCGAGGAACACTCTTACCCAATGCAACGTTATGCGACGCTACCCGACGCAAATCTGAAGTCCAATTTTCCATAATATTGTATTACCCCCGTACACATCTGCCCGATGCCACGCAACGCTACGCTACGCGATCCCCACTTCCAGATTTTCGTCGGGTAGCATCGAGGACAGTCGAAGACAAAAGAGCCGGGCATTCATATTTTTATTCAAACTACATATATTATTTTCGTTATATTAATTACAACATACTTATTTTAGCATTAACCAAATTAACCGAGATCAAAAATTCATTAGTTTTTTTTTAAATTAATTTTAATGGTTTGTTATAAAATTGATCAAAACACCGGAATACCATTTTTTGATATAATGAATTTAACTAACAATTTATTACACGGTTTTGCTCATAAAATTACACCATTTTCGTCGAGTAGGGTCAGAACAGGACACTCAGATTTTTTATAGTTTATTTCAAACTAAGTATACGTAATTTTGTCGTTATATCAATTGTAACATTGATATTTTAATGTAAACCAAATTAAACGAGATCAAAAATCCATAAGTTTTTATAAAAATTATTTAATTATGATGGTTAGGAAGAAAATTTATCGAAACACCGAAATAACTTTATTTAAAACAACTAAGTTCAACAAACAATTTATAACATGGTTGTGCTCATAAAATTTAACTAACAATTTATTACATGGTTGTGCTCATAAAATTTAACTAACAATTTATTACATGGTTGTGCTCATAAAATTTAACTAACAATTTATTACTTGGTTTTGCTCAAAATAATGCATTAAGAACAAAAGAGGCGTTGCGATTGCGATACTGATTTGTGTTACACGCTGTGACTGTACGTGGCGTGCGCTTGACGTCGCATAGATGTGCACACCCAGCAAAACGTGACAAGGCGTCGGGTAGTCTGTTCCCGGCTTAATGCTTACTAGTGTATAAGTGTACGTGACAAAATCAAAGTAGCAAATAAAAATTAAATAAGTGTTTAAACACATTGGAATACTTTTTTGTATTAAGATCAATTAAAAAGTCAAGGGCTGTGTCCGGCTTACAACCAAGAACCGTCTAGTATGGCAAATACTTATACACTTATCGGCTACCGCTGTCCTACTAAATTGAATATATCATGCACAAACGAAAGAAAAAAACAACTAGCAAAAGGTTAATCTTGTTTATCTTTTATACTCCTGTTACTCTTTCATTTTTGTCTTATATAAAAAAATTTGTTGTCTTGCCACCAGACACCAACAAAAAACTCATATAAAAATTAGATTGCTCAGTGTTTTTATTTTACAAAAATTCTGAATAAACAAGAATTTATCAATTATTGTATCGCACTTAACAAATATAAACTACACAATCCTTTTTCTTGGTTTACTTTTCCCAAACTCTAGTAAAAGGTGGAAGCAAAAAAATAGTGCATTTTTGAATATCAAAATTAAGAACGAAGCTAGAATAGGTGGACCAAAAACCTAAAAGTTGAAAACTGTTAGCGGTTCGCGGCGAATGAAGATTTGGAATTTACAAACTTTCAAACGGTCGGTCACTGAAGCTCATTTTTGTTTTTAAGCATGGCTGGCTGACGTGATTGTTTATTTGGCATGGGATCAAGAATTAGTAATGGATTTAACCAGGCAAATCACGACCGTCATTTTTTTTGTCGTTGTGTATTTTGTGGTCGGTAACCCTTTGCGACCACTGACCAGCCGATGGCGATTATCCCTCCAAATATTTCTTTGCATTGATCACGCGATGTAAGTAAATAAGACAAATATAGGCAACACAAGTAATATCTTTATTCTCCTTTTCAACCGAAAATCAAAATTTTAGTCGGATGATGTAAGTTAGTTTACCTGATTTGAGCATGCATTACACATTATGGTTTTACCCCTTCATCTTATTTCCCTTAATAATTAAAAAGTTATGGATATTTTTAATATTTTATTAAATATTATTAGTGTTTCTTTTATTTTTTTATTAATTGGTTTATATTAAAATTGATATTTTTCGACAGAAATATACAGCTTTTTTCGCGTGTCCTTTTTCGATTTCAAACTTGAAGTGACTATCGCGTAAGTACGCATGGGTTGGGTTAGGTTAAGCGGAGAACAACATACTTATTTTAATATCAACCAAATTAACCGAGATCAAAAATTCATTCGTTTTTATTTATTTTTTTAAATTAATTTTAATGGTTTGTTAGAAAATTGGTCAAAACAACGGAATACCATTTTTTGATATAATGAATTTATCTTACAATTTATTACACGGTTTTGCTGGTAAAATTTAACTAACAATTTATTTCATGGTTTTGCTCATAAAATTACACTGTCGAGTAGCGTCAGAACAGGACATTCATATTTTTTGTAGTTTATTTCAAACTATATATATGTAATTTTGTCGTTATATTAATAACAACATTCTTATTTTAATATAAACCAAATTTACCCGTACCCTTGGAGCCGTCAGTATACCAGTAGGAATTTCCCTTTAGTGGTGTTACTTTGGCCCATTCTTCCCGTTCTGGTATTAGTACTTTGTACTTTTTGGTTTTGGAGTAGAGGCATCATTTGGCATACCTAGAATGGCACCTGCCTGTATCTCCTCCCTCAGCTTCCATTGTTTATTTACATGGCCTATCCTAGCAGATGGTTGTCCATTTATGAGCCTTTGGGCTGCTGCTCTGGCTTCTCTTTGGATTAAAATGTGAAGTGGTGGGAGGTTTAACAAAACTCCCAGGGCTGCAGGTGGCGCTCATGGCACCAGTGAAACTGAGACAAGCTTGTCTTTGGGTGCCAATTGATAGCCTTATTGCTTTTGCCTGAAGAGTTTTGGTCCACCACATCACCGACCCATATGTCAACATTGGTTTTAGGACACAGGTCATAGGGTCATTTTGGGGTATAGACCCCAGTTCTTGGCGCAGAGCCTTCTGCACCTCCCCCTAGGCGATTTTCGCTCTTTGGGTAGTTTTAGTTAGATGTGAGTTCCGACCGGAAACAAATTGAATATCTTCCTTTCCCAAATAGATTTGCAACACAGGATGCAGAATAAGATTGTTTTTTTCAATTTTGCATGTATTGGAAAACCCTTCGCACTCTAAAACTAATTATTGCAATTTGACACAATTTCTCTGTAACAATGTAAGTTTTTTTAATCTAATCACCCTACTTAGCTACTTACTATTCAATTTGAGGCCCAATTTACAATCGCTAAGTTTCGCTTTTTTAACAGCTGACACAGATGGATCGCGTGAGGCTTTCGAAAAATATTTTAACTTTTAATTCTGAAATTGATGTGTCAATCAAGAGGGATGTATTAATGCAGATATCCACAAAAGTCTGATTCATCGCCAATTTTTCAGTCGTTGAAACAAGAGCTGAAAACGGCAAAATCCGAGATGGATTGTTTTTTGGCACAGACCCATTAAATAGTTGTGCCTGCTATAAATAATGCCCGGTCCCTAGGCCAAGGTGAATAAGGACACACCCCGGCACCCTAACGGTACCTCATCCCGGGCTGACTGAAATACCCCTGACATCTCCCCTCCGTCATTTAACACGAAAATCATCCCCGCCTGTTTTAAAGTCATCGACGCAAATTTTACACAAAATACATTGAAAAAAAATCTTTTGGTGCTCGGTTGGTATTTGTTATAGGCCAATCGGCACGATCAGAAAAGACAACTAAATTTTGATTGTTGCTAATCATGCTGGTCCATCTATTCTTGCAGTTTTGGTTTGTCAACGTGATTCATCATCTTTAAGGTTGATTTGTGTTTGTGGTACGCACGACGATAGGAAACGACAAAAGTACAAGTTTTATTAAGCCGCAGATTTCAATAATAAATACATCAACATCAGCAACCATTTTTTGACCTTAGCTATCTATCATCAGTAATCGGTAATCGTTAGTTTTTGTATCCTGTATACATTCTCTGACCCCCAGAATATATACATTTATTGCAGACAATCTTTTACCGATCTCAAAATGGGACGTGCGTCTGTGATTGGCATCCATAAAAACAAAATAGATCAAGCATGGCTTGAAACATTAGCAAAATTGGATAAAATTTCGATTCTTGCAGGACACAATGTGAAAAGTGTAAATATTAGTTCTTGCATTGATTTTCGCGTGTTCATAAGAATATATATATATNTATATATATAAAGTGAAAGGTTTATGGGCCGACAAACAGCTGAGGTCATCGCCGGCCCTCCGCGTGTATCCATAAGAATATAAATCAACTACTTTCTAGTATGTAAATTTCACTGCTGCAATATACTCTTTGTATTGTGTATTATTTATTAAATAAAGTATTATTGTTATTTTTATTTTTTAAGAGGGTATTTCAACTACGAGGTTATATGAACTCTCGAGGTACAGTGTTTAAAAAATATCCATTTGCAAAAATGTCGGGTTTCGAATGCAGAGCCGCTGGATTCGAACCCGAGATCTTTACCTTACGATGATGAGGGCGGCCGCGTCAATGCCTAAACCGTTGCAGCCACCGAGCCACACTATTTTTTTCTTCTTTTTTTTAACGGAGAGCTTTAGTGAAGATATACTTCATTTTAACTTATTAAATTGACTAGATTTCGTGGTCCAATTGACCAAATAACATTTTTCAATTAATTTTTATGTACTTAGTTTGTAAATAAACTCCATTTCTCGTCTTTTCTCCATTTTAATCCAATTGTATTCTCTTTGACCATGGAAAGACATCATCTTGAACCAGAGGTTTCCAATATTATTGTGAGAATGAGTCATTGAGGTCACGGGCAAGTGGATATCGTAGAGGTAGTTGGCGTTTCTCAGAGCTTGGTCTTGCGGGATTTAGCCCGATTCCGAGAGACTGGAAGTGCCAATCTGGTAGTCGATCTCTGTGCATTACGACGCTAAGGGAGAACAGAAATATTGTCATTGCTGCAAGACGGAACCCCGGAACCCTTTCCATAGTGCCCGCCAGATCTTAAATGAAGTACAAGATGGTCGGACAAGGCCATTATCAACACAAACGATTCGTAATCGTTTGTGGGAAGTTGGCCGAACATTTAGGCCCCTTTGAGACGACCTGCATCAACAGCCCGCCATCAGCAACTCAGGAAAATGTGGCGCAGCGCCTAGAAGAGAACAACAATTAGAAAGCTACTATGTTTACAGATGAGTCGCGTTCCTATGTGAGAGTTCTAGTTTTTTCTGCTATCACTATACAGACAGAAACTCGACTCATCCGTCCTCCCTTAGCGTCGTATGCGCAGAGATCGACTACCAGATTGGCACTTCCAGTATCTCGGAATCGGGCTAAAGCCCGAGAGTCCATGCTCTGAGAAACGCCTCGATGACTCAGTCTCACCATAATATTAAATCGAATTATCAACTTATCACGTCCCATTGCGGTCGTGTACGAAAACATTGAGAAGATAGACGAAGAAAACTGTAAATTGATTGGAAAAGTTAACTTTGCCTATCGTGCTGTAAAATCAATAACCCTAACCATCTCTACTTTTGAAACGGATGTTACTGTTATAAATTATTTTCGTGGCAATACGAAAACTTAGTAACATCGACATGAATTGAATTGTGGAGGCTTGGATTGATGTCGGCTTGGCGCATGGTTAAGCGAGATTGCAGACACCGACACACAGACCGCTACGCCTGACTGTCAGGACGGTTTAGCATGTCTAGCGCCTGTTTTTCCAGCATCCCTTGTAGTTATAGTCCCTATAAATCTCCAACTGACTTTCAAGATATTTACAAATAATATTTAAAAACATTTATTATTTATTAAAAATAATTATTTTGGTTTTCTTCATAATTAAAATTAATATGCCAACGTTACATCTGATATCAAAGAAGTTTAATTTTAGTTGGTTTATGCTAAAAAGAGAGAACTAAGCAAGAACTAAGAAAAAACCGATTCATCAAATCGTTTTCACAAATGTAAACGCTGTCTGTCCCTCTGGTACGCTATTACCAACGGGGTTTGGGTTTAGCGTTTAAAGTCAAGGGAGAACTGCAATTATGGAATGAGATTCAGTTTATTTTGGTTGAGTTTCACAGAATTGTATTGGTGTAGACAGTTTATCATAGGATATTTACATAAAATTACTTGATAGGTCTGACTAGAATAAGATATAAGGAAACCCGATTATGTTTCCTGGCTTAGCGCTATATGCTAGTGACAGAATTTAACTTCTGAATATTGCGTAAATTGCTTCTCCATACAGCACAATTAGAACTATATTGTATTATGTAATTATTTTATTTGCACCAAGAATTATATTTATAACTATCGCTCACTTTATATGTAGTTCAATAGTTGTTATAGAAAATATATTTAACCAGTTTTTGCAACCTATTTTGTCTGACCAACCAGATGATAAATTTACCATGCTGCAACGTTTATTAAATTTTTGTTAACTAATTATGTACTCAATAAGTTTAAACCATGTGTCAATAAATAAATATCCTATATTATAAATATAAATATTGTATGGGTGGTGTTTAGTGACCGTTAGTTAATGATTATTTGGAGATCGTGAGATGCGCTCTGGTGTGACGCAGGTTTTAGAAAAACATTTCCATTATCGTGCCAACGTTTCGATCTTAATTGAAATCATCTTCAGGGGGTTTATAAGCATGTTTAAATTATACAAATACATGTAGGATGTGAAAAGTGAATTTATACAATGCTGTCATTATTGGGTGTCGTGTTGACAATGCCAGATATTGATGTTTTATGTTTATATTCGTTGGATTTTGTAGGGGTGGGGAGGGAAGTTGGGACAGAAAACATTTTTCCTAGGAGTCGGCTTCTTTGAGGTAAAAGGAGCCGACAATGGGAAAGAATTGGTAATGGTTCGGCCTGATTATCCTTTCAGGATTATACAGACGGGGATAATTAGGGAAAGGAAAGCCAAATTGTGGAAGAATTAGACTATGTAGAAAAGTTTGATGTTTGGAATGTGGTGATTGTTTTATATGTTTATGTTTTGTGTGGTGTGATGATGATATATGTATGTCATTTATATTGAATTTAATTATTGATATTAGCGTAGTTGCGACTGTAATTGATTGTCTGTTCGGTAATTGATGCTGTGTTTATTGATGTAAACCATTTCTAAAAATGTTATGTTTGTTTGTTTCTTTCTGTGTGTAATATTTTTGAATTGTTGAAGTCGAAATTGTTTTGGTGTTCAAAATGGTGGGTAGCCAGTTCTGTAGGATTTTGCTTGGGTTTTTTGCAATCATAGATATATGTTGCTTTACTCTCTTGTCCAGATATTGGGGATGTAAGACCGATGTAAGTTGCCGGACAGTTTAAACAGTTGATTTTGTAAATTACGCCAGACTTATTTGTTACTGGTGTGCGATCTTTAATTTTGGAAAAAAAATCCAACGTATATAAACATATAACATCAACATCTCACTGGCACTTTCAACACGACACCCAATAATGACACATCTAGAAAATAAACACTTTGAGTGAGTACAAATACGTTGATTGTGTCTGAAATTTCTAGCTAAAAAATTCGCTTTTTTCACATCGTACATGTATTTGTATAATTTAAACAATGTTTATAAATCCCAAGCCCTGAAGATGATCTCAATAAAGGTCGAAACGATGGCACGATAAAGAAAATGTTTTTCTAAAACCTACGTCACACCAGGCCGCATCTCACGATCTCCAAATCGTAAATATCATATTTTATTATATTCTACATTGTTGTAAAGAAAAGTTATATTTGAATTATACCATTTGAATAATTGTATAATAGGAAAGATATGGCTTTTCGATTTTTGAATATTCGGTTAGGGTAGTAAGAATTTAGTAGTATAGTAAGGTATTTTTCATGCTGTTCTGCTCAAATAGGAATGGTTTTAAATTATTCAGACGGAGTGAATATTTACGACATGAACCAATTTACAACGTTTCATCCCGACTACCGAATCCATTGGATCATACTGATGTTTGCAGGTGGCGGGTGTTGTTCTGAGCCAGTTTTGGGGTCATGGTCGAGTCCCTTTGTTTTTCTCTGACGTCAACACCGCTCAATAAACCCACACCACCGATATCCACGTGATCCTCCCAACGGTCCAGATTATGCTCGGCATAACAGCATTGGTGACCTTCAAATTTTGACAGACGTCTGGTGGAATCCCGTACTGCTCCTCATTACAGTTTTTGACGTTTTACTTACTTTTTCGTCAATTTCTTTTTGTCCGGTATATCGAAATCATTAGTTGAAATCCATTATATTTTCGTGGTCCGATTGACCAAATAACTTCTTTCAATTAATTAATCTTTATGTAAGGTATTGGTCGAAATGAAAAAGTCAGTGTCACGAGCGGGATTCGAACCCACGACCTTCGGCTAAATACTCCGCTGCTCTACCACTGATCGTGTCTTCGATCCACTCGGACATCAACGTCCGACTTCAACCTACCTTTCGATTTTTCCCTCTTTTTTGCCAATTAGTTGAAATGTTTGTTTTTCTTTGTTTCAGTCTTTCCAAGGGAGTCAAGGCAGAGCCTATCTCTTCAATTCTGTGTAAGTAAACGAATTTTACCAATAACTATTTTGCTGGTTACAATCCCTAGGCCATTCATCTTCAAAACAAAACCAAATTTGTACAGTCCCGTGGCGGGAAAAATAGACGAAACTTTTCGAATTACCAATAAAAGACGAAAAAACGTCAATACAGTTGATTTTTTAAAACTAGTCAAATGCAACCATTTATTACAATTTATATTATTTATTTAAATCTAATAATAAATGCACCTAGATTTACTTAGTATTGTCCTAGTTTAACTAGTACTTGATTGACCTCGCAAATTTTAAAAAATTAACTCAAACGATTCACGCTTCTTCAGATGTATTTGAGATAACTGTGCAGCATGCTGAACTGGGTGTTGAGGTGGGTTTGAATGCGTAAAATGGAATTATCTATATGCGGTGCTTATAAGCATACTGTGCGATCACGATGTCGACGTGCGGGATGTACTGAACTGTGGGATGGTAGTATGAGCATTTTTTTTATATCAACCCTCAGGATGCCGGTGTTTTTTAAAAAAGCCCATTTGTAAGTATGTCGGGTTCGAATGCAGGGCCACTGGATTCAAACCCGGGACCTTTACCTTACAGTGATGAGTGCCATGTCAATGCCTAAACCGTTTAAGCCACCAACGCCCCTGTGATGATAGTATGATACTACTTTACCATTGAACTTTTTTTTAAGTGGTGGGAATTTACGGATTTTTTAAACTTCTTATCATCTATTTCGACTGCTGTTCTATGTCGTAGTTTTTATCTTTTCTTAGCACATGACTCTAATTTGGGGATACTTTATGATTCGCGACCAACTGATCCTTTGTTTTTAATTTAATTTTCAGCCTGATTATATTTTCAATATGAAAGATAAAACTATCACAGTCAGTGATTATATTGTCTAGCTCAATTTTACTAGGTCTACTCGGTTTTCTGACTACCGCTCCGTTTAGTGTTAATATAATGCGAGAGTGATGAGAACTTAAATCAAAATTTTTCTCAATGTATTGTTTTTTGTTCATTTTGGTCTCTTAAAGTCAAACTGATCAGTCTTTGTGATAGTGCTTGAAAAAGATCCATAATTTCTTGCATTATTGCCAGCATTGTAACTAGATTTGGTTCTTGAATCTTCATGTTTGTAGCCACAAATATTATTCCATCCTACAATTTTCCGGAAGTAATTTCTCTAGTCTTAGAAATTGTCTGTTTTTCACTTGCCTACTTTACAGGACACTCATTTTTTCCCCTTCATCCAAGCTCAAGAGTATTGATTTTAATATACCGCAAGCAAAATGTGTACAAATTTAAACATAAAACAAAATTCACTAATTGCGTGGTCCGCTTGACCAATTAATAGATTACAATTAATTAAGGTTTGTAGTTGAGATAAAAAGTCAATGGCACGAGCGGGATTCGAACCCACGATCTTCGGCTTGATACGCCGCTGCTCTACCACTTGAGCTATCGTGACCTCGATCCACTCGGACACCAACTTCCCATCTCAACCGCACCTTTTGAATTTTCCCTCCTTTTTGCCATTTTTCAAATGTCGTGTAATCGGGTTGGATTCTCGACGACTCGATTACATGACATGTGCGGTTGAGATGGGAAGTTGGTGTCCGAGTGGATTGAGGTCACGATAGCTCAAGTGGTAGAGCAGCGGCGTATCAAGCCGAAGATCATGGGTTCGAATCCCGCTCGTGCCATTGACTTTTTATCTCAACTACAAACCTTAATTAATTATAAAACAAAATCTGGTAAATAAAAATAAAATAAACAATCTAGCTCTTGAGTACGGAGATACCCAGTGGTGACCCTTGTAGGCTACGGCTCACTGTCCAACTTGTCACGTTTTGTGTATCAGGATTGATACATCTTTCACAAAAGGAATATTAATGGTAGTAGTAATTAAGGTCATTATGAATTGTACGATTAGATACGTAGAAGAAAGCGTTTACTATTTTCCAGTTTTTGGGGGAGTCTGAATGTGATGATAGTTGTAATGTTTGGTTGAACCCTAAAGTTCAATTCCTTTATTATCTTGTATCTTTAGAATCTTGTATCGTTTGTTGTGAAGTAGTGTGTTTTATAATGTCTAGTCAGTTCCAGGTTCTTTAATATTTAGGTGTATTCCATGTTAGTCATCTGTCAACATTCTGTCCAACATAGCAGACATGATTAGGTAGATCACTTTGCTGTTTATCTTTCCCAAATCTTCACTTCAACATCATAGATTCTGATTATGTCACAGATCTAAAAAATCCTACACTCCTTTCATCTTTTCCTCCTAAACCGTTCTCTCCGTTCAGTATGTTCAGTATGCTATACGCTACCTCAAACCCCCTGAAACACCTTCCCTGGAATCCATAATATTCATTACTTATACATTTATTTCAGTCTACATACAACCTACTCTTCTTCCCAGGTTAATAGAAATAATTGAGGTAGGGAGAATACTTCATTTGTGAATAGAACTATCCTTTACAACTAGTACCCTTTTTCCTGGAAACATTCCATCATCCTTATGATTCTCAAGCCCCAAAAACACAATCAAACTTCCTACAGGCTCATCAGTCTGCTAGCAATTATAGGAAAAGTTCCAGATCGTTTTTTTCTTAAAACGAATCTCCCAATCCTAAATACACCAAAAAATTATTTCCAACTATCAGTTTGGTTTGCGCAGCTATCACTCGCTAGTAAAACAGTTATTTTATTTTTGCCTTCCTTGATTTGGGACAATATTGTTCGGAGGCCTTCCTTAACGTGACCCAGGCTTTTTATAGAGTTTGGCATCCAGGCTTGCAGTTCTTGCCCAAAGACATTCTTCTCTTTACCTTATCCGTTGAAGTCACCTCACAGATCAGTACTTCCGGGCTATTGAAGGGTCGGCGTCTTCCCCAAACTAGCTTACCCTTCCTGGTGAGTCTCAGGGCATTGATCTGGCCCCGTACTGTTGTAGTACTCTCCCATCCTCAAACTACCACCGTAACCCTTGCACACGATACAGTGATCCTTTCAAGTCCCTGATCCAGTCATTTCCACTTAAAGCCTTCAGGAACATGTCACACTACTGGAGTCTTGATGTGAAAAAAAAAAAATCTGAGCGTACGGCATGACCAAATTCCAGCAAGCTGCCATGTGTATCTTTACTTGAACCAATCCACCCGGTTTTTGTCACCCTAATATCTTTGCCTTCTCTTAAGATAGGCTTTTGAAATTTGAAACATAAATTAAGCATAGGTCGCTTAGGATATCGTAAAAAATTTGAGCACTTAATATTATGCCTTTTTGAAAGGGAAGAATTTCAAAATTTGCATATTTTTTACTTACTCACTCACTGGTCATCAAAGTTACAAGGTACTTCCCGAATAGTTAGAAACATGACATTCGGTAAAACTGTAGGTTTTATATATTAAGTAAAGAAAAAAATCTAAAAATTGCAATTTTCCCAAAATTAATGTCTGTTTAGGGGAGGAGGGCGTAGTCTCATCTTCAAATTGTAAGACACTTCCTAAGGTCATAGGTAGAAATGTGAAATTTGGTACAAAGGAACGAAATGTATTGTAAAAATAGGTAACAATCTGAAAGATCAGGGCTCATGTGATGATGCGGAGAAACATTATGTCAGTTTAGGCCTTGTCAACGGATTCATTGGCACTCTTGAGCAAGCCATATGGGACGTTGTACATAAACTCAAGTTAAAGTTCTCGCATGGCTTAGTGTAGGAATGGATTCCAACCAAGTTTGAAGTCATCAGCCAATCTTACGTGCACTAACATCAGTTTCCAGCCATAAACCTAGGAGGTTTAAGTTCATCAAATGCTTTATTGGACATTGGTAACTCAATATCCTTGTGTGGCCAAGCGTAAGTCCACATTGAAAAGCTTCCAGGGAGTTCACCAGATTAACTTTGATCCCTCCCAGGTGAAGACCTAGGATGGTGCGATAGTGTTAAGCAATAAAAAAAAAAAAAAAAAAAAAAAAACAGTGGAGTGAGATTGGCCATAGATTATAATTTATTCTTTGTATAAGCATGGTTGAATTTTTCTTTAGTACCAAATAATTTTTTTAAAATAAATTTTAAAAAATTAAATCTGTATTAGTTTAGTAATAGAATCCCATTGAGGCAGTACATAATTTACAAAGACAGTTAACAGAAAATGAGGAAAAAGCTGGGGTTTTTTTTTTTTTTCATATTATATCACAGAAACTGCATTACAAAATTGTCGTTGTGAATGATTTAAAAAGAAAAATTATCCTCTGTCACATTTGATTAAAAAAAATGAAATGTAGAGATTTTGTAAGCACTCACCTTATATTTTGACGGCCATTTTTTTATTTATTTTTTTTTTTTTTTTAAGCGTGAATGTTGGGTGCGGCCCAGCAGAAGAACGAGTTTTACTCACGGGCCTCCATGCAGTCGCTGACATTTACTGCGAGTGCTGCAAGACAACACTCGGCTGGAAATATGTAAGTAGAGATACACAAGCAGATTTTTTTATGTAGAATGCTTTACACAGAAATTTTCACATTGTTGTCTCGTTTACAGGAGCACGCATTCGAGTCAAGTCAGAAATACAAAGAGGGAAAGTACATCATTGAACTCGCACACATGATCAAAGAGAACGGTTGGGACAACTAGCATCAAGCCACTAGCAGTTCTTGGCGTAGCCTAGAAAGAAATTTTTCATTTGAAGACAGAGACTTTCTGACATCCTAGCTGTGTGGATTGTTTTATTTGTCAGTGTACGCCCTGATGTATCCTAAACTCGTTTTATAATTATAAGTGTGTTTATGTGTTGATAATAATTTCAGTATTAATTTTTCTCTCTGTTTTTCTTTTTCTTATCACCCAACGATGTCATCTTGCATTTGATTTTTCATTCTCAATGGATTCATGCATATTGTCACATTTTAAATCGAATAGTCATGTGCAATAGTTTTTAATAAATAAAAAAAAAGAAAAAGAAAAGAAAGAACTTGTCACCTATTGAGACAATTTAAATATGGGTTTCATTGCTCAGGAAGCACAAGTTTCGAAGAAAAAGAATATATATTTGCTGTTAGCCAATAAGTGCAGGTTGTGTATATCAATGTGTTAAGAATTTTTTTATATTGATGCATACATTGTAACATGCTTAGTCTAGAACACGATTGTAAGAGGGTGAAAGTGAGAGAGAAACTGACTCTGAAAATTTTTGTTTGGAATTCAATCATAATTAAGGCTGCACTCTGTGACTAAAAACACGCTGTCAATGTTTCATCGCAGCGTTTCCGACCGACTTGCTGGTATTGTGAAAATTGTATCACTGTTGTTGTTATCACAAGTTTCTTTCATTGTGCATATTTTGTCCAGGAGTTAGTTATAAAGAGTTAAATATGAAGAAATCCTTCCAGTTTTATATTCTGTACAATACACCATGAATTGTAAAACAGATTATCGAAAAGGAGAATAAGTCATTTACATGTATACATATGTATATAATGTCATGGAAATTATTTTCTATGAAACCTAACTTTCCAGACTCCCCTCCCCAAAGTAAATATTTGATCTTTGTTTTAATAAATTTGTCCATGATCTCACATAGTTATAATATTTTCTGTTTTATATAATTATATACGTTTATGTATATATTTTTTTTCCATTGAAATTTATCACTTTTTATTGAACTTGTTAAGATAATTCCCATTAGCTCAATATCATTTATAAAAAGCGAAGTGCACATAATTATTGTGCATATCCCTAATACAAAATATTGTAAATGTATTATTTAAAAAAAAAAAAAAAAACTTTCTGAGAATCTAGACTGAAATATTGGAAGTTTCCAGTGTTCATTGAAAAAGTAGTCCTACATCATGATAATAATTGAAAAAAAAAGAAAATTACAGTCATGGCTATATCTAAAAGACAAAAATATTTATTTAAAAAGATAAAAAACTGAAAGCTCATTTCAGCCTAAATGCATTTGTGGTTGTTTGTCACTGAAGCGTTTTCCCCTTTTCCTTATCCTACCCCAAATATCACTCGCAATAAATTGTTAAATATTGTACTGGAATAATATTTGTGGCTCAGAGACACACCACAAGAAGAAAAAGTGGAATATATTTTTTTAATAATCAAATATAGATCAATTTCAAAAGTTGGATCAAACAAATGGAAGTTCTGGAGCAAGCCATTGTAGAAAAATGACGAAAGAAAAAAAATGTGCTGTGTACTTAATTTTAGTAACAAGACAATTTTTTTTTTTTTTTTTTTTTTTTCAGAGTCTAGTCTATTGTAAATATTTTTGATGTTTTAAGAGCCAACATTGCTTTGTGTTTTTTTATTCTTTTTGTACCTATTGTTATTATTGATATATTATATAAATGTGATTTATGTGGATGAGAGTCATTGTGAAAGGATTAAAGATTGATACGTTAGATTACAAAAGAGGGAATGTAGTTTGCATCCGCCTGGATACCAAGCTGGTGCCTGAATGTGTTAGGAGGACCAAAAATATTATTTTAAAAAATAGACAGTAAGAATGTATAACTTGTTTTTTATCTATATATATATTGATTAAAAATTATATAATAAAACTATTGAATTAAATATATATTTTGGATTATTTTCATTAGTAGTTCATAGTCGGAGAGGAGGTTTTATAATTACGAGCTTTCGATATGATGTTTATTGTAATTGTTAAGTAAGATTTAATGTTGAACGATTAGTTTTAACTCGGTTATTGCCATAGTGCAGTGCTTGTGCATTGTGAGTAAAAGTGATGTATAAACAAACTATTATTATTTTATACAATTGAAAACTTTGTAAAACATTTATAAATAATAAAAGAGATAAAAAGGAAGCAAAACAGTTATAAATTTTATTGTGTCATATACTGTAAACAGCTCTATTTCACTGGCCTATCTTGAATGTATTTTGAAAGGATATATCCTGCATAATGTGTCACGATAGTCGTAACTTTTGAGGGAATGAGATAATAGAATAGCTGTTGAAATTGTGATATACGTATATAATGTAACAATATGGGTTGACATAGGTCCTTATTATAGCTATTTTCTCATGATGTCTACTATGTATTGTTAACACATGTTTATGAATATTGCTGTAATAGTCGCTAAGGCGCATCGCTTAATAATAGATATTTATAAACATCATCTGTATTTTTTTTTTAACCCACAGATATACAAATATACCGTCAAACTATTAGAAAAGCGTTGATAGATTACAAAGTGCTAGGTGTCATTATGGCTACAAGTGTACATATAAATCAAGTGATTCAAAATGAGACACCTTTAAAATTCTATTGAAAATTATTCATTTACATATGACATTCTTCTTCAAGTTCTTAAGGGAATTAAAGTGTATATGCTCAATGTTTGCACATAATAAAAAGGGGGGAATTAAATATAATGAAAACAAGAAAAGGGAAACAAAATGGAAATAGATTTCAATGCAAAGAACAAAAAAAAGTAACAATGTTAAGAGAGAGAAGGGGAAATGATATAAAAGTTCTTATGTTTTCTACTGGAGAAATAAATGGAAGATACATAAAACATGCATAAAATATCGATAAGTGTGGAAAAAATAATAAAAAGGAGAAAAATGCCCATTTTTGGCATTTTCAAATTTCAGGACATTTTACGTTTCTCATCGTTTCTTTTATTATAAACTGTTTATTGAGACTATTCCAAACAAATGGAATGTATTCATGTATAATATGAATAAAATATTGAAAACTGTGAAAAATAGCAAAAAGGGGTTAAATGAGGCAAATACCCAGTTAGGCTATTCTGCATTTTCTAATTTCAGGACTTTTTACTTTATTTCATTTTGTTGTAAACTGTTTATTCAGCTTATTACAAAGCAATAGAATGTACAACACACAAGTTATATCGATAACTGTGGAAAATTGCAAGAAGCCCAGGTTTTGGCTATTTCGCAAATTCTAATTTCAGGGGACTTTTAACATTTGTTAATCGTTCTTTTGTTATAAGCAGTCAGCCAAGTCCAGACGGACGGAATTTATAATATGAATAAAATAATGATAACTGTGGAAAATTGCAAAAAGGAGCAAAACGCACAACTTTGGCATTTTCGAATTTTCTAATTTCTGGACTTTTTTACATTACTTAAACATTTCTTTTGTTACAAACTGTTTATTCAGCCTACTCCAGATGAATGGAACGTGTGACAAATATAATATTGATAACTGTGGACAATGGCAAACGGGGCAAACACCTAGTTTTGGCTTTTTCTATAATTTCAGAACTTTTTTACATTTTTTTACTCTTTTTCACAATTATCAATATTTTATCCATATTATACATTCATTTGGAATAGGCTGAATAAACAGTTAATAACAACACAAACTATTAACAAATGTAAAACATACTGAAATTATTAAATGCCAAAACTGTACGATTTGCCCCTTTTTGCTATTTTCCACAGTTGTCATATTTTCTTCATGGAATAGGATAAATAACCAGTTTATAAAAAAAAGAGACGATAAACAAATGTAAGTCCTGAAATTAGAAAATTCAAAAAATGGGCATTTGCCTCATTTTCCAATAAACATAGCAGAGACATGAACCCCTGGAAGCCCCATGTCTCCAGCTGGACAAAAGCAGTCTTGCAGAATGTATCCCAAGACAATGCAAATCTGCTTTCATCAGTTCAGTCTCTCTTGGACAAAAAATTGATTTAATTCCTTCAAAAGAAGGCTTTTTGGGAGAAGCAAACAAAGTTAGGGAATTACGGTCTCTTTAAGGCTCAAAATGAATGGCTAAAACACAATACTGCTGACAAATGGGATGTTGTGAAGGCGTCTACGCCCATTTGTATCCAGACTTGTATCTCAGCTCACAGGACTTTGCCAAAGAAATTCATTAAAAAAGACAAAAACTGCCACGCCATGGGTGAACTGAAGAAAGATGTCAAGAACAAACCCATCAAAATATATTTTTGGCCTTGTGACAATTTTTCAGCACTAAATAACATTAGTTATTTATTTGATCGGTTGACCGACTATGGCAACTTTGATTATGTTCGTGGGAATTAACCCATGGCTGCCGTCTGAGTCTGCGACACCGTTCTTATTTATTTGGCCAACTGTGTATTGCAGGGCTAGATCTCCCTGGTTTGTAAGAAATGCTCCAGTCTGTGCTATGACATCCTTCGACCAACTGCTTAATTATTGCAGAGTTGTTTCCCAGATTGGTGGACATCGTGTTTCTCCCGTCTGGGTGATTGTCCCTTCCAACTTTTTTAGTTTTTTTTTGCGTGGCCGTGTAAACTCATTTTTTTGTCTTATTTTAACTACAATTTACAAGACGGGGACTAGCTTTTGGACGTCGACAAAATTTTTTGGTTTTTGCTTTTATCTTAACTATGAGGTTGCTGAGTTTAATTCTTGCGCCAATCGATTAAACAATGTCATTTCCATAGGAAAACAAGTACAAATATGGCGAAAAAATATTTTCAGATTTTTTTCCGTTTATCTCGTAAAGTGTAAGGTATGTGAGCTTACGGGGAACACATTTACCCGATACAACACAGCAAGTATCGCAATCGCAACGCCTCTTTTGTTCTTAATGCATTATTTTGAGCAAAACCATGTAATAAATTGTTAGTTAAATTTTATGAGCACAACCATGTAATAAATTGTTAGGTAAATTTTAGGAGCACAACCATCTAATAAAGTTAGTTACCATATTAGTTAAATTTAATATTTATTTAGAAATCGATTAACAGTCACTAATCACCACACGTTAAATTTGTTTTAAATAAAGTTATTCCGGTGTTTTGATCAAATTTCTTGATCAATCAATCAACCATCATAATTAAATAATTTTTATACAAAACTTATGAATTTTTGATCTCATTTAACTTGGTTTACATTAAAGTAGGAATGTTGTAATTAATATAACGACAAAATTGCATATACTTAGTTTGAAATAAACTACAAAAAACGTGAGTGTCCTGTTCTGTTCTGAGTAGGATAGCGTTGCATAGCATCAGGCAGATGTGCACGGGAGTAATACAATCTTATGGTAAATTGGACTTTGGATTTGCGTCGGGTAGCGTTGCTTCGAGTAAGTGTGTTCCCAGCTCAATTCTTCTGCCAATTGACTTAGCTGGATCGTTTTCCATTGAATACAAGTACAAATATGTCAAACTGTAAGTATAAATTACAAAGAAAAATAACGGTGTATTATGGAGGTTGTTTAGTACACATTACCTTTAACATAGTGTAATTAACATAATCATAATTGGAACATTTTTTGCATTAATGTAGAGCATATGAACATTCGACAATTTGAAATATATTTAAATTATTATTACAAGGACAACAGGATTATTAAAACATAGAACTGTTATACTGAGTTATATATGTATAATAGCAACATGTTGCTAACTAAAATTATTTTGAACCGGCACACGGGTGGGCACTACTGGGTCTGTCTTCACTCGCGGGTCAGACCCAGTAGTGCCTGTGTGCCGGTTCAACATGAGTTCGCCAACTCGCAGACCAAACCCCATCATCTACTATAAAATTATTTTGCTATTTATTATTCACAAGTGGATTTAAATTTTAGCAGATAACTTTACTAGAAATAGCTATTATTTAAGGCATATCACGTGTAGTTATTGTAATTCAACAAACTGATCAAATAGGATGATGGTTGTTTTCTCTGATATCTTCCCTGTTTAAAAAAATTTGTTTACTAATCAGTGAATTTATGTCTTATTATGCAAAATTTATGTTTATGTTGCAAAAGAAATACACCAATGTCTGATCATTAAGAGTTGATCATAACAAAACAGATTACTTTTAAGAATAATATTATGACAACAAAAATTAATATTTACATAATTTAAAAAAATTAAAACTAAATTAGAGTGCACAAATTTTTATTATAAATTACGCATAAAAAAAAAAAAAAAAAAAAAAAAAAAAAAAAAAAAGTAAGGGGACTAATACTTTTAACTTCTAAAATGCCTATAATTATATTTAAGATATATATATCTTGCCTTCTTTCACAATTAATCATTCAAATAAGTATTAGAAAGAAATATTATTACAAAATGTACAAAACTGTTTCTAGTTGATATTCTTATTAATTATCTTCTTGATTTGGAAAAAATATCAATTTCACCTCCATGACAGGTGTTACGCAGACTTCCATGCTGGATAAAAATAACCAGATTGAAACAGTGGAATGACTGAAGTGGTGCAGATGTTCCCATTGGCAAGTTTTTTCACAGTTGCAACAATTTTTTTTGAAATTTTTTTCAGGTAATAATGATATTTTCACTTCCTGAAAAGAAAACAGAAAAATAAGCGCACGATGGAAATATAAAAGGAAAACAGTAGAAAAAATCACTTGTGCTTTTTAGAAGGCTGTTTGCTGGAGTCGTCATCATGGTGCCTCTTCTTGTCATTAGAGCTACTATGGTGTCTGCTGCTACTGTGCGACGACTTGTGGCTGTTGCTTGAGCTATGCTTCTTCTCGGTGCTGCCATGTGATGACTTGTGGTGGCTGCTGCTGTGTCTATCCTTATCTTTGCTCTTAGAAGGACTGGAAAATAAACATTTCATCAGTAATAATTTTAGTATGAAACTCGTTATTTTAATTGTTTTATATAATTGAGGCATTTACAATATTAACAAATTATACACAGAATCCTTTATCTGTCAAACATAACAAAATTGTACAAAACGTCTACACTTTCATATTAAATGTTGAATTATCAATCAATCTGGTTAGCAGAATGTAAAGTATAAAGCGTAAATTTGGTACTAGCATTTTAAAATAATATTTTTGATTTTCATTAAATGCAGAAGAAAGTCAAACTTAACAATAATGTTTTGTATATGATAAAAAATTTAAGTCTAAACTATTTTTTAATCACAAGTTTAAAAAATGAACAAACAGCATAAAACAAAACAAAAGATAGTACAACAATTAAAGAGAACAATAATTAATTCAATTCATTATGCTTTTTATCTAAGGTCTTTTATCTAAGTATAAGAGGTACAAATTGGTACTATGCATCTCTAATAGCCTCTAATACTTAACTCCGACTTTCCATCTTCACGAAGCATATGCGGGCGGGTTAATCACACAGATGGAAAGAGGAGTACCCTAATCCCAATCCTAATCTCACAATCCAGCCCCAATCTAAGGCGTTATGCGACCCAAACTGATGGATGGTTGGTACAGAAGTAATTGTACTAATAACAGAGCCTCAATAACTCCTCTGGTGCAGGCCTTTAGATCCCTCATATTCGTGGGAATAACATGGATGAACCAAGAGAAAACAAAAAAAAACACCGGGGGAATATGAAAAGGAAGACCCCAAAACAAATCTAGGGAAATCAAAGAGGGCTGCAAACCCTCTTCAACTCCTATAAACCAAGAATTGGAGGACAGTCAGATGTGGGGGCGGGTTCAGGAAAAACCAAACCAGAAGACGAAACCACTCAAACGGAGGTGACAGAGAAGATTGAAAAACTTCACCTCAAACCCAAGAAAATATCAAGGGGCTCAGAGGTGTAAAATTGCAATCAAATGGGCCATACATGGATTTGATCTTATTGTCGTGATTTTAGCGTTATAAAACCCTTAAATACTGACTCACCGAAATCGGTGTAAATTAATTTTTTGACTAATAATTTCAACTGTGTGAGTGACTTTCTAGAGCAAGCTTTAACATCATCTTTCTCAAGACCTAAGAGGCTGATAATTTGTTTTAAAGAAACTGTCAAGTGCATTTTATAACTGTATCAGTTATAAACAAATCACACAATTATTTCCATTTAAAAAATGAGCTTAATTTCTGACAAAAATATTTTATGTATTTTCTTACAGAAATCTTTTATATTTTATAATGGTACGTACATCGTTAAAAAGCTACGTTTCTCTTCTTTCAAATGGTTCATCATCATAGATCATCTTCAGGGCCTGGGATTTACAAACATTTTTCACATCTTACATGTATTTGTATAATCCAAACAATGTTTGTAAATCCCTGGCCATGAAGATGATCTAAATAAAAATCGAAATGGCACAATAAAGAAAATGTTTTTCTAAATCTACATTACACAAGACCGCATCTCACGATATCCAGATAATCATTATTGATAAATTTTTAAATTTATAAGCTTTTAATATATTTTTATTGCAATCCACAAATTGACAACAAAAAAAAATATTTGGGGACCTAAAGTGCCCTTGAATAATTAATTATCACAGAGATTCAAGCCTGATAAAGATAATGTATATACAATATCTATGTATATACATTCTCAAGAATACATACATGAATTTGAGGAATCGACAGAGATGAAGGTGATGTGATAGAAGTGATAAAAGTAGAGTTGTTAGTGTTGTTTGTTTAATATTGTTTATTCTTTTTAAAGATGCTTCTTACTAACAGTTTGCTTACTTAACTATCCAGATTTCAAGCTTAAAGCTCATCAGGTTTTTTTTTTTTTTTGGCGTTATGAACTATGCATATTAGCCATGTGACAATTCATATGTGTGTTCAAATTTGGGGGGGGGGGTTATTGTGAAAAAAGGGCCAGAGGCGACGGTGGCGTGAGAGTCTCTCATGCTAACCACTCGGCTACCGCGGTCCCCCATCATCAGGTTGAAGGAGTTACAAACACAACTCTCTATACGAATTGTACGAGTGAGATCGGCAATACAACATTCCAATGGGGACCTGGTTTTTATTGCCTTTTTGAATGTGCCAAAAAACGTGAATTATAATACAACTAAATATTATCTTAATAAATACTATAAGAAAATAATTTTAAATAGAGATTAATCTTTCAGTTTGATTTAAAAATCCCTCTATCTATCAATGTAAAAACATAATGACAACGTTTGTGGAAAGTTCGATTAATTTTGGTCAAACAGTTTTTGAGAAAAGTTCCCTAAAAGGGCAAAAACACCTTATTTTTGTGGAGGGGGAATGAAAATTTCATAGCTTCATAAATCAAATACGTTTAAATGTAATTCCATTTAAAGTATATGACCACATTTACAAAATAATATAAAATGAGAATTAGATGGTTCAAAAAGATTGGAAAAGCGGTAAACGAATAAATTGAAATTAAAATCACGAAGTTACATTTTATCGAAGTGATGTACTCTCATTAAAGCATTTTGACATGCGAACAGGTATACCATGCTTTTTGACAAATGGTCATCAACTTTACCTTTATGTTTTGAAAGTATGTTGTTTTAGGGGGCAACACTCAACCTATTTTTAATCCTTTGGTCAACAATCTATGCGGAATAAACAGCTAGACATCCAGATCACTACAAAACTACTTTGTGAGCAGTACTATCCTTTTATTGAATCATTATTGAATTGATATACTCTGTCATACATAACCATTTTTATTAAATTCAATTATACTTTTTTAGATTTTAGAAATATTTAGATTAGATTTTTTTATTTTGATTTGATTTGATGAATGTAAAAATTTTGTTTAATAATTTGACGTTGCTCATTTATTTTTTTTTTTTTTTTTAACCTTTTCTTTGTTTCGTTTTATTGTATGATAATACACACACAGTATAGATGAAGGGCATTATTTTATTATTATTGTTTAGTTATAATTATTTATTTCTTGGATTTTTAAATACCCTTTTCTTTGTTATAATTTGAAATATACTTGTCCAACAACACTAGGAAAGTGGTGAAATTTAACATTGTTAGATTTTCTATTGAGGTCTGTGAGGTGAGAACTTGTAGTTTGGTCATTTCTGATCATTTGAAATTATGGCGAAAAAGACAAAAGTGTCTGACAGTCAAAAATAGCAAGAATAGGTACACCAAAATGATCGGAAAATGGCCAAGGGATTTTTAGATGTTACTGGGAAACATGCAAAATGAGTAAGCACTGTCAAATCAAGTCATAAAAAAAAAGACTAATGGTAAAAACTAAAAGGTAAACTACATATCAAAATCAACAAAACCTGTGCATTTTCGAGGAGTCTTTCTTTTTACTTGAATGGCTAGATGAATGGTGATTGGAAGATTTCATTGAAGTTCTTTCCGTGCAAGACAGTAACAGGTAAAAATTAATTCAAAACTTGTTATTGAACATGGACAATGATAAAAATGTTAATTGCAGACTGTGGAGTGCAGCAAGTCTTACCTGCTGTGAGATTTATGGCCAGAGCTGCTCTTATGCTTTTTATCAGGGGTTGATTTATGCCTGCAACAAAAATTAAGACCAATTGTTTATTTGTTATAAAAATTTGTATAAATGTTTCTTTCTACAATTACTCAGAAGGTAAGATCATTCCGAACATTATTTTTATGTTATATGGCAACATTATTTTATTTTTTATTATATACTATCAGTGCAATTGCACTAAAATTTATTTAAATTTGTGCTAGTACTTTTTTTTTAGACACCTAAATAAATTCACTATGTTTTTATTTATATACAAAACAATAAACTTAAATTTTGCTGGTTTACCAAACCTACCTTTTCAGACAGGTTATTAAATTACCATTCAAATCATCCTTACATCTAAAAATTAATGTGAATTAATTTGAAATTGTTTTTTTATTGGACAAGCACTCAAGGGACTTTAAATCCTTCTGTTTACTGTTCATGCAGAAAGCGCCCTTTTATATAATATAAGCGTGATGGTGAGTAATTTTACACCTCAAAGTCCAAATCATTACAAAGCCAGTTGTGAGAAAAACAAAATCTTTTAGCTTTTGAACTATTGATTATCACTCCTTTATGACCATTTTTATTTACAAAAAGTATGGAACATATTTAAAGCAGAAAAAATATATAAACCAGGTCAAAACACTTACTTGCTTTTATCCTTATCGTGTTTACTCTTCTTGGGGCTGCTGCTGTGCCTTTCACCGTGTTTTCGTTTACGGCTTGAATAGTCGTCATTAAAATCATCGCCACGCTCTCTGTCTTCCTCTGCAGCCTCACGTTCCAAATCAGACCAGTCTTTGCCCGATTCGTCGCTACTGCCGAGTTCTTCCTCTGAACCGCTGTCTTCGGACGCTTCAGAGTAATCAGAGTCGTCATCGCTCTCCTCTTCACTAGCACTATCTGTAGGCTGTTGGACACTCCAGGTTAGAAAAGAGATTAGATATTTATTTTCTCTAACGTTTACCTCATAGGCATCATCCTCTTCTTCTTCATCGTCCTCAGCTTCTTGTTCATCATCACTCTCTGGGTCAAGGAAAGTCCAACCACCACTTTCAAAAAAGCCTTCAGGGTCATCGGTAATTGTCTTCATGATCTTTGTCCAGTTTAGTGACTGTATACCTTCAGAATACCTTATATCACAGGAGCTGAAAAAATGTATTTTTATTAATTACTAATCAACATCAACTTATTAAATTAGTAATAAAATATATATATTACTTCAGCCATTCTTTCACGTGATCCAGCATATTCATTGGAATCGCATTAACCATTGATACTTTCCTATGGTAATCTTTGAATACAAATATCATATCGAAATTTTTCAGGTGGAATTGCACTCGCTCAAAATGTACAAGTTCAATATCTTCTAAAGTGATGACGAATGGTGGCTATAATTAATTACTTTATTTTTGTGTGTTTTCACTTAAGCATATTTACATTAACATACCCATTCTGTCAGATTGACGAGGCACCCACTAGTAGGCTGAAGCAGAACAGTACTTCTAAAGGGGGCACCAGGGAAACCTAAATCTCTGAAAGGAGTATCAAATTCTATTTCATTTTTGGTCATTGTTTCAACCTAAAAAGCAACAAAGGTTAGAATAGGTTGAAAATTTTGTAAGTATGATTTACTTTTTCACAGAAGCTTTTAAAAGCAGTTTTGAGCTTGTGACGCAGCTCCCTTTCAGACTGTTCAGCGGCCAAGTCGTCTCTGTCATGCATGTGCTGGTGCTTGCCAAGATCAGTCGTTATCTCTCCGACTTCAGTATAAAACTGAACATCAACATGTTTCTTTTTGCCGAACATAATAGCATGTCTCAGATGGAAATGGAGAAGGATGATCATTTCACCATCGCATGGCTGGAAGAAGCCGTTCTTGATGTTGTTGTAGAGGATGTCAACCTTGTCCCCACGGACAGAAGTGTAGCGGAAGCCATTGGTGTGTGCCTCAAGCGAACCAGTCATCCTCTTGTTCACAATGTTAGGTCGGATGTACAAATCCTTCAGTTTTGGGTTGCCTTTGTTTTGCGAAAGGATGAGTATGTCCTGTTTCACAAGGTCTTCCTTCTCTTTTTCTTCTGCTTCTCTAGATTTGAATTTCTTCTGTACTTCTTTTATTATTCTAAAAGCATTGTTGAGATTTGTTGACGGTGCAGTCATTTCCCCCGGCTCTTTGGTATTGATGCTTCGGTATGTACTAAATAATAATGAAATTATAGTAAAAAAATAAACAGAAAATTTTTTAGGTTTAGATAACATACACTTCCTTCACAAAAGTAGCATCAGGCTGTGAAAAAGCTGCACCTTCATTTCTAGCCATTGTCGCCCCTGGATGAAAAAAGTTTATCCTCAGGTAAGTATAGTCTCCTTCTACGCTCTGAGATATGTTCTTTACAGTTGATATGTGAAAGGGCACCGGTACACCAAAAACTGGCAGGATCACCGTCTCATACTTCCTATCTACACATTTTAAAAAATAAAAATCAAGCCAATTGTTTGTAAGTAGCATGCATACAAGAAATTGTTAATTAGAGATAATCAAAAAAAGAAATTTTTAAGTTTTAGATCCAACTTTACCTCTTGGATCAGAAAAAATAAAACAAATAACAGTCAAATTAACATAGGGTGAAAGATAAATAAATTAACACAGAATGAAATGGTCCTAGAATGCCTAAATTTAGCATTATGGCAAAATTGCAACCACAGACAATCTAAATACTAAAACCGGCTATGTGTCACTTGATGCTTTTTTCCAAAATTATACCTCTGGAAAACAAGCAACCATTAACCTTTTCAGAACTGATTTTAGGATGCTAAAATTCTTTCCCCTGACTATATTCATGAACGCTATTATTATAAGTTAAGTTATTATTATAAGTTAAGTTTGTAAACTATTATACAAACAAATCTTACATAACAACTACCCTAAAAACATAACAGAATCATAAACAATTATAACCCTGCACTACACAAAACAACATCCTCCACAGTTCACAACCCAATCGAACGAAGACAAACCAATATACATGGCCATTCCATTTGTCCACACATTGTCACACAAATTAAGTATCTCTCCTCAGAACACATTAAAATAGCTTTTAAAAACCACAAAACAATACACATACTCTTTCCCAAAGTCAAAGGCACAACACCAACAGCCTACAAATCTGATGTAATTTATAAAATTAATTGTAGGAAATGTCCAGCTACACACATTGGAATTACATCGCAATATCTGGAAAAACGGAAAAAATAATACAAATATGGTTGTAAGACATCAAAAACCAATTTTGAAAAACAACACAACTTTGATTTCGACAAAATCTACTAAAATATTAAATTCATCTGAGAGTGACACACCAATTTTTGTGACTTTTCTATTTTCTTATCACTACATAGGTTACCAGGTGGCCATCGGCGTCTCAGTCGATGGGGAGGATTATCTGGGAAGGTAGTGGAACTGAGCTGTCACACCAAGGCATTGGGATGTGTGGAAAACAATTGATGGAATTTTTTGTAATAACGCTTCGCTATTTCTAGAACAAAGGGCATATTGGTCTTGGTGTAGGGTGAGGTTTGATACATATAAGAAGGGTTAAAAAATTTTTTGGGGACTTTTGATTGGAATCTTTGGATGCTTTGGGAGTTGGAATGCTGTTTTCATTATAGTTTAGGCGGGAAAATAAAATATGTTAATGTTATGGACAAAATTTTTAAAAATGACAAGGGGTTATTTTATTATTGTTTTATATCCTTTCCTTCCTTATCACTGATCCTGACCAACCTGTGTTGTTGCATTTCCTATCTACAAACAGTATCTTTGGACACTCCACTATCTTTTGACAAAATTGCCAACCACTATATTAATTCTCCAGTTCAATTATCATTGTCAAAATTGTAACAAATAATTTTTTATGCTAACTTTTTGTCATTTTTACCTAAATTTGGAAACTTTAATTTAGTTAATTCCTCAAATATAAATAAATAAAGTAACACATAATATGTAAAAATAAAGGTTAAAAAATAAATAAATAAAATAAATGCAAAATTAATGAATTAAACAAGTGTAATATATGAATAAATAAATTTATAATTTATTTTATTTATATATATACAATTTATATTATATATTATTATCTATATATTAGTATGTATCATATAATATATAGAAGAGCTCTTAAAATGAAAAAAAGACACAAGAATGAAATGACTCGTCATAAGGCCTGGGGAGCGTATAAGCCTGAATAAGGAAACTTGTCGCTGGGCCTCCAAGTCACTAGTTCGCCGAAAAGATTAAATAGGGATGATGAATTAAAATATAATAAGTATATCAATTCATTTGTTGAAAACGATAGCTGTACTCACGAACTGTTTCTCACAGTTATCCGGATTTTGAACCTTTAAACTCTCATCATCATACTGAATAGAAATCTAAAGTAAATCTGACATACTCATAGATTTTGTTCGGTTTGACGATAAGAATTTAAAGGTTTGAAACATACCAACGTAAAGGTTTTAACGTAACTGTAAAAAAGAGTTTTGTGCGTTTAACTATCGTTTTCAACAATTCAGCATGCAACTATGTGACACAATTTGTATCATGTATTTTGGATTTTGTTTTGGAGTTTAAGATTTAGTTTTACGTAAATTCAAGGTTAAGATTAAAATAAATGCAATAATGTAAAAGATATATCATTTAAAATTGTATTCCAGAAATAAAACTACAAGAATATGGCCAGGATGCCGAAATGTAGCAGGGAAATGACTATTCAATTGAATTACATGTCTTCAAAATAAATTACCTAATACATGTAATTAACACAAAATATTTTACATTTTATTTAACTTTTCTTTATCACAGTTGGTCAATAGAAAATTATAAATCCACTTTTTTTTTTTTTTTTTTTTTTTTAAAGGGTATTTCAATTATGAGGTTATATGAACTCTCGGGGTGATGGTGTTTTTGAAAAAGGCCCATTTGTAAGTAGCATGTCAGGTTTTGATTATAGTGCCACTAGATTTGAACCCAGGATCTTTACCTTACAGCGATGAGCGCTGTGTCAATACCTAAAGAGTTGTGGCCACCGACACCCCAATAACCAATGTTTTTAAAAAAGCAATACTTAGATGAAACCAAGAAAAACAGTCAGCAAAACATTGTGGAGTTTGTTGGATTGTTCTTAAAAATTTTAAATTTAAAAACTGTTATACAATCATTCATGAACACCTTTTTAATCTGATTTTATTTTGTTGCACGAATAATCAAAACTCGTCAATGTCAAAACCGTGTTTGATGGATTACTGTTATAAGAATTCGGGCAAACAAGCCACTAATTTTTGTTTTATTTTCTACAAGTTGAAGAATTTTAATTTCTCACCGACATATATTTTGAGCTCCTTGACCTCCGGCTCGTTTGGCATTTGTGATCTACTTTTATAGGAAATGTTGCTTTTGCGGACTTTTTCCTCTTGCCGCCCACCAGACTGTGCAGCCAACCTCTGTTTAGCCGCTTCATTCAGCTGAGCCGCTAACTCTTTCTGGTGCTGCTTCCTCTTCTCTTCTGCTGATGAATCTTGCTGGATTTTAGAATGCGACTATTATGGACTGTTCAAATTGTAGGGGTATTCACAATCCTTGTTGGTTAATTCTATTAAGTCGTGTACCAAGAAAAATGATGATGTAGATCTGTTTGAATCGGCGACTCAATATTGCTTGATCTAAGGGAGTTGGACCTATGTCAGTTGTTACGTCAAATCGAATAGCAGTGTAGTTAAGCTGTTAGAATTTTGGTAACAAACTTAGTCGGCATGACTTGAAAAGTCTCTTGTTTATTGATATGTATTTTTATTTTTAAATTCTTTAACAATTCAATGTGCATGACTCGAGTCGACGAGTCAAGCCCCTCTCTCTGAGATGTCAAGTTTTTATCCACATTTTAATTGGAAAATTATAAAATGCCCCCTAAACGGCTCGAACGGTTCAGAACTACCTAGAATATCTTATTGTGAGCATCGTTTCTGAGTCTCTTACGTTCAACCGCTAGACCGCTAGATAGCATAACAAACACATATCTATTTTCTATGCCACTCTTTTTCATTAAGTTTGACCTTTCTTCTAAATAATATGTTCTAAAATTAAAACTAAAGTTTGACAGTTTGTCTTTACATAAAACTAATATTCTTTATGCTTTAGTAACAAGGAAAAAAATTATTTCATTGTTTCTCTTCAACGTGAAAAATATTTTTTAACTTATCTACCTTGTCTCCAGTTTTGTTGAAAACCAACTTTGACAAAATACATAACTATAGAAGCAATAATTAATTTTATCTCCGTTTTCAAGTAATAGAAGGAATTCAGGATGGCTCAGATAAATATCTTTTTACAAAATTCATCAACTGTCTCAGTTTTTGAAATTATAATTTACATTTTTATTTTCTTATATTGTGCAACAATCAAAGTATTTTTTCCAAAATCACCAGTCGGGACCATTTAGGTGCAGCGACAAGTCGGGGCTTTGGGAAATTTTACAAAAACAAAAATTTTAAATCATTCAAATAATAAAAAATATGTTAATATTTATTGTCAATAGTTGTTTTTTAATTTTTAAAATTAATATTCTTAATATTTAATTTTAATATTTATATTATTTTTTAACTTTAATGTTTAATGTTTTTAATGTTAAACAATTAAAATTAGAGAAAAAATTGTAATGCTGTTTTATAAATAATTTTTAAATTTTTTTTAAAATTCATTTTATAAAAATTAAAAACAGATAATAACAACTGTAAATATTATAGAAAAAAATTAATTTTTATCCTTTTCTAATTCTTTTTTGTTCAGTATAGAATTATTTTACCTTTCACACATTGGTGAAGAAAGTCATCAAAATAGGTTTTTGAAATGGTTTATTAGAATAAGAGAATTCTAAATAATTCATGACTGACAAGTTGAATCATGCCAAAGGGGGATTAGACAAATGCGTTGAGTTGCGGGTTTCCCTACTCAGACTTTCACGCATATGGTTGGAGTGACGGTCTAATGTAAAAAAAAAAATGAACTTTTGAGTCATAAAATTCCGTACCTGGGTTATGGTCTCGTATTTTGGTCCCACATTGAATGGGTTAATTAAATACAACCAATATATTTTTTATGTTAATTTCCAACCTATCCTCATTAATAGTGGAGGCGTGGGATCTTCGACAAAATATGTATTTAAGTTCTGCCCACCTATCCTGTGCAGTTAGGAAGTTCATTACTTGACTTACGAATCTACTACTCTATCTCCTTCTTATCTAGTCAGTTCAGATATTTGTCTTTGATTAAGCGATTTATGTGCTGCATAATCTGTCCAACATTTAATGAGCTCGCTCTCCTTCCATTTTTCACACAAATCAAATCAATGTGAATGAAAAGACTGATTAGACATATCTTTTGACTACTTCTGGCATTTTGACAACATATTTCTCAAAACTGAAAAAAGCTTTACCAACAATAACAAATCTTCAAGAACTCTTGTACCTTTAACAACAGCTTTGGTTCTACTAGTCGCCACACGTGGTACCATGATGAAGACTAACATGTAAACAGAAACAGAAATTTAAAAAAAAAAGGGGGGAGCGTTTATAATCTACCGACCATTTTCGACTACAAGCGTTAACACCTAACACAAATTGTGAATACCCCTAGTAAATTTAATTTTTAATATTTATATTTACACGGAGTTTAGAATCGAGCACAGCAGTCCTTTTCCCTCTGCCAAGCACTGGTGTTGGAGTGGGTTCATTCTCTTTCTCTTCCTCATCTTCATCCTCTTCTCCATCTTTTAGGAAAATGCCAATGTTTTTCATCTTTTTTCTTGATTGGGTCAAAATTGTAGCTGGAGCATCCTTGAATTATAAAAATGTTATCAATTGTATATTTATATTTTAAATTATAATAAATATTTATACCTCATTGACCAAAACTGTATCACCAATAAATAAAGCATAGGTTTTGCCTTCCTTTTCTTTAGCATCGTTGTTTGTCAGGCCTGACAGACCTACATTGAGATTGTAAACTTGCCCTTTTATCACTGTGGCTGTTATTTTTGGTGCGATTGCGAGAGAACTCTCTTTGAATTCAATTCCCATGACAAAACCAAAATTTTTTGTCAGGTTGTCTATCAGACTCGGCTTCTTCTTTTTAGTAAATTCAACACCTGCATTGTACACATCACACAGCTTTGCCCCTGCCTGCAGTGTTTTCAAAAGCTCTTCCTCAAGTTCAAGTAGAAAATTGTAATTGTCTTGCACAGCCTCAGAAGGATCTACTAAAAATGTTCTCGCAATGTTTGAACAATAGCTCTTATAGCGAGCACCAAGCGAGCAGACGATTGCACCAAAGTGAAGGTTGTTCTTGTCACTAACTGCGCTAAACTTTAAACTATAGTGCCCTCCACTTTGTATTATAGGAGGATAGCACATATCTAAGTTAGATGGGTCAACATTTCCAACATATTTCTTTTCACTTAAAGCACTTTCTACACCTTCAACAAGCTTGCTATGTTTTACTTTCTACAACAACAATAATTATTACATAATTATTACAAGAAATTATTTTAAATAAAAAAATTAAAAAGTAAAAAAAAACCTTGTCTGAGTCAATAATATCCATAATTTGGTCCTTGAGATATTTATTGAAAATGTCTACAGAAACCTGGCTGGCCTTTTTGATCAGACTCTGCTCAGATTCCTCTTTGACTGACAATATGTAGCCAACTGCACCACTTATATCGACATTTTGAAAATCCTCATTTTTCACTGCTTTTTTCCATCCTTCAATGAACGAGCCGGTGAAATTGTCTTTACTGAAAATACCAAGCTTTTTACCACCCCTGCTGGTTTTTATTGTTTCAATTAGTTTCTTGAAATTAGCTGAATCATCGTTCTAAAAGAGTAATAGAATTGTTAAAATAAAATGCTATCCACTTTTTTTCTTCAAATTAATTCACTTACCCTATCCCTAATATGTAATTTAACCGAGGGTAAACCATTTTCATCCTTGGTGCCTTCAATTTGTTTCAAAAATTCAATTTTCTTTTTAGACGCAAGAAAATGAATTTCTTCCAAAGTCATTACCATGACTGTATCCATGAGTTCGTAACCAAACAGCCATGTCTAGAATTATGTCACTCATTAATAATGAACCAAAACAAAAGATTCAATAATCAAACAATTTAAGCATGTATAAATATTTTGCATAATACCAACACTGGTTTTAGATAGTTCCTATAATTTTCTGGCCAAAACATTGCTTGGGTCCAAAAAAATGCCCATTATAAAATATTAATTTAGCCCCAGTGGCTACCATCCTGCAAAGGTCAAAGCCCTCATACTTATCATGAGGAAAAACTCAATTTTTTGTTTTTGTGATCCTCTACCTTTCAACAGATGGGAAAATCAGATCAACCAACTAACCACTATTCGATGGTTGCCTTAATAGGCACTCACCAACTCGAGGAAACCCCCTCAGCTATAAACCCATCTATTGAAGCAGACACATCATAAAGTATAATGAGTGTTGTGAGTGTGTATAGAAGGCAATGTTAATAAATTAAAAATATAGAAAGGTGAAAGGGAAGAAGTTCATCGAGGAAGGAACCAAGAAAGTATAGGCTGCAATAGAAAGGATATAGCATTCAAATCAGGATACATATTAGACACACAAGAACTCTTTGGGGAGTTAAATATGAACCGAAGAAAGCTGTTCAAAATTCTCTTGAGTCAGTTATCAAACTCGCAGGTGAGTCTACTGTAAATCAAACAACCATAATCGAAATAGGGAAGTGTAATTCCAGGGAAGTCCATAAAAATACCAAACATTCTTTTTACGTTAATTACTAGAATGAAAACAACTAGTAGAAAAAACTAGTAGAATGAAAACATTTTTTACACAACTTGCTTCTAAAGTCTCCTTGTTCTGGGATAATAGAAAATTTCTCTGATCAGGCTTAATAAAAGGCCAGTAAAATATTAATGCATTATTGTTAGATCATTTACTTTTGAAGGCGGGTAAAAATAATTAATTTGAACTTATGGTCAAATTAATGGTTTGAGTTGCAAATAAACAAGCTATACTTAAGTATAAGCAGGATGAATCTACATGTACAAAAATTTTGGGTGTGATATCTGAATGACAGGTATTAACATGAACAATGTCTTTTAAGTTGGCATAAGTTGAGAAAATGAGATCCTTTTTTTTTTCATTGTGAACGAGATTTTTTATAGTGTTATGGTTGGTGCATTTGCACGTAAGTCGATTATAAGCTGGCCGACACAATTCCGTTGAAGGAATCACCCTTTAAAGAAGTCATAATTAAAAGTTCATGTTATTTTTTTGACATCTGAATGCAGAGCAACGACTCAAACCTAAGACCTTTACCTTAAGTTGATGAGTGCTTAAATCATTGAGTTTTGATGATGACCCTCCGTTAGGACTTTAATACAAAGCTTCACAATCTTATTTCAGCAATTAAAAGGAAGCCTAGTACTACAGGTTTCTTGTAACCATCTCTCAAACCAGTTTGTAACCTTTTTAAAAAGATGGTTCCTACTCACATTAATATGAGTAGGAACCATTTTTTTTTAAAAAGGATTGAACTCCACTCCCACTCCACCATTCATAATTGCTACCAGTTTGTAACTGTCAGATGTACACACGATAGATTGAAAGTGTTTCAACCTATCACAAATCCACCTATGACTAGGAGACCACAGTCTTCCAACTACGAGTACATCAACTTGTTTGTGTGTCAACAATGCATCAACTTTTTTTTAATGGGCAATGGAATTTGTACAAAGGTTTATAATAAAAAAATGTATGAACACGGCAAAAAGATTTTTTCATTATTTCAAATTTGTTCATGATTTTTCTGATATCATAAGGTTCAAAAATGTTGAAATCGCAGGGAAGGGATTATAAAAAATAATTTCAATTAATTATTCTTTTATGTAAGATCTTGGTTGAGATGAAAAGATTAGTGTCACGATCGGGATTGGAACCCAAGACCTTCAGCCCCATACACCCCTAACTCAGTCTAAACGATGTTGCCATAGCTCAAGTGGTTAAAGCAGCAGTGTATTGAGCCGAAGGTCGTGGGGTTCGAATCCCGCTCTTGACACTAACCTTTTCATCTCAACCAAGACCTTACATAAAAAGAATAATTAATTGAAAGAAGTAATTTGGTCAATTAGACCAGTGGTTCCCCAAGTGGTCCCTACGGACTCCCAGAGGTCCCCGGTATTCATTCAGGGGGTCCATGGAAAATTAAAATTGATTTGGGGGTCTCTGAACAACGTCAGGGGGTCCGCGCAAGGTTTAATATAAAATAATATAATATAAATAATAATATAAAATTATTCTAAAAGTGCATGTTTAAATTGATTTTATGTGTTCTTTCATTCAGTGTTGGAATTCCTGGAAACCAAAGACAATAATTTGCGACACAATTTAATTAACTCAAAAAATGACATAGCCTATATGTCTTATTTATTTGCCAAATTTAACAAAACTAATTTGAAACTACAAGGTGACCAATTAAATTTAATCAAAACTAAAAGCGTAATATCTGCTTTTGCTGCAAAACTGTTTCTTTATAAACAAAACTTGGGAAGAGGAGATTGCTCTCAGTTTCCAAATCTTTTGAAATTGCAAATTAGAGATGAAGATTTGCTTGCTTACTGTCAACACTTAACGTTCTTCATACAGACCTGAACCAAAGATTTGAAGACATTCTTCCCTTGGATATTCCCGACTGGGTGTTGAACCCTTTTGCGCATGGACAAACTCAGATCCCAAACACAGATGAATCCATACTAATACAGGAGCAGCCTATTGAAATATCCACAAATGAGGAACTTAAACCAATGTTTGAACAAGGATACCACAAATTCTGGTTATAAAAACAGATCCCAATTTAATATCCTGCATTATGGGTTACTGTACAGAAGTTGTTGACTGCTTTCCCGTCTTTCTATTTGGTAGAACGTGGATTCAGTGCCATTATGAACCTCATCACAAAAGAAAGAAACCAATTAGAAATTAACATCTCATCACGTTCATCCAAGTCATTAATTTTTTTATATTTTATTTAAAAAAAAAAGTAATTTATATATATTTATAATTTCAAAAATACTTCTTGGGCAATTTTTGACTATGAAAAGGGGTCCATGGGTCAAAAAAGTTTAGGAACCACTGAATTAGACTAAGCATAAATGGATTAATAAAACATAATGCAGTTTTATTTATTTATTTTTGGAATAATAACGAAGTCAAAACTGGAATATTATTTGTCGATAATGGTCAGTTGGTTATTTATTCCAACAAGCCACTATTCCCAATCAGACACTGCCTAGTACATAGTCATCATATGTGTTTGACACAATTCACGACCAATCCAAAACCATTTAAAAATAATTGGTAACAATGTATGTAGTGTTTAAGGACCGTTAGTTAATGATTATTTGGAGATCGTGAGATGCGGTTTGGTGTGGCGTAGGTTCAGAAAAATATTTTCTTAATCGAGCCAACGTTTCAACCTTTATTGAGATCATCTCCAGGGCGTTGGATTTATAAAAATTATTTAAATCACACAAATATATATAGGATGTGAAAAAATCAATTTTAGACTCAATCAAAGTATCTGTACTCACTCAAGGTGTTTGTTTTCTGTGTAGATGTGTCATTATTGTGTCATGTTGAGAGTGCCAGTGAGATATTGATGTTTTATGTTTATATACGTTGAATTTTGAAGGTGTGGGGAAGGAAGTTGGGATAGAAAAACCATTTTTTATATGAGAAATCAGCTTCTTTGAGGTGAAAGGAGCCGACAATGGGAAAGAATAGGTAATGGTTCAGCCTGATTATCCTGTCAAAATTATATAGACGGGGATAATTAAGGAAAGGGAAGCCAAATAGTTGCAGAATTAGACTATGTAGAAATGTTTGATGCGAGGAATGTAATGTTTGTTTTATGTTATATTATACGTTATGTGTGATGTGATGATGATATATGTATGTCATTTATATTGAATTTAATTATTGATATTAGCATAGCTGCGACTGAGTTTACATGTGTCTGTTCTGTAATTGATGTTGTGTTTATCTGTATTGATGTACACCATTTCCAAAAAATATATGTATTTGTATAATTTAAATAATTCACTAATTTCGTGGTCCGCTTGACCAATTAATACATTACAATTAATTAAGGTTTTTAGTTGAGATGAAAAAAAGTTAATGGCACAAGAGGGATTCGAAACCACGTCCTTCGGCTAGATACGCCACTGCTCTACCACCTGAGCTATCGTGACCTCGATCCACTCGGACATCAACTCCCCATCTCAACCCCAGCAACGTAGAGCAGCGGCGTATCTAGCCGAAGGTCGTGGGTTCGAATCCCTCTCGTGCCATTAACTTTTTTTCATCTCAACTAAAAACCTTAATTAATTGTATTTTAAACAATGTTTATAAATCCCAGGCCCTGAAGACGATCTCAATAAAGATCAAAACGTTGACACGATAAAGAAAATGTTTTTCTAAACCTACGTCACACCAGACTGCATCTCACAATCTCCAAATAATCCACATAATAATAGTGTTGACAGTTAAAAATTAATTTTTAACGGGGTTGTGTCCCCGTTGCTGTCAAAGGAGATATTTACTTGCAGATAATTACATTCATCAGTGCTGGGGATAGAATCGATAATATGGTTGCCAGTTATGTAGCAGTACAAGAGCAGTGATCATATCAACCCCCAGTATGCGAGTATTTTTTTTTTAAGAAAAAAAAATCCTAAGTATACTGAATTCAGTTCTGCAGGTTTAAAACCTGAGACTTTCCTTACATTGCTGAGTCACTGTGTCAACCGTGTCGCACAGATCCTTCAAAAATTTTGGAGGAAGAAACCTTATGACAAATAATAATGGTTTTAATATTTACATGCTGTTTCCATGATACAGTTTTCCTCCTAGTCATTTTGATAGGTACAATACTGCGTGTACATAATGCAATATGTGGATCACGTTATACATGTACAGTGCGTGTTGTAGGCAATGTATGAATGTACTGCTCGTACAGAACATGATCAGTGTGTGTTATATCACTCAGACGTCTGTGATGTTACCCTAGATAGTATGATAGAAGGCACGTAATGTAAAGGTATGGGACTTAGGGAGAAAATACGGGTGGCTTTAACGAGCGTGAAAATAGATTAACGAAACGGGAGAATTTAGCGGGTTTAGGTTAAATTTAAAAATTATGCCGAGTACCTGTAGGGCTGTAGACTTGCTGTAGACGATGTCGTCGTTGGAGCCGATGGCCGAGACGATTGCGTCCACTTCTGGAAAGCCGTCGGTGCCAGACTGGAAAGAAGAAACGGTCAAAACTCGTCTCGGCTTGTCCGGGCGTGTAGCGTGCCCGTCCCTCGAATACAGTTACCTTGTAGGCTTTGTGGAGACGAGAGATCCTCCTGTGGAAGGCGTCTTTGTCCAACGTCAGATTGGCCATGGTGCGGGCACGCTCGGGACGGGTTCAGAGACGATGTGCGCCCGGTATGGAGAACGGGCGGTAAGTGCGAAGAAGGAAAGACCGCGAGCGGACGACAACAAAGGCAATCCAGCATCGACTATCGGATTACGAACCGACGAGGAGCTGCCGTATCGTTGAAAGTTGAAACGCCATCAAAAGTATTGAGGACAATGATTATGTATTATGATTATTGGGAGATGGTGAGATGCGATCTGGTGTGACGTAGGTTTTAGAAAAACATTTTCTTTATCGTACCAACATTTCGATCTTTACTGAGATCATCTTCAGGGCCTGGGATTTATAAACATTGTTTGAATTTACAAATACATGTAGGATGTAGAAAAAAATATGAATTTATACAATGCTGGAAAATTTTGGATTAAAAAAAACATTTTTTTGAATTTATACAATGCTAGAAAATTTTAGATTAAAAAGGAATGAATTTATACAATGCTAGAAAATTTTAGATTCAGTCAAAGTATTCATACTCACTCAAAGTGTTGGTTTTCCATGTAGATGTCTTATAAGCATAACTTTGATTGAATCTAAAATTGTCTAGCATTATATAAATTCATTTTTTTTCATTCTAAAATTTTCTAGCATTGTATAAATTTTTAAAAAAAATTTAAATCCAAAATTTCTAGCTTGTATAAATTTATATTTTTTACACATCCTACATGTATTTGTAAAATTTAAACAATATTTATAAATCCCAGGCCCTGAAGATGATCTCTATAAAGTTTGAACGTTGGCACGATAAAGAAAATGTTTTTCTAAAATGTACATCATACCAGACCGCATCTCACGATCTCCGAATAATCATTGACTAACGGTCACTAAACACCACACATTATGTATTATGCACATTGTATCGTTCTTCTCCCACTAGCTTAAAATATATATTATATTTTTTATTTATTTATTTACAGCTCTACAGGACAATTTACCAATATAATTATCGCCATTGTAATTAATATTAGGCTTCAATACTATAATTTTTTATAAAAATAACTGATAATTCTAGTGGAATGGCTATGAAATGAACGGGTGTGTAATTTCTTCCTTTTTTTATAGGCGATCATCCCCTATTATTTGCTTGTATATTTTATTTATTTAAAATTCTTTTTTTCTTTCTTCTTCCTTATTAAATTAATTAATTACTTCCCTTCTTTGCTTTTCAATTTATTCATTTTGTTTATTTGCTTACTATTTCATGATTTATTTTGTGGAGAGAGTGGTGGCTTCACCCCAAGGCCCAAATGAAGCAGCCTCAAAAAGGGACCAGGAAAAAGGGCGTCGCACGAGACGAGTCCCAGGTTTTGAACTTTAGTTTGGTATGTTTTTAACACTGCTCGATGGACGAGATGCTGCCTGCAATACCACCAGCCAAACCCTCAAAGCTGTTGCCCTTTTATGTCCCCCCCCCCCATTAAATAGTCATGTGTTCTGTGAATAATGTGCCTTTACTACGCTACATTACAACCCTTTGTTTGTTTTGGCTTAATGTTTTCCACAGTATGACTGTGCTTTTTATAGCACTTAGTTTATTATCTTCTGTGTTTTCACATGGATTGGTTGTTCAGCGGGTAGGCACATCCTACTTGCCAGCTATTTTAGAACCATCAGTATATATGTATGTGCAGTTTGGTATTTTGTAATATCTCGAGGAATTTTTTCCTATATTCGGTATCACTTGTATCTTGCTTTGTGTATTTATGTAATGAATAGTTGGATTTTACATCAGGGAGTGTCCAACGTGTATTTTTTGGCAAGATTCTTTGGTCTATTATCTTGTTTCAAAGCCAAAGAAATCAATTATTGATCAGCTTTTCTACTTCTACTAGATGAAATACCAATATATGGTTATCAATTTATAATGCTTGTAAAATACCATATTTTTTATATTTAATGTAGTAATAAATACCAAAGTAATAGACTTTGAGTTTAATCTTCTTTCAATACAATAATTTAATTTATTTTCATTTTAGTACAATAGATATTACTAATTAACAATGAGCAACTTATTCTTAAAAATAAGCAAGATTTTTTTCTTCTTTTTAATGAGGCACCGGAAGTCCATCTCTTTTCGCCTATTAACATTTCTCTTTAGCACCACAGTTTACATGGGGCTGTCATACAAATTGGTTCAACTCATTCTAATTAGGAATCTCTCTTCAATTAAATCAAGCAGTTTTTTTTGTTTTTTTTAACAAAACTAATTTTCCCCATGCCTTATCTTGGCACAGTAGTTTCCTGTATTTTTCAATGAACTCTAATAAAAATACGAGACAATAAAACAATTTTTCCTCTCGCATTTCATTTGAGAACTGATACAAAGGGGCTACACATGCTGAATAACTAAACAAAATAAACTACTTCTCTACCCTCTGTCATCTGATGCCGGACGTCTGGCACCTAGCATCTCACCCCATTCATGAAGACTTTTCCTTTATGCCAGGTGTCTGGTACACCAAGTTCGGCGGCTCACATGCCGGGAGTCCACATGACCCAATGGTCCTCTACAGTCAATGCACCGTTGCAGCCACAGACACCACCTTTCTTGTAAATTTATATTTCATATAATTTAAAATGTAAAAAAAAATCATTAATTAAGTCAATCATTGTCTAAATTCTAATTTTCAAGTAACCACACTTTATATAAAAATAAATAATCGATTACTTGAAAATAAAAATACTTTGTTTAAGAGGGCCAACAAAAAGAATCTAATTTATGTCATTATGATCGAAAGATATCTTTGATATTAATTTCAACAGAATTTTTACTATGGACAATATTATGTCGGTTTTAACAAGGCACCTTGTAAGGGGGGGAAAAAAAATCTTGCTCTCCTCTGCCTTCTGTAAATAGTTAGTAGGTCATACGATGGCCAGCATGTCTGGCGGGAAGTAGAAAAAAATCATGCGGATCTACATAGCACTGGACTGTAGACTAGACGATCATACTCTGTAGACATCAAACGAGTAATGTTCGAAGTAGAGTCAAATACCACATAGCATTTTTCTGATTATAGTTACAGTACAAATAATTACAGTTTTGATAACACAGAATCTAGTAGCACAAGTTATGCTAATAAACATGTAACTGTGTGTAAAGGTGTAGTCCACTAACTACCCTTCATCAGAATTATAATTATCGACTTTGGCCCTCGCATAATAGTTTACATAAAATAATATGATTACAATTTATTAATTAATTTTGCTATGTACACGTGACTACGAATCGTCCATCAGGAAGTGTTAAGGCAGCTTTATCTTGAATCGTCGGCGTCTGCGACGAGGCGTGGGTCGTGCGATTATTGAATTGGCATGGTTGGCCATCCTTGTATTAAGTGCTCTATAGGCTTTTTTGCCAACCATCTCTACCATTGGGATGTCTAGATCTTGATGGAGGGTACCGTTGCGCACATACTACGGGGCTCCTGTGATGAGACATAGAACTATTTTTGCACCTGTATTTTGTTCAGATGATTGCAGCACTTCCTAGAGTTCACAGGAGTATGACATATAGGCTTAATTCGCAATTGATATAGTAGTCGCTTAATACTCAAAGTGAGAGGAGATTTGTTGTCTCATTCTTCGGCGAACTTTAACGACCAGATACTTTATATGTTCAGTCCATGTCATTTTTTGAGTTCAGGTGGACACCTAGATAGCGCACCGAAGTGTTACTAGGAATAGGAATTTCCGTTAAATGTAGGGTCTCATCAAAGCGTTTACAACAAAATGGTAACTTCCCATTTTTTGCACCACACTGTCATCTCGTTTAGAAGTAATTGGAGATGTTCTTGTGCCTTTAGGCATGAGGAGTTTCTTTTTCATGTTGCAACATCATCCGCCAGGTGTGCCACTATGGATGAAGTCGATGACGGGAAATCATGAGTATACATATCAAATATAAGCACGAACCCAGTACACTACATTGAGGTTACATGATGTAGGCCTGGACGCTGACAAGTTTTGACCGAATTTGACAGTGAATGTTCGTCCATATAGATTTCAGTAGTCTTACTTGGAGTCTGTTAGATGTGGTTTCACTTTACATAGAATTCCACCTTATATAACCTTGTCCAAAGCCTTTTCAGTGTCTATGAATAAACCCAAGCACACCTGTTTTTGCTCATAAGTTTTTAATATTTATTGAGTGATGCGATGAATTTGTTGTGGGAGTAGCGTTATCGGAAGCCGAACTGTATGTTTGGGAGGAGTTGGGACTATTTATACACCTCAAAAGAATTAAAGGATTACTGAATGAACTGGTCACGGTGTTTAAATTTTTTTATTTTTGACATAATTGTTTCTTTTATTTATTTTCTAAGAAACACATTTCTTCCACACACTTCTTCAGATAGAAACAATCTTCCAAAGTGCATAGTGAATGTGTGACTGGGAAAAAGTGCAAAAACAGGAATGGAAAACAACAAAAATGACCAAAACATGATTTTTTGCGGTCTTTAGTACCCAGGTCCCAATGTTACTTCCGTGGCTCTAGATGACAGCTTGTAGACGAGGCATGCTCCGAACAAGCATGCAAATGTTTTCTTGTGGCAGTCGTTTCCATTCCTCCATTAGTGCTTCTTCAAACTCCTTCAAAGTTATTGGCTCTGACGATCTCTCCAGCATGTACTCTAGGGATTTAGGGGCTACATGCTGGCCAGTACGAAAGGTTTATATTGTGCTGATTTAGGTACCCTCTCACCGCTCTAGCTCTATGCGATCTCCATCCTGCATAAAGATGAAATCAACACCAGCAGCGACAGCTTAGGGCCGAACAAGAACGTCTATAATCTCTTTAATATGAGCTGTCAAAGTACCACCACGAAGAATCAAGAGTTCAGATATGCCATAAGGGAACCAACTACAAATTGTGATGATGGGAGGAGCAAGGGATGAAACGCTCATTTCTTTGCCAAACTTTCACATACCCCTCATTCCTGAACCGTGAACGTTCATTCATTGATGCCTTAATTCTTTTGAGGTGTGTATCAAGTACCCTGGAAAGTAATAGCTGTTCAAGGATTTTTGATAAGAGTGGCAGAAGACTGATAGGTCTGTAGTTTAGCAGGTCTTCAGACTTTTTTTTATCATTACAATATTGCATATTATACATGTTTCACTGCATGGAATGAGTTGTTCTTAAGATGGCATTGCATATCTGTGTTAACCTATTTACCTATTGTCTCATTTTACAATATTCCTCGCGAAAAAGTTGCCAAACTGAAATTCAAAAAAAATATTTTGGAAGGGTCGATCCTAGATTAGGTAGTTACAGATTTCAGAGGGTCAGCTACTTATAATAAAACAACTTTAAACGAAGGTCGATCGACTGCTCAAATCGATGTCTCGAGTTTGCGTTTGATTCGATTTGCAGAAAAAAAAGTCTTCTTATTTCTTAACCTTTAATAGTTTAATATCTTCTGGTAGAGGTAGACTGATATTTGTATTTTTAGTACGATAATAAGGTTTTCAGTGGATTAGTTATTGGATCATCTTTGATTGAATTGGCATGATGTCTGCGTTAACTCGTGTCGCTAGGATGAGAAGCCTTATCCCTTTGGCGAACCAGGCATCTGCCAGAAACATTTCGACATCAAAGAAAAAAAATGAAACAGCCACGGTAACTGGTTTATTTGACAATCATTAGCCAATTTAACCTCTTCTTCCAATCAAATAAAACAATTTGAAGACTTGTATATTATTTTTTTCAGGCGGCCAACCCCTTTACAGTAGAAGCACTGCAAGAATCAAAAACCAAGGCCTGGGTGAGCTATGGCTTTTGCAACAAGGACGAAACGGAGGATCGGTACTACATGCATATGTCGATGTTTTGCTTTGTGACTGTTGCTACCATATTCACCGCCTTTGGTTTGGCCTATCGTCCCAGCATCCATGGACTAGACTGGGCCCAGCGAGAAGCGTTTCTCGAACTGAGGAGGAGGGAACGTCTCGGCTTGCCACTTGTCGACCCCAACTACCTACCATTGGACCAGATCGTATTGCCCGACGATGAAGTGCTTGGCACCACTGAGATCATTGTATAAGTCTGCTTTTGTTAAAGATGTAAATATGTATGTAGGCATTTATTCACAATGGAATTCAAGTTGATAAAAGTCACAATAGAAATAAAGTTATTGGATTGTTTTCAATTACTGTTTATTTCTCCCTTACACTGTTGTGAGGTGAGAGGTGATGAACCCGTCTCCGATTATCCCATTTGCCTTTCCTCGCTGGTTTGTCAGACTTGCTTCATCATTTTCAGAGGCTGGTTTGTGTTGGCGCGCCCCATTCTGCGTATTACTTGGACTCATACAGCAACAAGGACAGGTCAAGATGATCAGAAACTACATAAATATAATTCAATATATGATATAAAGATCCCTGAAGAGTGGACAACTGTCCTCAAAATCTTTCTAAAAATAATTATGATAGTGGTTTTATTTATTTCTTGCAATTGCATTTATGCAATTATATGTGTATAGACTGGGTCTAATGTATGCTGTAAATACATAACTCTACAATTGACCTTTGATCATTTGAAACTCAAGGGACCTAAAAATTTGGATTATCAAGAGGAGACTAAATCAAATGGTTAAGAGTTGATATGCATTTTGTCGTCATTATTTGAATTGAACATTGTTATACATTATTAAAACAATCTGTGAAGCGGTTTTGTTTCAATGCGGCCTGGCATCTGTTATCTAATTGTGATTTTCCAATGAGACCAGCACTCAGACATTGAACAAGTTTAAGAATAAAAATAATATCAACAAAGGAAAAAAGTTAACACATTTAGGCCTAGCAGAACGGAAGGGCATAATGCCATTTTTTGTGCAAATGGGATTAATCTGTATACAATTAAACGAAATCAACAAAGCATTATTTAGTTTATTTTGACTCCGATAGCTCCTAATTACATGAAACTAATGTAAAGGAATTTAATTCTAAACTAAATAAATTGAGTGGTGCATTAAATTCGTTCATCAGTGTATGTGGTGTTGTGTAAACACTAAGTATGTTTAACAAAAATTATGTCCTTTTTATTTATTCACAACCCAAGGAAAAGTAACTAAAAAAATACCATTAAATAAGAAAAAAGGCCTTGGGGAATTATAAAATGTGTTTGGAAAAAATACAGTACAGGTGTACAAATATACTTTGAACCAAGTATGTTGTACTCAAAGAGTATTCTTGTGGCGTTACATTTATTTCGTGTGAAATAAAATATAAAAATGAATTTGTATTTTGCTGTTTTTATATAATTGTGACAGGGTGAGGGATGCGGTAAATCTCGGAAATTTTCTTTGATAATAGGCGGTGTTTTTAACTCGAAGGAAATCGAGAATGGGGATTTTTTGAATTGGATTTCTTTCGGGGTTATTCTATATTGGAAAGGAAGTTAATTGTTAAGGACGATAACAAAGGAAAGGAAATATAAAAATAAAGTTTAATGTTTATTTGCTTTATGATGTTGGCATAGCTATGGCTGAATTTCCATGTTTCTGTTCTATAAGTTATGCTGTGTGTATTTAATGTAAACCGTTTCTAGAAAGTTGCGTTTGTATTTGTTTTTTCAATGTTTATTATTTGATTTGTATTTCGTTGAAATCAAAGCTGTTACTTTTCAAAATGGTGTATGGCCAATTCTGTATTTATTTCCTTTGTATATTATTTGCTAGTAAATTATTAAAAATCAAAATAAATAGAATCCTAGTATTAAAAACTATTAGTTCATAAGTTACATTATATTTACACTAGCATTATTTTATTACGTTTGATGGCTAAATGTTATCATAGTTCATATTCAGATAATTTAATATATCGAAAATTTCATAGACTAACCAAGGAGGTAAAAATCATTAATGAGCCTTTTGGACTAATAACCCAAAGGCAGTAATTTAATAAATTTTTGACATATTTATTTGTTTAAAAGTCATATAAAGTTATTGCACTGGCATAAATATAAGTTTATATACATATGATATTCATTGTAACATGAAATTAATCAAACATGCATTTTGTTAATAAAAAAAAATTGCAACACCATTAATAAATTTATTCACACTTTTAATTTAAAATAAAACTTTTAATTCAAATTTTTTCCAATATAAAAATATATATTCGAATTAAAATATTATAAACTTAAGCATAAACAGAATTTGTGATAGAAATGTGTTGAAGGTTTTAGATTTTAAACGTTTGATCTCACCCAAGAACAAATGCATACATTATTATTTTAAAGACAATAGTTTCAAGTCTTTTATATATGAATGTTAGGCACATTTAAAACAAAGAAGTTTTACAAATTGTAACATGATCCTCCAACAAATTTCTCTCTAATGTCAACACTGAATTGTTGTATATTTTGATAAAATATTGTAGATGTTTCAGTGTGTTGCTGTAACAGTTGTGTTAGCCTGCTGTTCATTCTGAAGAGCCTCTATCGTTTTAAAGGGCAACGAGGCGCTAACAGTGATTGGTGGCATCCCTGGAAGAGAAATTGGAGTCGTTACAGTCTGCGTTGCAAATGAATCTATTAATCCTGAAATGACAATAAAATTAATTAATTTTATTTATTATGTTATGAAAAGAACTTACCTTGACTTGTAGGCATGACAGGTTGTGGATGAGTGGTGACTGGAATCTCAGAGGCTGGAGGTGGCAGAACATTGTAGCTTGGCTGAGGAAACAGGTGTTCGGTAGTTCCAATTTCACCCTGCGGCCTCCACGTCTGAGACTGCTGCTGCTGCATTACACCTGTGTAACTTGGGTTTGCAGAAGGGCTGTGGGTATAACTGGGCATTGCATTTGGGGAATGGATATAATTGGGCATGGCAGATGTAGGTGCTGGTATGTAGGGTTGGTGGACATACTGCATCGGATACTGCATAGTCGGCAAAGGATAAGAAGCATCTCCATGGTTTGGCACAGGAACACTAGCGTAAGGATTAGTACCAGATGAGACATACTGTGCCGGGCTGTTCATATTCACTGTAGTAACTGGAACTGTTGTAGTCCCTCCAGCAAATGCAGGGTGTGTTGGTACTCTGTTATCAATTGAAAGGCTTGACAAGCCTTGAGAGACATCTTGGGCTGAATCATGGTCAGCTTGCTAACAGAAAAGAATACAAATATACAGAATATTAAAAATATTTTTATCATGGAGGTATAAATTTTCCAATAAATAAATAAATAAATTACAAGAGCAACTTTTTCTTTCTGTGTGGCATCAGCTTGGGAAAGAATGGGAACTTCCTCCACAGGGTTAGGAAGTAGAGGCTTGAGTTCGGGCTGAAAATTCATAACTGGAATCCGATGTAAATAACCATATCCAATACCACACCCAAGACTGTAACACAACATCACCATTTAACAATACATAATACATAAGCTAGATACAATCTTATCGAATATATTGTTCTCACCTTCCCTCGCCGGGCCAGTTAGAATTGGGAGTGATGTTCACCTCACGGCAAGTGTCCTGCGTTATATTGTAGACATATAGCTTTAAGCATCGACCCTCATGTGCTTCAATAAGAGTGAAAAGATCCTCACTCTCATGCAACGATGAGTCGGCACCGATTATATAGTCCGAAAACGGGTTCAACCCTGCCAGTTCTGCTGGGGATGACGGATGAACTTCCTAAAATACAAATCTTCATTGTAAACTGGAGTAACAACTAGGGAATGAGGGTAGTTCTAGACAAATACTGAAATTACCAATGCTGCCTTATTAAAGGCATCGTAACCGAGCATGATCACATATGAGAACTATTGGACTAATTTGATCGATAATGGTTCAGGTTCATTCTGTTACAACAGCAATATTTGTTGGACTCCTTAGGCTGCCCTAACTTGTACTTAAGGAACGCAAGTGATATTATGCACATCAAACGTGATAGTCAACTATGGGTCATTTAAATCAACTGAAACTTAATTGCTTAGATAAGGTAGCACAAAATGTAGCTCCTCTCTAAGTGATATTTATTAAATTAGTAAATTCAATTTAGTAAATTCAAAGCAGTCGCTAGTTCACTAGTTTTATTGAATGTGCACTTTAGGGGATAGGGATGAAAGAGGCCCATCATCATGAAAGCAACTTTTTTCTTTGTTTGTTTACTGAATAATTGTAAATAAAAATAAAAATATATAACTAAATTAAGATAAATAAACTGAAAAATCAATTTACTAAAAATGTTGCTATGGAAACAATGAAGAAAATATGTATATATAATATATAAGAAAATATCAAAAGCCACCTTTTTTTTTTTACTTAAATATGTAACGGCGGAAGATCCACTGTGGTTTCAATCGCCATAGTGGAGCAAATTAAATGGGTTACTGATATTATTGAAATGTGTATATACATAATTGTAAGCCAAAAAATACTGAGTAAATGTTCAGAAAAGAATGTGCAAGCTGGTGCTTGATCAATTCAAAAAAATGGAAATACATAGAGGGAGAATTCAGCGATTCAATTTTGGAAGGCAATTCTAGGACTTGAAATATTTGAAGTTTAATTTGGATTTTATTAGTAAATTTCTTTATATGCTTTATTCTCTTCTTTCTTATTTTTTTGCTTTATTCTTCTTCGTCCAGGCGAAAGAGTCAAAAAGGCATCTTGGAATATTTAAGGGTTCAGACAGTGATGTCTGCTTAGCCCCGTGTTATTTTCTCTCTTTTTAGATGACTTCCTCAGTATTAGAGACATATCCGAGGCATGAAAATAAAAATTTTGATGTGCACAGACGATAAAGCAATATTGGCAGACAGTGTATGGGAACCAGAGAGAAACCAGAATCTTCTGGAAGAATACTGTGAAAAATGGAACCTTGCAGACAATGTTAACTCATTCTAATATAATGATATACAAAACAAAAGAGGTAAAACACATTCTTAAAAATATGATTTTTTAAAGATGAAAGTAGAAAGACGTTATAATAATTCATTGTTTACCATTGTTCCCCCATTTCAAAGTTAATACTTCCATTGCTAACCTGGTTGCATCCGACTGTTCAAAATACCCATTAAAACAAAATTTGCCATACATATGATAGATATCTGGTTATGTCCCATGTTGATGAATAACCTCACAAGATAATGATGCATACCTAGCCAAATTCATCAAAGAAATTGGTAATTTAACCTAGACTTTTTGGCTAATTAGATTTTTTTTTAAATTGTCCCATAAATATTGGCTCTAGTGCCAGTCACAGTCACCCGTATATTTACTTAACCCCATACTGCTATTTCTAGTATCGTAATAATAATCGGTGTTTCGTTGTCAAGACAGAAGTTTTTCCTCACTGCAGCAACCATGCATTGCAACCATGGTTGCACCAGGTCCTGCTTGCTTGTATGTCTATGAGTCAAGGTGTCCGTGGTCAATCGCTCTAAGGCTCATCAATGTCCTCATAGGTATTTCCACCATCACAGTGCGATTTTGGATTAGTAAACGCTAAGTAGGAAACGACAAGGGAGAAGGTAGGAATCGGGCTATTTTGCATGCAGTTGGAATCGCTTAACTCACCAGAACATGCCAGACGTTCTCATTGGCACCTTCGAATGAGCAGAACCTGATGCTTACACCAAGAAGTCCCTGGCCACCCCAGTTATTGCTTGGAGTAATGGTGAGTTGGCGCACAGTCTGAGTCTTACTACTGTAGACTATCATCTTCAATGGCTTGTCCAGAGACGCCTTCAAGATGTCCTTCAGTGTGTCATTGTCTTGGTTCTGCCGGAAAGTAGTCAATCAATCGTAAATGGGGAAAACGGAAGAAACAGACTACTCACCAGCCTAGTCCCGTCGATAGAGACGATAAAATCGAAGAAGGCCTCCAAGCCGGCCACCTGCCCCGGCGAATTTTTCTGCACCTGAAACGTTAAAAACACCGGCTAACATATTGCGAAATAATTTTTTCGAGCCGATTCGGACCTTCAGGACGTGGTAGCCCTCGGTCCCGCCGCCGGGGATCTGTACGCTCTGGCTCCCACCCATCTCCGGTCAATGAAAGACAACGCACTTTTAAGGAAATCCGATGAAAACTAGGACAACTGACTAGGCTTACGGCCTATTTGGTAGAACGGAGTTCCTATCTGACATGCCACTGCATCCAGATTTTGGCTACGTAACAAGAAAATCAGCTGTCACCACCAGTGCCAGCAACAAACTGTCGCCAATTTCCCTTGAATCTCCTCTATACGAATATTCAACAACTTACCAAGTCTAAACATTATAAAAACAAAGAATTAAACATTATCTTCCAATATGCTCAACTTTAACATAAAACTAAATAACATACAAAATAAGTAAATAACAGCCGAAGGTAGTGGGTATTTCGGGTGTATACCGCCTGTCACACATTTTTGTCTGTCAACACAAGGGGTCTGCCGACCTCAGTTTGTGAAGCCCCGATATATGCTTACGATAAATAAATAACTTAATAAATAATTCATTAGATTTCGTGGTCCGATTGACCAAATAACATCTTTCAACTAATTAATCTTTATGTAAGGTATTGGTTGAGATAAAAAAAGTTAGCGTCACGAGCGGGATTCGAACCCACGACCTTCGGCTAAATACGCCGCTGCTCTACCACTTGAGCTATCGTGACTTCAGTAATATAAGTAATATAATAATTAGTAAATATAATGTATAGTTTGAGTCGATTTGTGTGTGTGTGTATTATTTAAAAACTTTGTTTAATAATCTCTTAGTCGTCAATCTGGACCATCAAAGGTTTGGATAGATCAAAATTAATGATTTAATGATGTGGAGTGACAATACAGAAAAATCAAGTGAATTTAAGAATTGTTGGATTGGATAATTTACTGTTCGTCTTGATCAATAACATTATTTACTGATTTGTAACTAGCTGTTTACTGTGGTTAGATAAGTGGTAAGTTGAATGAATTAATGAAATCCACTTCCACATTTTCTGCAGCTTCACTTAACCATTGATGACTTTTGTAATTTTGTCTGATATCTGTAGGTATGCATTAAACCAATTTTTTCCTGAGAGTGAGTGATATAGTAACAATTTAATGCACCCTGTTGTTCCTTCTGTTGTAATTTTCAATTATTACTCATACCAATTTCAATAATTGTATCGCAAAATGTATAAAAATATCGTTTTATAATTTAACACGTGTGTTTCGTTTATTTCTGTGTACATTAGTGTAATTGTATTTCTTTTAATTCTATGAGTCAGTGCTCAATGTAAGATCATGGAATTGTTTTTAATTCAAAACATAAATTGGAATCTTTTAAGTCCTGTAGTGAGAGAGGCTAACAAAACTTGATTTTATAAATACAAGTACAAAAACTTTCACAATACACACATCAGGTGAGGATGATTCTTCTCCTACGAGTTAGCTTCTCCGACGGCCACCTGTCCACAGTCATCTTGATACAAAACAGTTTCTCTACTGATCCATCCCACCGACGCTGGGCTTTTAATATTATTACTCATTGTAATTCAGTGTATAATTCATTGCATATGCATATGTGAGTGGCACGTTGCAGCTGAGTTAATACCGGTATAAATAAATAAAAGCTTGGACAATGGATTAATGATGAATGTGACGTGTAGTTGTCAAACCTCTGTTAATTCATAACATTAAACGGTATTGTTGGCTGTATACAACATTTTAATATACCATTTTAATATTGTGGTGTACACGATGGAATGTATTACTATTATAAGAAAACTGAAAAAACGTACTGGATATTCAAACTTGTTACGTCTGCCACCTGGTAGTGTAGACTGTAGATGTAGTAGATAGATACTAGTTTGTAAAAAGTTAAAAACAAGGAAATTTTTCTTGGTGGGAGAGGTGGATTTGGCCTTTTGGGAGTGCTAGTTTATGCTAGTTACCTCGTTCGTCTATTTAGCTATTTTCCTTCAAAACCTTCGTTTTTAAGACACGATGTTAGTCATCTGCCACATTCGTCACGGCCCCAAAATATCCCCTATATTACCCCAGAACGGCATGTGGATAAAAATTTAACATATGTATGTGGTTTAATTTAATAATTTTAGAATTTTGAGCTTTTTTACTTTTCCAAAGCGATAATAGAACTGGGAATCTAGAAGATATAGGTGTAGCAAAGCCTCTGAGATCACGAGGGGCGCCGAGGAGTCTTCACCAATCATTACCGGCTGTCCCGTCAACTTCAGTCTCATCATCACCAGAATCACCAACAAAAATAAACCCCACTGCACTTCTTTCATCTGATTTTGTTATAAACAGACATATCACATTCGGTCGTTTAGTAGAAATTAGAAGCACTTTAGTAAAAATGAGGGAAAAATCCTCGGTGGAGTCGTCGGTCTTTTTCTGAGAAGTGAACACCTTGAAGTAAATCATGGACAACTGGGTCGAGCTTTTGGCCTTCGGAGTCGACGCTATCATTTTCGGCATCTGCAGCAAGCTTTATCTAAAGTACAACTACTCAGCCCAACTGGTCGAGGTGAGTTCTTTTCCCCTCGACGTGGATAGTTCACTCTGGGCGGTTAAGTCCTACAATTCTCAGTGTTATTGATGCTTATGCTTGCTTCAACGTTATGAACTCACAGACAATATTATTTATGATGATAAGAGAAAGCTAAACATAGAGTGCAGGAACCACAGGTGTCACTGTGAAATAAACGCTATTCACAATTTAGCATGATGACAGTGTTCATACTGACTGCTCTAGTCCCCCCTCAACCTCCTAATGAAGCATCCTTTTTAGCAAGTCTCGAAATTGAACTTAAATCATTCCACTATTATAAACCTCGGGCTCACCCCTTTCTCGAACAACTGTTGCTTGAATACTAATGTAATAAATTATGTAGGTAGAAACTATCAAACTATTCAAAAGGCTGTCTGCTTACTAAAAGTTAAGACCTTTACTCTGAGATTGCCTGTTTGAAGTTTGTGAGTTTTTCAAACTGACATCTTACAAAGGCAATTGCCTTTTACGAGAGGAATAAATACCAGCAATTATTTAACTTTGAATTGTGATAAATACTCCCAAACAAAAAACAAATTTCGTGGTATCCAGATCTGTTTGGAACACTTTGTTTAATTCAATGTTTGTTGGTGTGTATTTTTTACTTTTCCAGTCATTTATTGTAGTATGATGACTTTTATTAAAATAACACCCTTGATGAACTCTTGACGGTTTAACATTTTTATCCTTAGACAGGTTTTGGCTTCTTCTGTTGCCCTTTATACAGTTTGTATAAATTTGCTGATAAAGGGCAACAGAAGAGCCCGAAACAGGTATGTACATGTATGTATATATAATATAATGATCTATAATACATTGTACTATAGATAATGAAATCAACTAAAAAATGTAAGTTTCTTTGATTCATTTCTATAATGAGAAAGAATTGTTCCCCTAATTCTTTTTTTCCATTCATGTTGACTAACTTCATGCACATACTCATTCAATTTGTAGATAAAATCATAAAGGATCTGATCTTTCTGTAGTAAATAGATAATGCCTTGTTCTGCCAAACATTTTCATGTTTATTTGACTCGTATTCAGCCGTATTGTAGCCATAGTATTCAAAATTTTTGAATGTGTTCTTAATTATATTTTCAGCAATCCCAGAGGCTAGGGATAAATCCAGATTATTATGACCTAGATGAAACAACACGCAAATATGTGATTTATCAAGGAACGGTGAAGGCCATTGGACGGCCGATCAGGGGCCTATACGCACCGGACATAACAGGTGTTGTTCAGCGTTTGACTATTAAGGAGCATGCCATCGCCCGTAACACATCGGGCTTCTGGTGAGTCGCCTCCTTTCCGTGTCACTCGTCCGGCCGGATTTAAGCAGAAACGATTGCAGGTCCGATCAAAAGAATATTATACATGAGTCGTACAACCTTGTGCCGTTTATGATTGAGAAGGGCTACATCCAGATACTTGTCACGGATCCACTTGGTGCAGAGATTCTAGACCTTGACACAATTTATAACAAGTTTGAGAACAGTTCGCTGAGCGTTATGGACCATGTTATCAGTTTTTTCAATGGAATTAGACAACGGGGTATTGGCACTACTGAAGAACTGTTGAAAGAAGGATCATTCATGACAGGTATAAAATTATTCTAAAATAATCATGCAAAATAATATGTTCTTTCTTCTAATATACCAAACTGTTGTAAACAACAAAACTAAATATCTTTGAGTACTTACTGTGTACTTCTAATATTTTAAATTTTTTTTTGTTCAGTAATTGGTGAAATGACTAAAGGTCCAGAAGGCGAGCTGCAGTTAGGGCCATCTACCTTGGGATATCCTTATTTTATAACTTCAATGCCTGTTTCCTGTCTGCTTAGAAATTTGAAAGAAAGTCGTGCTACTTATAAGTAAGTACACTTATATAATCTTTTATTATAAGAGAAACAATTTCTTGCTCTCCACAACAAAAGTAGACTAACACATACTATAGGGACAAAGTTTTTCCTACCATAAAATGTTCCCTTTTCAATTTTGAACGTGTGAAAAACTTTATAATTTGTTTTTCGCACGCTCAAAATTGAGCTTCTCAGAACGTCATGCTGGCAGTGGATCGGCAGGTTCATTCTTACAAATGTGGAGAGACATGTCTGTAACTCCTTCAACCTGATGATGAGCGATTAATGCCCAAAATCCGGATCGGTGTCAACAACAAATCTGTGAATAGAACCATAATTTACAGAAAGTGGCCTTACATGGTACAAGTCCTGGGTGCCACCAAATCAGCATTTCGCTTGGACACAACAATGCTGTTCTTTTCGTAAATGGGTGCTAGTTTCATTTGTAGCAATCGGATGACTGGCACCTCGTGTGGAGAAAGTGTATGTGTGCTTCATGTGTCATGTGCGAGTCACAGCCTTTTCAAAGACATGGAGTTGATGTCCCATACCTATCATATAGAATTGATTTTTGACTGTACCAAGGTACATGAATCTCTGATCCCATTCAACCCATTTATTGGGAACTTAATATTAATGCTCGACATGTAGCTCGAGTTGTCATCCCTTAGTTGGAGGATGTAGGAAATGAATTGGCCAGCATATTCTCCTATGTACACTCCATAGAATGTGATAAAGTGACGAGTTAAGACATCTTTTGCTGCTTCAAACCACTTTGGTTGAGGTAAAGGTTTTTTTAATCCAGTCACTTATTTACTCGATGCTTAGGAGATTTAAGGCCCTACGGGAGGACAGAAAGTAATAATGGTTAGTTAAATTTTAATCTATCACTAAATGATTTTTGGGGAATTTTCTTTCAAACCATCATAATTAAATAATTTTGATTAACATTCATGAATGTCTGATCTTTCTTTAATTTGGTTTACATTAAAATAGAATTGTGTGGTGTTTAGTGACCGTTAGTTAATAATTATTTGGAGATCGTGAGATGCGGTCTAAGTGGGATGTAAGTTCTAGATACATGCAGTTATGTTTTAGATCCAATCAAAGTATAACAAATAAACAAACACTTTGAGTGAGTACAAATAATTGAATTGAATCTAAAATTGCTAGCATTGTATAAAAATTTTTTTTCACATCCTACATGTATTTTTATACTTTAAAGTGTTTGTAAATCCCATGCTCTGAATATGATCTCCATAAAGATCGAAACATTGGCACGATAAAGAAAATGTTTTTCTAAAACCTACGTCAAACCAGACCGCATCTCATGATCTCCAAATAATCATGAAAATAGAATGTAATTAATAAAATAATAAAAATACTTATAGTTCCCAACACAACAAATTATGAGTTTCCAGTTTTTTGTCATTGAGAGTATTTATATGGTTATCTGTGTTATTTAATTTAAAATTCAAATTAATAAGTTACTAATGTAAGATTAACCTTAAAAGCTTGAACTCAGTAATATACTTTATCACATATTGATGTCCACACACCCAACAAGGAAAAACCATTGTTACATTAAATATACATTTATTACCTGTTAAATAATAAACTATTTTTAACTTTATTACGTACACCCTTGCAGAAATACTTAAATTATTTTAAACAATAGAGAATAAGAATGCAACAAATAAAAAGTGAAAGCTTAATAAATTTTAATACTTTTACTGTGTCGTTTCTGTACATAGTATGTTTTGTTTCAAGATGGCTGTCTTATTTATTTGGCGGTATTGGCATCATCTTTTCATTCATTCTTGCAAAGAAATGGTGGATTGCTAGACAAAATAAAATCAGGGATGAAGAGGTGAAAAAACGGATAGAAGAGATGAGGAAGGAGAGGAGGAAAAATGCCCGTCGGTCTTGCGAGCTATCAGAAAATGAAAAGTGTGTCGTGTGCAAGTGAGTAATCACATTTAAATTCCCCACTCCTCCTGACCAAACCAATCTTTTATTATTATTATTTTTTTTTATTATAGAGAAAACCCAAAAGAAATAATAATACTGCAATGTGGACATGTGTGCATATGCGAGGATTGCAGCGAGGTAATAAAGACACAGTGCCCTGTCTGTAGGGCGACAATATCAAACAAGGCGGCAGCGTTTATATCCTGAGACAAGGCGAGGGTCACAAGAAACAGATGGGTGAGTCGAAAAAGAGAAAAAAAAATGTATTTATAAAAGTGTACAGGGGCCCACTGAGAGAATTCAATTCTGCCATCTAGAACAGAAAGAAAAAGATTAACCAGTTGTTTGAAAATAAAGTGCTTTAAATCTATTTGGAATGTTATTACAATTTGAGGACTTTGTCCTTTCCCCCCGAGGCGACCCTGTAACCGTCAAGTGCCCAATCCACAGCATATACTTCATCCTGATGTCCAGGGAGATCGTTAAGCAGCTTTTTTGTCTTCATACTCCACACTTAAAAATATAAAACTAAGTAATTAGAAAATGAATTGTCCAAGCACGTTGTTGACAAAAATTCAAACTTGTATATTGAAAAGCTTTATTTTAATGTTATGATTAACATCTTTTCAAATATTATAACCTTTTAACCTTTTTGGGATGCTAAAATGTGTTCCCATGTCTACAGCCTCGGCTGCTCCCCCCCCATTTATTTTGCATCATGCAACAAATTTCAATGCTTTCGCTTTGAATTGCTGTTACTCCTTTGTTGTACCAATTCAAAATAATTGAAAATTTATTTTTCTAAAAAGTAAAGTGTTTTAAAACATAATAAACAAACAAATCTAATTAGTGATTACTGATGTATTAAGCTCAACTCTGCACACATATGTATACATATGCACAGTGCAAAGTAACAAAAGAATTTAAAACTGAAGGCAATGACAAGAGGTGAAAAATGATAAACACAATGCGATAGATGGTACAAAATGAGAGAGAGTTGGGAAGGGCAGGGGCGAGAGGTAGAAAAAAGTAGCGTATCTCCAATGAGATATAAACGAGGATTTTCAGAAAAAGGAATGTGTCAAAATTTTGCAAAAGTTTGATTAAGAGGAGGCCAGTTGAACAGAAGAGGAAGAAAAGTATGGTTTGTTGATGATGATGGGTAGGAAAGGAAAGGAGTGAGAGGTCTCCATTCCTAACCGAGGTGTCATAACTGCTACATTGGATAAACCTCAGTCCAGCTAGGGCTTTTAAAGATAAAATAACCACAAGAATATGATAACCCATCCAAGGGCCCTAACCATACAAGCCTGAATGAAATATATAATCATTAGTAGCTTATAAAGGCACAAAGGGAATATAGAGGGATGATTAATAAATTTTTTTGGGGGTTGAGAATCAAACCCAGTCCCTTACTAAACAGATATATTTGATATCAATGATGAAATTAAGATAGTAAATAAAATACCTTTTAAAGTAGAATCAGCACTTGCACTAACAAGCAGCCTGGAATCTGCTGACCACGCTATCATATAAACTGCCTGGACATGGCCTCGAAGGGTTGTAATAAACCTAGGGAAAAAATATATTTTAAGGAGAGTTTACAGGGTGACAAATTATTCAAACTCACTTTCCATTCCTGCCGTCCCATAGCTTGATTGACTTGTCAAAAGAGGCTGAGGCAAGGATCCTCGTGTCTGGTGAGAATTTGACACTGTTCACAAGCTGCTGGTGCCCAGTCAACCTTGCTGAAACACACCAGAGTTAAACATGCTCGTTCCCCAGTGTTAATACTCTTTACAAACCAATCGGTTTCTTTTCAGTTCCCGGCCTCCAAAGGAACATTGTGAAATCATCGCTACCCGAGACCAGCCGCTCGCCATCGTGTCCACACACTTCATCAAATCGTATCTTGGCTAACCTCTGCATTGAAATTTCTAAATACACGTGCATAACACACAAAAACAATATTTTAAAAAATATGTATAAATATTTTAATTATTACTAAGATGTGACACTTTTTAAATAGTGGATTTATACTGTATTTAAAGCATTTGTAAATATAAAGTGAACTCTAAATAATAAAATATTAAACTTATTTTTCACAACCCACTTTTTCAGACACAGAAATTAACTATATTCTTAAAAATTAATCATAAACAATAAGAAAATGCATATACATGAGGCGTGTAAAGTGTTTCCTACAATAACAGGAACATTTATTATTACATTTCACCATTATTTATTATAGGCGTAGTACAAGGTTCAGATGGTATAATCAGAAATTAGAGAAGAAACATAGTTTAATGTGAACATTTTGCTCATTGAAATTGCAATAATAAGATGGAGTCAATCTCCATTGAAAGTAATCTTTTATTTTTTAATAATTAAAAAAATTATTCCGTAACTTTAATACGGAGTTTAATAAACTTTAAAAGGTATGTAGTGTTAAAAATATCTCTCAAATTGATTAATGTTTATTTTTTTTTTAATTAATACAATTGCAAACCATTAAATATCTCGATACATGAAAAAATGGACTTATACCACTTTCAAATATAACAGCATATATGTANATATATATGCTATCTGCTCTTTTTAAAAAAGAGCACACAAGTCAACAACATAGTATAGAACATGTATGAAAATTTCAACAAGTTTACACCCTGAGAAGGTTGCAAAGCATGGGATATTATTGCACTCAGGGCTTGAATGCTGGGTGAGCCCCACCCTAAACATGGTGTCAGTATGAGAACCGACTATGTTCTAGTTTGACGATAGTGCCTTATTCCTTCGCCAGGCTTTCCTGATCGAATTATGGGAATTTATTATTTTACTTTATCCCCCTTTCCTTTTTGGCTTGGGACAGTGTACATGTATGTATATTAACTTACTATCGCTAGTATCTACATTATTTTTGAGTAAAAAGGAACCACTTCTCAGCACAAAGTCAGTGTTAAGGGCAAGTGTGTTCACCCAGTGTGCATGTCCTTCCAATGTCCTGCACAGGATTCCCTATAAGATGAGTATAATTATATACATTTTTAAAATATAGAACGTCTAAACTTACATCTTCTGCCCGCCAAACTTTGACTGTCCTGTCCTGCGAGCCAGAGTATATCAGGCCGGCGCCTCCCCATAAGAGAGAAGTCACACTTTTTGTGTGATTCGATAAGATCCTAATGCACTTGCCGAGGGCTGAATCCCAAATCCTGATGTCACCGTCTTTTGAGCTGCTGGCAAAATTCCTGCACTCCGGATCTGGATGTAAACAATTAAATTTGAATCGTTCCATGATGTTTAATTCAGAAGGGCATACTTGAGTGAAAAGGTTCCCAGGTTAAGGCTGTAATCCACTGCTTGTGCCCATTCATCTGAGGGCCTACCTGCTTGCCCGTGTTTGGATCCCAAAGCAGTACTAAACCATTCTTGCACCCTGAGACCAGTTTTGAGGAATCGGGAGACCAAGAAATAACAAGGACCCAGTTCTTATGACCTTGAAAATGAACAATATCTAATATTTATATTCATCAGTGATTTCACTAGTCATAACAAAACTATTGACTACCACCTACATTAATTCGGTTTAAGATATTTAATAAAAATATTTAATTTATTTATATATAATTTTATGTATTTATTAATGAGAACATATAGCAGCATATCTCCTATGGGCTCAAGGACATATTTTCTGGATTGATGATGACTGGGATTGTTGTTCGATTTCCATTATCATAATTGGCAAAGATGTCCATCTATGCCAAAACTGACGAATGTATCTATAATAATAAGTCTTCTCCATGTGTGATCAAACGCATGTTCTAAGTTCAAGAAAACAACTAATAGCCTTTTGCCATGATTGAACGCATCACGTTCCATTGCATATTCCAGATATACAAGGATATCTATGGTCCCCCTGCCTCTGCAAAAACCACTCTGCCAAGATGGAAATTTTTGAATTGTAGGTGTGAGTATATGTGATTGGCGATCAATTTCTCCATCAATTTACACATCCAGCACGTGAGAGAAATTAAGCGATAGTTTTTCACTTCAATTATTTTAAATTTCTTTTTATTTAATTAATTTATTTTTATGAGTAGGAATAATTATTACTTGGGTCTAGATTTTTATAAAGGTTTCTGATGAGAATATTTTGTTAATAATATCCAATAAGGTAGATTTATCCCTCCCCGCCAGATGCTTCAGCATCTCAATAAATATGTCAACAGGGCATGGAGTGCTGCCCTTTCTGGAATTTAGAGCTTTCATGAAAACATTGTAGTTCCAAGTTTAAAACAATCGAGTAAATTAATAATTCAACAGAACTGGTGAAAACTATAACCATTGAACCACTATTTTTAAAAATAAGTTAGTTGCAGAGTGTGAGGAAGAAGCAGAATCTACAGAATAACACTAGCAAGGTTTAAATACAATATATACTTTTGGGGAAAGTGTGCTCCAATGAGAGATGTTTTCAGAAGTAATGAAATTTTTCTGATTTTGCTACGGCAAATAAAAGGTTTTCCCACTTTTGCTCAGAAATGACTTTCTGATATTTCATGTCTCACCTACACTTATGGTTGAATAAATTTTTCTATGTCCATGGTATAAAGAAGAGAGTACGGAGTAAATGATTGTCAAAATAGACAATGGAGATAACACTGAAACACTAAAAATCAACATTATTACTCACATCTACTGTAACTGAAGCCTTAGGAATTTAAAGATGGGGCACATAAGAAAAATGGTCAAATTAATTTGTGTGATTTTCCAAATAATGGACATAAAATCTACATTATCTACATGCATTCAAATCCACAATGGATTTGTTTAGATAAGGGCATAACTGATAATTCACTCTTGAAAATTACACTTTTACATTTTCACACTTGTATGAAGGAAAGATTGGGAGAGCTGGGTAGATAATTAATTTTAAATGGTAAATACTAAAATATGTCAAGATTCAAGTTCTATGTACTTTCAATAACAAACAAATAATTTAGTTTTAGATTTCCGCTTGAGATCTGAGGGGTGATGGACAATAGCTTATTTTGTATATTCCATTCATTATTTTGGTCTTCCTTTCCTCAGTTCATCAGACACATTTCAGAGTATAATGAATTCATGATCCAAGGCTTAATTTTTTTTTTTTTTCAAAATGATGTGTTCAGTGACCGTTAGTCAATGATTATTCGGAGATCATGAGATGCGGTCTGGTGTGACATAGGTTTTATAAAAAGATTTTCTTTATCATGCCAACGTTTCGATCTTTATTGAGATCATGTTCAGGGCCTGGGATTTTTTAAACATTGTTTGAATTTTACAAATACATGTAGGATGTGGAAAAAAATTATGAATTTATTCAATGTTAGAAAATTTTAGATAAAAAAATGAATTTATACAATGCTAGAAAATTTTAGATAAAAAAATGAATTTATACAATGCTAGAAAATTTTAGATAAAAAAATGAATTTATACAATGCTAAAATATTTCAGATTAAAAAATAATAATTATACAATGATAGAAAATTTTAGATTCAATCAAAGCATATTGAAAGTACTTTGAGTGAGTACAAACACTGATTGAATCTAAAATTTTCTAGCATTGTATAAATTCATTTGTTTTTTAAATGTAAATTTTTTTTAGCATTGAATAAATTCATTCTATTTTTAATGTACAATTTTCTAGCATTGAATAAATTCATTTGTTTTTTAAATCTAAATTTTTTTAGCATTGAATAAATTCATTCTATTTGTAATCTACAATTTTCTAGCATTGTATAAAATCATTTTTTTCTTAATCTAAAATTTTCTAGCATGTATAAATTCATATTTTTTTTCCACATCCTACACTTATTTGTAAAATTTAAACAAAGTTTATAAATCCCAGGCCCTGAAGATGATCTCAATAAAGATCGAAACGTTGATATCATAAAGAAAATCTTTTTCTAAAACCTACGTCACAGCATCTTACGATCTTCGAATAATCATTTTCTAAAAATGTCATCTTTCTAAGAGTGTGGAATAATTGATCATTAGTGAATCAAATCATACCCGTCATCTTGTGCATTTAGCCCATGAGAATGGTACGTTGTTTTAGACCATATGACATGTTAATAAATACATTTTAGTAAGCACTAGCGAACAATGTATGATGCCAGATTCACACTAGCCTAAAACTAAACATTTCTATATCAATATAAATGCAAACACAACAAATACGGTCAGTTTGAAAATAAATTGTAAAATTTTGAGGATGCAGGCTGATTTGGTCTTCTACCTTTGTCTTTTGATCTAACAGACTGATTGAAGATGGTCAAGCAGTTAGTAATTTAGTTAGTAATACCTGAGCATGTGTGGTGAGGTGTTTGAGTATCGACATCCCAGAAGCGAACTGTGGTGTCACCGGAGCCACTGGCCAGCTTGTCGCCGCGGGGGTTGAACATGACGGAGATAACTGCCTCGGCATGCCCGGGCATCGAGCTGAAAAAAAAAACACTTCAGCATACTGTCTTCTGCCGATTCGAGATTTCCACCTTGTGCAACGTGTGACGGCCTGGACCTTGAAGACAGACTGCTGCTGGTACACAATATCGACGACATCTTCTGTATTGAACCGGGCTACGTCCAACGCTCCTTCGAGTGTCTTCACGATTTCCTTCTCGTCCACAAAAAATGTAAAAGGCGTCGGCTCCTCCTGGGACGTTCAAAGTCGGTGGTTTTCAAACTTTTTACAAATATTTTTAATTTGTTTACCTGCGCCAAAACACTGTTGCAAATGTTAGTCAATTGTTCGACGTCCACATTTATCGGAATGTCGAACAGGCTGCCGATTTCCTCTCCAGAGTCCGATTTGAACCTGGCCAAAACTCTTCGCTGCTGTTCCTCCACTTCCATTTTTTTTACATAGAAGTCAATAAGAAATAAATTAAAGAAGTAACATGAGGTAAAGTTGGATAACCATCGAAAAACCTTCAAGTTCAAAGTTCAAAAGTAACAACCTAAAAACCACTAATCGATTTTATACTTCCTAACATTTATACATATGAACAATGATAACTAAGAAAAATAATTTTTTTTTTGTTTACGTGGATATTTCAACTATGAGGTTGTATGAACCCTCAGAGTGCCGGTGTTTTGAAAAGAGCCCATTTGTAAGTTTGCCGGGTTGGAATGTAGGGACGCAGGATTCGAAACCGGGACCTTTACCTCACAGTCAGGTCGATTCATAAATACCAGCACAGAGCGTGTCCAGCACGTAGCGTGGCAGACACAAAAAAAGATTCATTACATACAAAACATATAGGAACATTCATATTTAGCGAACGAGGGCGGAGCGTGTCAGTGCAGACACGTACCAGCACCGGGTAGCATTGACGCCGAAAATGTTTTGCTTGTGCGGGCAGGTGTCTGCGGTTGTCTTTTCTTGTCTGTGTGGTTCAATACGGTTAGTATGAATGGACTAGAGACAAGATTTGTGCAATTCCAATAGCTTAGGTGCCTATCTATAATAAATTGCATTATAATTTTAATTATAATGTCCAGTCTCGGTAAACCGAACTTGCGTCCCCCGAATTTGGGCTAAAATCAGAATCGCCGATCAGTACATTTAAAGTTTTTTTTTTAAATTTTATATGACAAAATTTGTATAATAATATATATATAATGTCCAGTCTTGGTTAACCGAACCTGCGCTAATCGGGAATTTGGGCTAAAATCCGAATCGCCGATCAGTTCAAGATTTTTTTAATAATTTTTATATGACAAAATTTGTATAATAATATATATATAATTATAATAATATTATATATAAATAATAATGATATAATATTATAAGAATATTATATATCATATGTGATGAAATGTACGTAATTTGTAATACACGGACGTGGAAAGAATCTTGTCCATTGGTTTTCTGAAGAATGAAGTTTGTTGGTCTGTAGGGGACTATTGCTGTGATTACCGCATGGTATATACTAGTGTCTGTGCCGTGTCTGCCACGCTACGTGCTGGACACGCTTTTGTGCTGGTAGATATCTCAATCGACCATCTTCGTTGCGGTCACCGACGCCCCTTTAAGAAAAAAATTGTATTTGGACTAAAAATGAATACATAATTAATTAATTCTCTTCATGGGATTAATATCAGCCTTAATATAATAATTACACGGAAAAAATAAGGGATAAGGCGAGTTTGAAGCAAAGAAAGAACTGTGTTGTTTAGTGTGCGTTAGTTAATGATTATTTGGAGATGCATTTTCAAACTAACCTGTCCCAGTGAACTCAAAAATATTATTGTCAAACTAAAAAATAATAAGTCTCCAGGTTTAGATGGTGTAAGCCCGAAATTCATAAAAAACATTTCTAATAAAAGCTTAATACACTTCACCAAAATAATTAATGAATGGTTATTTCCCCATAATTTGGATATACAGTAAAATAATTGTATTACCTAGACCTGGTAAAGACTTGTCTCAGGTGAGTAGCTACCGGCCCATCTCACTTCTTCCTTGTCTTGGCAAAATCACTGAACGCATGATATTAAGAAGAATCAACCTGTTTATTGAAGAGAAGAACCTACTGGCGGCTGAACAGTTTGGGTTCAGGTCACATCACAGCACCACAACACAATTGGCGAGGGTCACAGATATTATTGAGCACAATTTTAATTTGAACAAGCACACTGGGATGGCACTGGTTGATGTTGAAAAAGCGTTCGACTGCGTGTGGCACAATGGGCTTATCTTTAAGTTATAACTTTCCCAAATACATCGTTTATTTAATAAGGAGTTATCTGGAAGATAGGAAATTTTGTGTCTCGCTTAACGACGTAAGCACCGACTTTCGGCCAATTGCTGGTCCTTGGGCCCACATTGTTAATTTATTTATTAATGGTATAACCGAACTAAAAGTTAAGCCAATGTGTGCCCTATATGCTGTTGACACCGCTTTTATGATCTCGGCTCTCAGGGTAGATACAATAGGTAGGCATCTCTCAGTAGCCCTTGAGAAAACATTTAATTACTTTTACAGGTGGCGGATGAGACCCAATGAGTCAAAAACAGAGGTGATTTTGTTCACTCGCAGAAGGCCTAATGTTGATTGTTTTGTGACAATAAATGGAAGGTGTATTCCATGGAAAAAAGAAGTGAAGTATCTCGCTTTGATGATGGACTCAAAGCTCACGTTCACCAAGCACATCAACACGGTATGCGATAGAGGAGTGGCTCTAATCTGCAATCTATTTCCGTTGTTAAATAAACACATTTGTATAATTTGAACAATGTTTATAAATCCCAGGCCCTGAAGATGATCTCAATAAAGCTCGAAACATTGGTACGATAAAGAAAATGTTTTTTCTAAAACCTACGTTACACCAGACCGCATCTCACGATCTCCATATAATCATTAACTAAAGGTCATTAAACACCACACATTCGTAGACAAGAATGCGTATAGTATACCAGATGTGTATATCATACCAGAAATGATCTATTTCCAGGTATGTAACATAATTAGGGAAGAACTCTCTCTCTCTCTCTCAATAAAATATTTGAATATCCTTTTCAAATTTGAAACTGCCCAGTTATTTGATTTGAGCTAAATAAGAGATTATTGATATTGAAACAATGTTATAGGTCATTGTTATATTACTATATTCTATTAAAGCTATTTAACGCAAATTTAACTTGTTAGGCTCTATCTTTCAGTGATAAGCTGTTTTTCATGAGTTACTCCCAAGTACTTGTACTTCCGTATTTACTACCTCAGCCTGTATTGATTTATGTAATAAATTATTGATTTAAATAAATTAGTAATTTCATTAAATTAAAATTTCGTTTTAACAAATAAAATCAAACAATAGGTTAATTTTTTGTGTCATCTCAACTTTCAACCGAAACAGACGGAACTGCGTAACCACCGCAGGGGGTGGTTTACGGAGGGGGATGGGAAATGGTGGGGGACCCCTTTGCAGGAACCATGTGGTATATTTTTAGTAGGGAGAGTTCGTATTCGAATTGGATGTGTGGGGGCACAGCCTGCTCGAAATAGAATGTTACTCCTGCAGCTTGATCCACTCGTGCAATAACCAGATCGAAAGGCTAAATGTAATATTTTAAAATTTCCCAGTCTCCTTGTGGTATGCGGCATGAGGATGACAGGGCACCGGGAGTGCGGGGAATTGGAAAATTTCGAAAGCGTACACACTGAAGAGGTGAAGTCGGAAAACGGTCTGTACGAGTTCATTTTTGAAATATTTCTTCTTGTATTTTGTCGTATATTTTTATGTGACATCACTTTTGAAGGAGGTCTTGAATGCAAACGGTGCAATCTTTCCTTCTCGGCGGAGTCCTCCCTGAAAATGCATAACAACCTACATGGAATTACTTTTAAATGTTTGACAGAATCCGAAATAGCGCTAAGAAGGGATTTACTTTACGAAGAAGTAATTAAACAGCAGGAAAAGGATGAAGAGAGGGCCAAAGCAGCTTCAGTCGCACACAAGCCGAGGAGAGTTTATAGGCCGAAATGTAAGTGCGAAATAAGTGATAATTGTTTATGAAGGAAACGACCGGTTTAGTTACGGCTTGGCAGACTATTGATTTCACTCGCTCTCCCGTAGCATATTGATTTTTCCCCCTTCGGCTTCCTCCAGGTCCCAAGGCTTCTTCTGCCTCCAGTTCTTCTTCAATTTTTTTTTTCACTTTTCCAGCGACAAGGGTTGGCCTCACCAAAGTGAAAATGGAAGAGTGTCTTCGCTGCGACGCCTGCTCCTGCATCTACATCGACCCGCAGGATTACTACAAGCATATGAGGAACTTCCACCAGAAGTTCAACACAGTCATTCCCAGGTATGGTTATCGGCACCTGATTTCCTGCGTTTTCAGGGAAAAAAACAACGCAACAACTGCAAAAGAATTGTAACAATCACATCTATTTGTACATTACCTTCAATCCATCATATGTAGTGGTCTATGGACCAAATTACTTCTTTCAATTAATTAATCTTTATGTAAGGTTTTTAGTTGAAGTGAAAAACTTACATAAAAAGATTGATTACTTTCAATTTTAACGTTTACAATTTTCTTACATGTTTATTAGAAATAATCAATAATGACTGGACTGAAACCTGCTTTCTTACTTGCATTTTAAAGTAGTAAGATGAATGTTGATTAAAAGGATAGACCAAAAACTTCTATGGCCCGACTTCGTCGTTTGTTGATTTTACGGTAAATAAACCAAGTTGCAAAAGTCTATCAAAATGTTTGTTAGGCATATGGTCCGCCTGCCATCGCTGTTTGCTGCCACCAGACAATCTGTCTCATGCCATAATCAGTGCAACTTTGATTATTTTAATCATGTTTGGCGAACATTTGAATATGTTCAGCGGTCATAATTGATCATATTAATTATTCTTATTATGTAAGGTCTTAGTTGAAGTGAAAAAGCTAGTGTCACGAGCGTGATTCGAACACGCTCAATAAACTATAATAAACTCCTTGAGCTATCATGACTTCGATCCACTCAGAGACCACTCGTCATCTCAACCTACAACCTTTCGAATTTTCCCTCTCATTTGCCATTTTTTGTCGGAATGGATCAAAGCCCGTTAGCTCAAGTGGTTGGTTAAAGCAATGGCGTATTGAGCCGAAGGTCGTGGGTTCGAATCACGCTCGTGACACTAACTTTTTCATCTCAACCAAACCCTTAGATAAAAAGAATAATTATTAGAGAACGTGGAATGCGGTCTGATGTGATGTAGGTTAGAAAAGCATTTTCTTCATCGTGCCAACGTTTCGATCTTTTCACTAGTTTTCGTGGTCCGCTTGACCAATTAATATCTTTCAATTAATTAATCTGTATTTAAGGTATTGGTTGAGATAAAAAGTCAGTGTCACGAGCGGGATTCGAACACATGACCTTCGGCTTGATACACCGCTACTCTACCACTTGAGCTATCGTGAGTTCGTTCGATCTTTATTGAGATCATCTTCAGGGCTTGGGATTTATAAACATTGTTTAAATTATACAAATAAACTTATGAATATGGATTTATGATGATCTAGACATTTTAGGTTTAATCAAAGTATTTGTACTCACTCAAAATGTGTGTAGTGAGATGTTAAATGTTTTTTGTTTGTTTTCATTTTGAAGGAGTAGGGATAGAAATTCATTTTTCTATGAGGTGTCGGCTTCTTTGATGTGAAAGGACGGACAATGTGGAAAAAGGGGGTAACCAGTTTGTCGTTCGGGCCTGCTTAGCCTTTCAGGATTATTACAAACCAGATTATTGGGGAAATGAGAGATAAATTGTTGAAATTTAGGCACTGTACAATTGTTTGATGTGTGAGTTTAATTAAACCTAAATGTTTTATATTGTATACTTTTGTTTGGTGTTTAGTGACCGTTATTTGATAATTATTTGGAGATGTGAGATGCGGTCTGATGTGACGTAGGTTTTAGAAAAACATTTCTTTATGATATCAACGTTTCGTTCTTTATTGAGATCATCTTCAGGACCTGGGATTTATAAACATTGTTTAAATTTTACAAATCCATGTAGGATGCGAAAAAAAAATTGAATCTAAAATTTTCTAGCATTGTATAAATTCATTTTTTTAAAATCTAAAATTTTCTAGCATTGAATAAATTCATTTTTTTAATCTGAAATTTTCTAGCATTATATAAATTCATTTTTTTAATCTAAAATTTTCTAGCATTGTATAAAATTTTATTTATTTATCTAAAATTTCTAGCATTGTATAAATTCATTTTTTTAATCTAAAATTTTCTAGCATTGTATAAATCCTTTTTTATAATCTAAAATTTTTTAGCATTGTATAAATTCATTTTTTTAAATCTAAAATTTTCTAGCATTGTATAAATCTTTTTTTTAATCTAAAATTTTCTAGCATTGTATAAATTTTTTTAAATCTAAAATTTTCCAGCATTGTATAAATCCTTTTTTTTTAATCTAAAATTTTCTAGCATTGTATAAATTCATTTTTTTTAATCTAAAATTTTCTAGCATTGTATAAATCTTTTTTTTAATCTAAAATTTTCTAGCATTGTATAAATTCATTTTTTTAATCTAAAATTTTCTAGCATTGTATAAATTCATTTTTTTAATCTAAAATTTTCTAGCATTGTATAAATTCATTTTTTTTAATCTAAAATTTTCTAGCATTGTATAAATTGTTTCTTTTTTAATCTAAAATTTTCTAGCATTGTATAAATTAATTTTTTCACCCTACATGTATTTGTAAAATTTAAACAATGTTTATAAATCCCAGGCCCTGAAGATGATCTCAATAAAGATCGAAAAACGTTGGCACAATAAAGAAAATGTTTTTCTAAAACCCTCGTCACACAAGACCACATTTCACGATCTCCAAATAATAATCATGTATATAATTTAAACTGTCAAAATATACGTATACATAATGTCATATGTATTAACAGAAAAATAATTTGAGTGTTTCTATTTCTGAAACGTACTTCTATTATCTCTTTCTGACTTTTATTTTTTAAACGTACCTATTAAAGAAGCAGAAGAAAGGTTACCCAACAGATTACATTGCTCAGCACCATGAACGAGATGGAAATCAAGCCGAAGCAGGAAAAACAGGTGAAGAAAACAGTGAACGCTGATGAAACGACGAAAGATACACGCAACATCCAAGAGCACATAAAGGTGACTCGTATTTTGTATTATCTGCCGTAGGCACATATCTTATATATATTTAATTGAATGTTCGGTGTGTATGATGGCGAGACGGTGCGCATCCATAAACCGACACTTACCTCATAGATGGGCCAATGACTTTATATCTTTACAGAATCGATGGAGCAAGGTGATCCTCGAGAGGCTCAAGCTGCCCGAACAACCAGTCAAAATAAAGGAAGAACCGCCAGACGATGACTACAGCTACCTGCTTGGAAACGTCGAAGTAAAAATCAAAACAGAACCAATGGATGTATAATCAATCCCTCCACCATTTGACCCTAAATGATCTCAGAAACTTAAAGTTCAATCTTCTGTCGATTGTTCTTAACATAACTCTAGTCTTAACACAAGTCAATGTTCAAGCATCGCCTTGTCGAATGTTCGCCTTAATTGGCCAAAAAATACTATTGTATATCATCTTAATGTTTGTTGATTTTTCAAAACTATAGCCAGCGCGTACCACCAATATGGATACTATTGAGGTGTTTGTAAAAAAAATATGTTTTATTTATTATCTATATTATTTATTATTCAATCTAGTTTTTTAAATTTAATTTGTGTAGCATTGTATTTGTATAATTCTAGTCAAGTTTGTTGTCAGATGTGTTGTTGCAATATGATAAAATTCACTTTGTTCGATGAAATTTTGACTCTAATGTGATTTAAAATAATACTCAAATCGATTCACACGCTCAGTTATAAAAAATATGTTTATTTGTTTGAACATCAATAAATTTGATTGTGAATGGAAATTATATATTTTTATTTCAATTCTCCCTCTTTCTCGCCTTAAAAAACCGTGAAAATGTGAAAAAATATTAACCCTATTCTGCTGAAAGTCAAATTAACTTCTAAACAATACTTCCAGACATGTTGTAACTTGATAGGACAGTCACAATGATAAGGAAGAGAGGCTAGTGAAAGCGAGGAAGTGAACTTGTGTAAAAATTACAAGTCAATAGGTGAAATTTATGGTTTTAATCATAACAGATTTTATGCAGTAATCCAAATTTCGAGCCTTAAATAAATGCTCATCATCAGCCCTGGATGAATCAGGGCTCCACAAAACTAGGATATCCAAACTCTAGCCTAGTTCAAAAATTAATAACTTAAATAATATATGAATTTGCTAATAAACGAGAGCAGATTTAAATGGGATATAATATTAATACATTTAAAAAAATTAGAAATACTAAATCCATTAGGTTTCGTGGTTCAATTGACCAAATAAATCTTTTTCAATTAATTTATCTTTAAGTAAGGTATTGGTTGAAATAAAAAGTCAGTGTCACGAGCGGGATTCGAACCCATGACCTTCGGCTAAATACGCCGCTGCTCCACCACTTGAGCTATCGTGAAGTGGTTAAGCAGCGGCGTATTTAGCCGACGGTCGTGGGTTCGAATCCCGCTCGTGACACTCACTTGTTTTATCTCAACCGATACCTTAATTAAAGATTAATTAGATGAAAATTAAAAATACAATTACAGATGTAGTGATTTTTTACGAACAAAATTCTATTGCCTCAAATCAACTAAAGTGATTTATGCTCCGTATCTCACATCAAAATGGATGGTTCAGTGTTGATAGTATTTACTTCTTATCGTGTCGGGAAATATGTATAGACTGCCAGAAGAATACTGTGAGGAAAACATGTTTAAATCCAAGAAGACTTTCCTGCAATTTATTGTGAGAGGAGAGAGCAATTGCCATCTTTGTTTATAAATTTGAGATCGCTAAGTCTTCGCACGTCTCCAGTGAGGGACTTCGTTATAATTGAGGGTAGAATGATGTTTAATAAGTATTTTCTTTGATTCCTTTGTTTTTGATATTTTTGAGAGTATTGATGTGTTTTGTTTTGGCGAAACTTGGATCAAATTAAAAAAAAAAAAACACCACCCTTATTTTTAAGAAATTGTATATATGACACATTTTACTTATTTAACAGCGACAACATGGTGATTTAAACTGTATGATTAGTCCTAGAATGAAAATAAAAATGGATCCTTACTATTAGGGTACAGACGGTAGAAGTGATCCAGTCCATTCCATGCAGATGAGAGACAAGAAGTGTAAGATCCTAAAAAGTAGTATAAAATTATTAGAATAAATCGACCTGCTGAGTCGTTTGGAAAAGGAATTAAGCTCGTAAAAAACGTAGTTTTCGAGAAATGAGCAAAAACCTAAAAAAATCGAAAAAATTGTATTGTCTTTTTCGATGTAAATGGACGTGCTGAGTAGTTTGGAAAAGGAATTAAGCTCCTAAAAAACGTAGTTTTCGAGAAATTAGCAAAAAACCTAAAAAAATCGAAAAAAATTGTATTGTCTTTTTCGATGTAAATGGACCTGCTGAGTCGTTTGGAAAAGGAATTAAGCTCCTAAAAAACGTAGTTTTCGAGAAATGAGCAAAAAACCTAAAAAAATCGAAAAAAATTGTATTGTCTTTTTCGATGTAAATGGACGTGCTGAGTCGTTTGGAAAAGGAGTTAAGCTCCTAAAAAACGTAGTTTTCGAGAAATGAGCAAAAAACCTAAAAAAATCGAAAAAAATTGTATTGTCTTTTTCGATGTAAATGGACGTGCGGAGTCGTTTGGAAAAGGAATTAAGCTCGTAAACCACGAAGTTTTCGAAAAAAACATAAAAAATCTAAAAAAATTGTATTTTCTTTTTCGATGTAAATGGACGTGCTGAGTCGTTTGGAAAAGAATTAAGCTCGTAAAAAATGTAGTTTTCGAGAAAAACGAAAAAAAAATCGATGTTTTTATAGACTTTTTCGATGTAAATCGACCTGCTGAGTCGGTTGGAAAAGGAATTAAGCTCCTAAACCACGAAGTTTTCGAAAAAAAAACCCTAAAAAAATCGACAAAATTTATAGTTTTTTTCCGATGTAAATGGACCTGCTGAGTGGATTGGAAAAGGAGTTAAGCTCTTAAAAAATGTAGTTTTCGAGAAAAACGAAAAAAATCGATGTTTTTATAGACTTTTTCGATGTAAATCGACCTGCTGAGTCGGTTGGAAAAGGAATTAAACTCGTGGAAAACGAAAAAAAAAGAAATTTTTTTAATTGTCTTTTTCGATGTAAGTAGACCTGCTGAGTCGACTGAAAAGGAATTACACTAGTAAAACACGTAGTGTCGAGGAAAACCCCCCCCCCCCCCAAAAAAAAAAAAAAAAAAAAATTGAAAAAAAAAAAAAACGAAAAAAACGACCACCTGGTTTTTGCACGAAAAAATGGCCATCTTTTACGGGTAAATCTATTAAAATTAATTTGTTTTGGGAAGTTTTAAATGATTTTTTCATATATTTTATTACACTTCTAATAAAAAATTGTCCGACGAAAAAAAANAAAAAAAAAAAAAAAAAAAAATTGAATTTTTTAAAATTTTATTTTTAAATGATCAAGTTAAATAAACCGGAATTCAATATTAAATTACGGGTAAATCTATTAAAATTAATTTGTTTTGGGAAGTTTTAAATGATTTTTTCATATATTTTATTACACTTCTAATAAAAAATTGTCCGACGAAAAAAAAAGTTTTGATTATTTTGACTGTTTATTAATAAAAGCAATAAAAAAATATTATTTTCAAATTGGAAAAAATGCTGATGATGACCGGAAATGCAAAAGATAAAATCTCCACCTGAAAATAAATATAACATAGGATTTTCATAAATAATACTTAATAATAAATAAATCAATAATGTTTACAGCTATGTTGAGATGTCACTTTTTTGATGGCAAGAACAAAACAAGCAATGCCGCAACTAGAAAAAAATTATACATTTCAATTTTGTTGTTTTTACATATAATAAACTCTTTTGCATCTTACTAAAAAAGCAGATGCCAAAACTATAAACAGGGAGTTGACAATGTGAGTCTACAAAGAAGCCGATAAACATGTTGCCGATGATAGCTCCAAACCTTCCTGAACTAGCAGTCACTGCAAGTGCAGTACCCCTGTAAAACGTATGCATGTTAAACACAAATTGAATTTGCACTGAGATCTTTTGGGCTTACGCAATTGTAGTGGGGAAAATTTCGACGATAATAATGAAAAGCAGTGTTTCCAGAAGTGTGGCACTAGATTCGAACATTGCGCAAAGAAATATCATAAAACTTTGTTCTTGCACATGTATGAATAGCAATGCGGAGATGCCAGTCAATAACAGGAGTACACCTGGACATCACATTTTTTTGTGTATAAGTTACAAATAATTCTTAAGATGAAATGTTTTATTTACTTAGTATGAATTTTTTAGATATACATCTTAGGAATAGGAAAGTAATGATCACTACAGGGAAGCTAGAACTGGTTATTACAAGAGCATGAACGTAAATGTCATGAGTTATTGTGTGACACTCGCTATCGGATTGGTCAAGTATTGTACTAAGCGCCTCTGAAGCTTCACACATGGCTGCACTTTTCTTGTAAAAGCTTGAATATTTGGCCATTCTCTCGAGTAATTCCGGTACCCAGATTACTAGTGTCAAATACCTAAAATAATTTTTGTTCAGTTAAATAGGCAGATTTAGTTAACAGACATTATTATATTACGAATATTAGGCTTATTACATCATATTCCCAATTTAGAAATCTTAATACTTCTACACTCTATGTACAAATTAAAATCACAAAATTACCCATTCAAATTACCCAAAGTTGAAGCAAAAATCAATAACACAGCACAATATGGTACGCGCTCGCATTTCATTGCCAAAAAGTTCTTTGTAAGCAGAGAACAGATCTAGAAACTGTTGTGTTATAACTTTGCTCAGAGTGAATTTATTAGACTCCAGTTTTTTGGCTGTATCCGAATCAATGAGGCAATTCACCTAGAGAAAGGAAAAATTATCAATCTTAATATACACGAAGACCCTTTGTGCGATATACAAACTGGAAATTTGGATGTTGATTTCCTCGTGTTTATTCTGTACATTTTTTTCAGAGTGTCAAAAGTCTCTTGGAGCCTGCCCGTGATGTGCGTGAACTTTGGCGATTCTGGGAAGAACGAGACGAAGACAAGCCCGGTGAAAGACGGGATGGATGCGCATGCGGTGAACAGATTCCAAGACTGGTAATCTATTATTCCAATTTGAATATGAATTTTATATGGCAGAATCAACATGGCAAGAGCTGTGAATGGAACAAAAAATAAAAACAGCTATAAAAATCACATCACATTAAAACAGTATACAATATATTACCAGAAGTAAAATATGTATAAGACTAAGGGCATATTACAGATTAAAGTATAGGCCGACAGTTTAGTTTGAGTGAGTTGCAACCACATAAACTAGGCAAACTAAACTGTTGGTTGGATCATAGTTACAAATCAAACCTGCATTGGACAGCTTTTGCCAAGTGGTTCTACAAAATGTTACCCAAATCAGTTGTTATTGCTATTAAACAGATTAAAAATATTATAAAGGTCAGCCAAAGAGGTCAAATAGCATTGCCAGGTAATCCGAGGCAACATTATGAAAATTGAGGACATGGCGTTCATGGCTAAATGGGAGATTTTTTTTCACTTTTCCTTTAAAAAAGAATTGGGCAGCCTATCAAATTGTTTAGTTGGTCTTGTATCAATCAACTAGAGTTGCTCAGGTGCATGCACTCACATAAGATGTAATGTTGAATAAGGAACCAATGAAAGTCTGTACTATGAGATGAATCTTAACTAATTAATTCCTCCTTTCAATCCTTTTAAGCTTTTATTAATAGTAATTGTAAAACTAATTATAAAATTATATTTATATGATTAAAATTTCATGTGATAATCGTTTAAAATCAAGAAAATTTATATTTTGAATCTGTTTTTGTGAAAATTTCATTTCATGCATTACTAACGGTTTGTCAGTAATATTTTATAATTAAATTATTACAAATCTATTTTTATTTAATCTAGAATGAAATTACCAATATAAATAACCTGGTATGTATACCATTCCGCAGCAGTAGAATAATTCAATTAGCGGCAGTAATATTTCTCCTTGGTTCTCAGTTAGGAACTCGCCAAAATATGCGAATACTAAACTTGTCGCTCCGATAATACTGTAATCAGATAATGGATTAAAAAGAAAAATTGTATAAAGTAAAATGTTGTTACCTGAAACCATTAAAAACCCTAAATAGCATTAACATGAACTTGTTATAGGAGAAGCTGGATAACACACCTGCGACAAAATCTAGCAAAAGGCTCATTAATAATGCCTTCTTTCTCCCTTTTGTATCAGAAATTGAGCCCCAGAAGAATGTCCCGATAAGCATTCCTTCAAAGATGACAGAATTACAACTTATTCATTAATTTTTATAAAGGGAAAATCGGCGTACCGATATATGGGAAAACATTGATTTGCCCTTTGTCAATCGAAGTCAGGTTTAATGCACAAGTTGAGGCAGGCAATGTGAAAGAAAGTGTGCTTAAACTGGCACTGCACGCCATATATATGATTCCACAAGTTATATACAACGCAATATGAAAGAATCCAAACTCTTAAATATAAATTGTTATTAATAATCTGTAAAAATTTGTAATATTTGATTAATATTTTTACTTGTTTCTTGCAATGCTTCGTCAAAATCGATTGGCTCTGAAAAATCAAACAAACAATCAAAAGTAAAATAATACTAGATCTCTGATGGCCTAAAGGCACCATGTAATTGAAGGGGTTCCGTTCCTTGGCTCTGTATAGTAGAAATAATGTAGGAACCCCAATATGAGAATTGTGCTTGAGCACAGCAGTGATTTATGTCCCTTTTTCCAATTTTTTGGCTGGTGTGTAAAGGATGATAAAAGAATGTATTTAAGAGTGAATGACTGAGTAGGTTTATGTTTCTTTGTGTTACTGCGATTACCTTCCTGTTTACAGCTCTGGGCATAACTTCGGTGGTAGGATGTGTAAGACTGAGGTCTAGCCCAGACTTCCAAAACCTGAGATGGGCGATTATTTATATATGGTGTGTATTTTCTGCGCATGTTGAGTGTGAAGATATTTATTAGAGTGAGTGTGTAGTGTGAGAGGGATGACGAGGGAATATTGGGTACCCCATAGACACTCAATTAAACCATTTCATTGTAGATAGTAAGTTTAAAGAGTGATAGAGGAATTAAAAAAATATATTATTATTACATACATATAGAATAGAATATAATAAATTTTTATTTATACATGTGCACAACAACATATACAATAATTTTTGAATGTACGGAAAGTGACGTTTCACTATGGCTTCCTACTATTTACACTAATCATTTTTGTATACAAATAGGTAAGAGAAATTCCATAATAGTTTGTGGGAAAAAAAATTATGTTAAAAAAACCCACAAGACATACATATAAGTGAAGCATGTCCAGGCCAGATTTATAAGTTTTTTGCAGAAGTCATTTGTACATATGTAAGTATATTGGGTTCAAATCCAGCAGCCCTGCATTTGAACCCGGGACCTTCACCTTACAGTGATGAGCGCTGTGTCAACGCTTAAGTCGTTTTGCCCACCGACACTTTCAATAAAAATAAATAAATACAAATCTTTGTTCATCCCAGGTTCTTTTTTGAGGCAAAGCTTTTATAATGTGTATAATTAAGGTAAAAAACTCCCAAGTGATGAGGATATTGAGTCATAATAGAAAGAGAGTTTTTTAAAGTTTTGTTATTTTTTAAAATTTAATTTAAATTTTTTTAAATTTTAATTTTTTTTAACAGAGTTAATTATGTTTAATAATTATTATTATTCTCAATTAGCCAGACATTTTAGGTTAAATTTAATTCAAGAGGAGTATTTCAAGTAATTTGTAGTGCATTTGGTTTGGATTACCACAAAACTTGTCACGGTTCCAGTCATAATATATCATCATAAAACATATTAATTGGGGGAGGGAGATGAATTGCATTGAAAGGAAATGGAAATTCAATTGTATTAATTTAAATAAGAGTTTCATTATGCGTTAATGTACTATTGCACCGTAAAATAAATTATAATAAAAATTACAATGTTTTTAAAATACATTTTCTTTTTAGATACGTTCTTTTTTGTAAGTAATTATCAAAAGTTTTGCTAGTTAAATTTTTATGTATCAACTTATTTGATTAAAAAACACATAAAATAATATTGAATTGATTGTTTCTTGCATAAAACGTATCACTTTGGGGGAAGATGAATTGTATGAACAAAGGAAATGGATATTCAATTGTATTAATTTAAATATGAGTTTCATTATGCGTTAATGTACTATAGCACCGTAAAATAAAATAAATTATAATAAAAAAAAAAACAATGTTTTTCAAATACACTTTCTTTTTAGATATGTTCTTTTTCATAAGTAATTATCAAAAATTTTGCTAGTTAAATTTTTATGTACCAACTTATTTGATTAAAAAACAAAATAAAATTGAATCAATACATAAGTTATAAATTATAATAAAAAAAACTTTCAGTATTATAAAAAAATGAAGTTAGAGTTCAGTTTAAAAAAAATATGGCAACAGAGGCAATTGAGCATGAAAAACTTCAAAGCTCATATCTCAAAACTATCAAAAGAGTACATATGGCGTTTCTTCTTAGCAGCGCAGTATTGAGTACCACTCTACCACCTTAATCGAGTGATGAGGAGAGAATGTATTTAAGTGAGTGAGCGTCTGTGTTTTATAGGTTTAAAAACTGTATGAGTTGGGGGCTGAAATGACCTAGCTGTTGACAGCCCCTAGAGCCTAATTTTGGTGGGAGAATGTATAAGACCAAGGTCTAACCGTGGACTCTTGAATCACCAAAGTGACCGATTGACAAATGTAATGTTGAAAAGCCATGAGAAGGTATAATTTTGATTCTGTACACTTGCATATGTACAAATATGTTCAGTGTTTAGCTAATGCAAAAGTAATCTAATGACAAAGAGCATGGTCTGTCACTTGTTTCTTTTTTATCGTTTAATTGTATTTGTTCCTTTTATTATTACTGTATCAATAGAAGTAAAAATCCTGTAAAACTCATAACTGCCTCATTCTATAAAAGAAAAATTAATATTTGCAGACAGATAAGTTCACAGTAATATGGATTGTTTGATGGAAATTTATATAGAAAAACAAAATAAAAAATATTAAAAAAAAACCTTCATTTCCATTTGGTAACTTCTTTCTCCAGATGTCTCTTTCCAGCGCTTCACCTTCAGGTGTGTCGAACTGTATAGCAAATCTCGACCCGGTCGCTTTTGCCGAGGTAAGCGCTGCATGAGAACCGGCCATAAAGTTGTGAAGTGACCTGTCGCTTTGCCTCCTGATTATTTTCTTCTCCTGCGTAAAATCATCAGATTCAACATAGTTCGAGTGCGTTAAATGTATGCAAACTTACTGGGCTTGTTTTAGACGAACGGGAATGGCTGCCTTGTTTGGGGCTTTTTGAAGTAATGTCACCGTACAATTCATGACCCTGAAAAGAAATCAAGCTTTCTTAAAATTGTTAATTGTATGAATATTTAGGAATAATAAATTTTTTATTTTATTTTTCATTTAACTGATTATATTAATAAAACAAAATGGGAAATCATTATGTTAATAAAGTAATAAATATGAAACTCTGCAATACAATTTCTTCAGCAGAAATTTCTCTTTCCACTGACCCAAGTATATTTTAAATTTTATCCCTAAATGATTGTTTTTTAATAATATTTATTTATTGATTGATTTATATATACAATTAATTAAAAATCATGTTTTGAAATGACTTACATTTGTCTTAATTTAACTTCATTTAAAAATCAAACAATAAGAAAATTATTAAAAACATTAAATAAACATGTATTAATAATCATCTAAGTGTAAACATAATTAAAATATAAAAACTACAATGGTAAATAAAAATTGTATGAAACACAATGTGTGTGGAATGCTGAATATGAAAAGCTAGAAGTTATTAGTGCATTTACACATTAAAAATATTCCATAACATAAAAATAAATATTTCTTAGCCTAATAAATAAATAATAAATCTATATACACTGATTAAAAATATAAATAAATCACTTATGTCTTGTTTTAAACCAGAACAAGAAAATGTATAAAGTTACTTACTTTCATGCTGTGATAAGAATGGCCCTAAGAATAAAAATACAATTTGTTGTATTCAATAAAATAATTGAATTTTATACAAACTCATATTATTTGATATTAAAAAAAAGTAAAATTGTTACTTTAGATATATCCTGGCCAATAATTTGTTCTTGACTTTTCCCCTAAAGATAGAATAAAAGTATTAGTAAAAGAAAATGTAATAAATGATACAATTTACAAAATATGTTAGGCTGGATTTAATAATATGCATATTTAAAATATTACTTACGACAGTGCCTTCTCTGCTCTTTAAAACCTGACAAAAAGCAAATCAATATAAATTATTTCCAATAATAATTATAGTTGAGTAAAAAGACTAACAACCAATTGGTCATTATTTAAGTAATATTTATAAATTGCAAGTTGTATTGATACAATATTTATTAGCAAATTTGGTGAAATATACAATGAGAAAGACGCTTAATCTAAAAGCACCATATTTAAAATTAAAAATGTAACTTTTTCCAGTGACAAGAAGTATCTAAGGAAAACACTAGATGAAAAGCTCACCAGGAAGAGACATATAAGCAAAACAAGACCAAAAGCAAAGGTGTGGACCAAAGATTTTGTAATAAAACATGGAGTATAAATATAAAAATAGTCTACTGGCTTTACACAACAACGATAAGACTTTGGCCATATATGGAGCTCTAATATGGTGACCAAAAACCTTAGAATAGAAGACAGAAAATCAATTTAAAAAATCGTATAAAATGTCTTAAAAGTTACACGAGCAATGCATACTCGCTCAATTTCAGCAATAAGTGGCACCATGCATTCACACAACCAGAGGATGTAAACAGACTCTTAAGACAAAATACCTGACTTAAGAGAAAGCTATCATAAAATCGTACAAAAGGATAAAAATAAATGAGAGTGCAGTGTCTGGGTCAGGCAAAAAAAAAAAAAAAAAAAAAAAAAATTGACAGATTCTTCCAAGTACAAATAAAAAAAGAATATTGGGAAGAATAAATACTGAAACAATAGGGGCCTTATTATATAGATGGTTCTAAAATGGAATGGGGCAGGAGTCAAAAGGCTCAAATTTAATCTAGTGAATTCTCTAGGCCGAACATCATCAATATACCAAGCTGAGATCCAGGCAATAAACTCCGTGCACAAGAAATACTTAAAAATGGATTAAAATGTCCACTTAGCTCTGAACACAAAACTAATCAGGGAATGTTTAACAAAACTGCAACTCTGGGGAAAATGAAATCAGGTAACTCTGACATGCCAGGAAGCAAGAAAATTATAAGCGACAAATTCATCATGCACATTGCAGAGGAAGAAAGGGAGATTAAAGTCACCAGTGGTCCCAGAAAAAAAGGGAAAAACAAATCAAATTATTTTTTGCTGTTCTGCTACTGTTTTGTTCAAACAACTGGATTTGATGGGGTCCTTCTTCCAAAACAAACTGAAAGGAGTTTAAACATTAGTGATAGAACAGTTTGCACTAAATGAACAAGAACAAACATTGTAAGTTGTTGCTAAACCAGCACTAAACAATTTGTTGTAAGATTTTTTTTCTACCCAAAGAAACTTTCTGGGTTACAAAATGAATTTACAAATTTCCTGCCTCCAGACATGTATTTTTTATGGTGTCCCAATATGGAAAAAAGACCTTCAAAAGAAGTCTGGAGTTCGAGCACCAGAGTGATGACCAGAACAAACACAGCTTTTACTCAAGAACTAAAAAGTTCGTGATAGACTTGAATCTACACCAAGAAAGTGCAGGTTTTCTGATTTCCAGCCTGAAATCTAAAAATATCCAGGCTCCACTTTCTTTCATAATATGGCTATTGCCTTTTTTTATTTTCTTCATAGCCAGAACTTAACAATGCTAATAAATGCATTCATTCTCAATGTACACTTAGAAGCACAAGGTGAGATATCTACGAAGTACGATATAGTAAAACAGTCCTGTTCCCTCTAAAAAATCAGAACATGATAAAGAGTGTGCTCAAGCACAATTATCATCTTGGGTGGCATTCCTACATGTTCTCTATATAGAACCAAGGACTGACAGCTTACAATTAAGTGAGATACTTGACCCTTATCTACATTCCTGACATGAGGGTTTTGGTCCAAAAATAAGTGTTCATGTGCCAACCTTGCATGACCCATACTTTAATGTCAGATCTGTCAAATAACCTATTTTTTCGTTTTATTTTAGGGTTGGGCATGTAAATCTCATTTGTAAAAAATCTGTTTGTGATAGAAAAAATCTGTTATTTTTCATAAAATCATTTAAAGGACACTTTTACTCCTCGGCCATCAAAGAAAATAAATATATGATTATCCAGAAATACCCATTTTCCTAGAAATTATCATAGATTAAATTATTGATTAAATGAATAATTATACATCTCTTTTTAAAGTTTTTTATTAATAATATTGTAATTATTAATTATATAAGTTTTAATAAGTATACAAATAAAATTTATAGAAAATCTCCTTACCTCAAAACTAATTTTTGAAGATTAAATAAAAATAAACAGACTACACATCCCTTTTTAAAGTTTAGTTTTTATTAATAATATTGCTTATATAATAAGTATATAAATAAAATTTACTGTAAACTTTAATTTTTCTTACCTCAGAATCAAGTTTTGATGGGTGTACCTAAATAAAAATAAACAGAATATACATCTCTTTTTAAAGTTTAGTTTTTATTAATAAATTGCTTATATAATAAGTATATAAATAAAATTTACTGTAAACTTTAATTTTTCTTACCTCAAAACCAAGTTTTGATGGGTGTACCTAAATAAAAATAAACAGAATATACATCTCTTTTTAAAGTTTAGTTTTTACTAATAATATCGTAATTACTGATCATATTATATAATAAAATTGACTGACAACTGAAATTTAGCTTACAACAGAACCAAATTTTGATGGACTGGTATAAAATAAATTAAAAAATACATTAGAAATCTGTATTATTTGTGGAAAGTATATTTGATTTATTAAATTAATATTACAGTAGGTTAATATTAAATAATATTACTTACATCCAAAACAGCTTCTGATGGTCCGATCTAAACAAATTTTTTTTAAATAGATCACCTCATCTCGTTTCTTTTTCAAATTGATTATTATTAATAATTTAAAATTGCTTACTTTAGGAATGGTTTTTGATGGCATAACCTAAACAAAAATTTAAAACGTATTAGGAATCTTGCCTTTTTTTCAGCTTTTTTAAAAGTTTATTTAGCACACATTTATTGGCTAAATAAATATCAATCAATGATCAATTAACATATCTAGCAGATGACCAGAAAAGGAAAAAGTATATCAGAAATTGGTTTTGTTATCGCAATCTCCACATATGTATTTTTTGTTATCACATTCTCCACATATGTATTTGGTAATTGACCCTATTAAATATTTAAATTAATTATACGTTTTATATAATGTCTTTGTTGAAATGGAAAAGCTCATGACACTAGCTTTTTCATCACAACCAAGACCTTAAATAAAATGTATTAATTAATTTAAATAATTTTTTTAATGTAAAGTAAATGAATAATATTTTATGATACAGTATAAGAAAAAAATCAATCTATCTTGCTGTATTTATATCGTAATTAAAAATACCACATGTTCTGGGGAAGGTAAATAAGGAAAAATAGTGCAGACAAATAGGCTATGTCCAGATGAGTTTCTACTTTGGATATTTGTGCATGTAGTATGTAAAAGAACTGTTGGACAATGACATAGATTGCGCAATAGACTAATATTTATTGCAATGCAAAAGGCCGTGAACATCTAATGAGCTTTATTTGTAAAAGAAAAAAAAATATAATTGAAGACCCATTATCAGTAAGAATCTTAGTCTGGGTCTAATTAAAATAATGTTTAAGGCCAAGGGAAAAACTATTTAAGTTTAGTTTCAGTAGGTTTTAGAATGTGGCACTCTAATCTTTATTGTGCCAACGTTTCGATCTTTATTGAGAACATCTTCAGAACTCAGTGTTTGTTTTCCGTGTCGATGTGTCATTCTTGTCTGTCGTGTTGAGAATGCCAGTGAGATATACTTTCAGTTTCCAACAGTTTTTAATCGTTTTAGTTTTCAATAGTTTTTAGTTAGTATAAAATTAATAACTTTTTCATTCTGGATGTACATAAAGTTTAATGATTTAAGTTAGTGTTTCGCCACTTTCACGGCGTCCATGTTAGGCTAAATCCTTGTGACTTGCGGGTCTTGCAAAACTGTAACCGCTCCTCGAATAGTCGAAAACTGAACCCTTCTTTCTCAAATTTTTCTAAATGTATTTAAGAAATCTTTTAATCTCTCTCTCTCTCTCTCTCTCTCTCTTTCTCTATATATATATATATATATATATATATAAAATCTATCTAAATGCCAACATCTATGTATCGATGACCACATAACTAACTAACTAAATAAATAAATATATAAAAGCTGTTAGGTGTAGGAGGATTAGTGGTTGAGAGGTTAAGAGATTTAGGAATGAGCATAATTACGGGATACATCCATAAGAGAGGAATGTTATATATATATATATATATATATATATATGATTCTATCTTATTCTAATGTATAATATAATTAACAATACTATGCGTTCTGAGGAAGGTTTCGAAGAAAAGCAATGATGTAAAAAGTAATGAAAAGTAAAGAAAAGTGACACCAGAAGATTTTCTACTTGAAGATTTGCATACGTATTATCTAAAAGAACTCTAGACAATGATAGAGATTGTTCAGTATTCTAATATTTATTGCATTGCACAAGACCATAAACAGGCCGAATCCTAATAGCCTGTCATATGAGGTTAGTAATGAAAAACACTGTTATTTGTAGGTACCCCACAAATAAAATCGAGAGGGAATTCAAATAATGCTACAAGAAACCAAAGCAACAGGAAAATTGAATTAGCTTGAAAAATAAATACTAACATTTTAGAAGAAATAATCAATAAACTTTACATTATGACCATTTACATGAAAATAAAATATAATTTATAACCAGATTGTTTATAATTTGAGTACTAACGATTTTCAAAACTATGCGTAATTAAATGAACTTTATTTGTACAAGAAAAATATTTAAAATTTAGTATCCGACCCTTTATTAATAATAAAACAGCAACGAATTGTAGCTGGATCTAATTAAAATAATTTTCAGGGTAACGGGAATCTTAGTTTTCAATAGTTTTTTGATAATGTAAAATTGCCAACTTTTCTCTCTGGGTATAAAGTTTAATAATTGTAAGTTTTTTGCCACTTTCACGGCGTCCATGTTACCCTAAACCTTCGTGACTTACGGGTCTTACAAAACTGTAATCGCCCTTTGAACAGTCGAAAACTGAACCTTTCTTTCACAAATCTATCTACATATAAAGAATTCCAGGAAATGTAACTTATATCAGGAACAGCTTTAGACGGCCCTATCTTAATAAAAAGTTGAAACAAATTAGAAATCTTTTCTAGTTAGAAAAGTTTTCTTTATGTTGTCTGTTGGGGCTATGAACCAGAAATTTAGTTGTTACTGCCATCTTCAGTGTTGAAGTTGTCAATAAATGTCAAAACATGTATGACAGACCAACACAGCCTGGAATAGCGGACTAGGATGATCAGTAACGGACAAATCAGACAAACAGATCTACAATCCCTCATGGAAAAATCTCAATATTACTTTGAAACTAAAATACTACAAATTGGAGCCATGGACCATGGAAAATGCCCAATGATATCTAAAATTCTGTAAATGATGAGATATCTCCATATGGTCTGTGGGGGTGATGAATTTGATATTTGGTTATTACTGATTATCCTTTGTCTTCCTGGCCTTGCTGAGTTAGTCTATACAATCAGCATTTCCACCATCTTCAGTGTTGGGTCTGTTTGGTGAGAGGGTGAAATATCAGAACATGCATGATGGACCAATACAGATAGGATAGACAGACCAGGATGATTTGTAAAGATAAGTAATTAATAGGTTCACCACTCCTTAGGCCCTATGGAGAAATCTCACAATTACTTCTTAACTAAAATACCATGAACTAGGGATCATGTAATGAGAATTGTGAAAATTAAATGATAGTAATGATTAAATTTAAATTTTGAAACATCAATTTTTTTAAATTACATGCAGTGAAGTTTTGTTCTCATAAGTTAAATAAGTAATAAATTAAATAATACTTAATCTAATTAAGTACAGTAAATAAATTACTATTGATAAACGAGATTAACTTACATCAGAGACAGCTTTTGATAGCCCGATCTAGATTTAAAACAAAAAATTGAAGCTATATAAATCTCAAATTTTTCTCTTTTAAAATAGAGTATGTAATAAAGTTTATTTCCTATAAATTAAATAACTACTGATAGAGAAGAAATAACTTACATCAGAGACAGCTTTTGATAGCCCGATCTAGATTTAAAACAAAAAATTGAAGCTATATAAATCTCAAATTTTTCTCTTTTAAAATAGAGTATGTAATAAAGTTTATTTCCTATAAATTAAATAACTACTGATAGAGAAGAAATAACTTACATCAGAGACAGCTTTTGATGGCTCGGTCTAGATTTAAAACAAAAAATTAAAGCTATATAAATCTCAAATTTTTCTCTTTTAAAATAGAGTATGTAATAAAGTTTATTTCATATAAATTAAATAACTACTGATAGAGAAGAAATAATTTACATCAGAGACAGCTTTTGATGGCTCGGTCTAGATTTAAAACAAAAAATTAAAGCTATATAAATCTCAAATTTTTCTCTTTTAAAATAGAGTATGTAATAAAGTTTATTTCATATAAATTAAATAACTACTGATAGAGAAGAAATAATTTACATCAGAGACAGCTTTTGATGGCTCGGTCTAAATTTAAAATAAAAAATTAAAGCTATATAAATCTCAAATTTTTCTCTTTTAAAATAGAGTATGTAGTAAAGTTTAATTGCATTCAGATAGGTATTAAAACTATTGCTTACATCTGAAACAGCTCTGGTTGGTTCAATCTAAGTAAAAATATATAAACCATTATTTTTATACAATTTTTAAATTTGAGTGAAAAGTATGAGTATGCAATTAAATAAAAATTGCTGATAATTGAAATATAATATTAATAATATCCGTTAAGAAATATTATTAAATGATAAATAAAATGCTACTTACATCAGAAACTTTTGAAAGTTCATCCTAAATGAAAATGGAAATTACATTATACACACTTTTAATCATTATAAATTTATTTAAGTTTACACTGTATGATAACAGAATTTGTAATCATTGTTTTAATATCAATTGCATAAATAATTACTAGTAAACAAAATTTGACTTACATTCGGAGGAACTTTTGATTGGCCAGTCTATATTAACATGCAAAGCAAAAATATTTTTAAAATTAAAATATTTAAAAAAATATATATCCAGTGATGATTCATTATTAATTGTGTTTATTTATAAATAAAAGCTAACTTACATCAGGGAAAATTTTTAGTATCCCAGCCTAAATTGAAAATGGAAACATATTTAAAAAAAATTATGTTTTACAACTAAAGATATAATACATAGTAGTGTTTAATCAAGAGTATTATGGGAATTAATATTATTTAAAAAATTAATTATTTATAAGTTTAGATAAAGCATTTCTTACATCTGTCATCATTATTGGCGCTCCAATCTAAATGAAACAAGAGCAAAATGAATAAATTATATATTTTGTTAACATAAAATTTTATATAGTACAAATTTATTTCTTTGAGCAATTATTTATTTAAAAACAAAAACAAATAAATTAATTATATTTTGATGATTTTATCAGAAACTACTTTTAATGGTAAAATTTAAATAAAAACATAAAAATGTAAGGTAAATTATTGTTATAAACTTAAAAGAAATAAAATTGATTATGCAGTGTTTATTGTCAATTATGGATAATTAATTTTTAATTAAGTCAATAATTATTACCAGTAAATGTTATTCTACTTACATCTGAATGTTGTTTTGTTGGTTCCTGAAAAAAATTTAAAACTTTAGAATCACTTTTAAATATTAAAACAGTAATGTCAATGTTGTGTAATGCGTATGTGAAAATTATAACATTTAATAACTATTATTGATTAACTATTTTTATTAAGAAACAAAATATTGCTTACAATTGAAATTCTTGCTTGTTCATTTTGAGCTATCTGGAATATAATATAGAAAATACATTAAAAAGCATTATTTATTTTTGCTTTTAAATTAGTGGTTGTTAAAAATGGATTATAGGGAACATAGTAAGTTAAGTTAGCGTCTATCTGAGATTTTCTGGTTTTGATATATTTGGCCGTCTTAACCCATTTCAGCTGTTCAAATCAAATCTGGATACAGAAGCCCAACATGAAGTCCAAGCAAGTTACACAACTCTAAAAGACCTCCCAGCATCTTCTTACCAGATTCCTAAACTTCTAACCAAACAAATCAAAAGGAGAGGTTAGGTAGTCTAACTACCGTTTTTTATTGCATTATAAGGAGGGAAGAATGGAATTATAATTTCTGATGAATTTCTGCAATTAAATATGCAAGTCCTACATGCGGTGTAATCACACAACCCTATAATACCTCCTGGTCTCTTCCTCACAGATTCTTAAACTTCTAGCGATGCCAATCAAAAGAAAAGGTTAGGTGATGTAACCACCACATTTTTATTGTATTATGAGGGAAATTATAATGATATTATAATTTATGATGAATTTCTATGACCTGCTCTTCTGCAGTGAAAGAAACCTTCATTATATAACCGGAAGAATATAAACGCAAATAAAACAACTAAAGGTGGACCGTAAGTATAAACTCTTAAGTCAAAAGATTGATGTACTGTCATGATCAAACTAAGTCATTACAATTTGAGACTAGTGTGGACTTCATTTTCTTCTTGTTATTTTTTTCCCTAGAGACCATGGTAGCTAAGTGGTTAAGGCAAACTTGTATATGCCACTTTAGCAGTTCTGCATTCGAGTTTTGGCATAGCCTTTGGAACTTTGAGATAAATTTGGAAAAAGTATTGTAATCTGGTTATGGTCTATCTGTGACACCCAACACTAAGGTTGGATGTTAAGCCCTCCTATATGGCAAGAATTACTTTTAATTTAACTTTTTAAAATTCTTTTTAAGCTGAAAAATAAGCTTCTACCGCCAGAGGTATAGAGAGTAGTAAGTATGTTCATCAGAAGTATTAGAAAAAATGACTAGAAATATAAGTGCAAAAAGCATGTTGGTGGTAGAAATATCTGAATTGCATCATATTGGGGGTTTATTTGAAATTAAAAGGGTTGAAATAAGCCCTTTTATAATACTTTACGTATAATATACATTAAAGAATAATGTTCATATACAATTTTACTTACTTTTGCAGAATCAGTTGATAGGTCATCCTGCAATAACAATTAGGAAGTACATTACAAGTTTTGAAATATTGTTTTTCCCAGAATTCACTACTAACTGAATATTAAGATAATATTTTATGGAATTTAATTACTGATTAATAAATAATTAAATAACTGGAAGTTAATTATGTCTTATATCATCTTATAATTTTTTGGTATACCATATAATTTTCTGTGAGTTTGTCTCATCAATTTGCAGTGATCCAATTTTCAAGTAAGAAAAGTCAGTTATAATTTTATGTATATTAATTTAAAAAAAATTAATTAATTAAAACAGCTTTACACAAATACGTAAAAATAAGAGGGAAATGATGTCTAACAGAATTGCTTTATTACCAAGCTTTACCCCTTTTATATTTTTTATTTTTTACTTTGAATTTTATCATTACCAGGTGAACAATTAAAGACATTAATACATTATTTATTTCCCAGTTAAATCATCAATAAAAATTCAAGATATTTAAATTTAAAAAAATATTTTTAACAAATATCAAATTATTGTAATTTTTATTTATTGTTTATGACTGAATCAGTATAAATTAGTTTATTGAGTAAAGAAAGATTATCAAATAATAAAATGTTACTTACATCTGAACTAACTTTCGACTGCCGGACATAAATAAAAAAACAAAGTACATTAGAAATTGTTTCCATTGTTTTTTTAATACTTATATAAATGTATGTTGTTTATAAAATAATTTTTATTAAATGAAATATTACTTACAAATTTCTGTTCAGGTTCAACCTCCTACAAAATAAATTCTGTAGACTTCCTTTTTAGAAAATTATTATTTAAATATTTTTTACCTCTGCCCATGAAACGACTCTTCCTTTATAATGGCTAGACACGCTAGGCTAAAGAATGAATTAATATATTTAAGTTTACTGCACGTTTTATGCATTTGATTAAATTCAATTATAAACAAAATGTTACTTACATCAAAAGACACTTTGGGTACATTAATCTAAAAATAGACAATATATAAATATTAGAAATCTAATTCCTAGAGATTGAGCAGCATAAATTTTAAGATATTTTCACAAACATAAATCAGCTTTAATCAATCAATGTTTTATGATTTTGNGACAAAGTATATTAGCAATCTAATCTTCTAAACATTGTGTAGAATTTTTTAATTATATTGTTGCAAATATTAATCAGCTTTAAGCAATCCATGTTTTATGAATTTTTAATATAAATTTTGAATTGTTAATCAAATTAAGGTAATAAACAAAATTTTACTTACAACAGTAGAATCTTTTCTTTGACTACTCTAAAAATAGACAAAGCTTATTAGAAATCTCATTCTAAACATTGTGCAGAATTTTTTAAAAATATTGTTGCAAATATTAATCAGCTTTAAGTAACAGATTTAATTGTTAAAGAAGAGGATTTTCAATATTTTATGATATTGCAAAAAAGTATGCATCAATGGTTACTATAATTTGGTGAAAAATACTACATACAACAACATTTTTTTCATTGCTACCCTAAAAATAGACAAATTATATTAGAAATTCATTCTAAATACATTGGAGCATAAATTTTAAATATAATTGGAAATATGTATAAGTTGTAAGGGACTAGTTTAACAATTTTAAGTATTTCATTAAAGGAAAAGATTTTAAATGTTATAATTTTGTATAATTATACAGCATTGTTTTTTAAATTGGCCACTTGTGCTAAATTAAGCTGTCTTATTTCTCTTCTCTAAAAAAATGAAATATCTAAGCATCATCATTAATCAAATCCTTTTTTGGAATCAGCAACTAAATTAAATTACACAGAAAGCAAAAATTGCTGTTGGAATATGTAAACACCTCTATCTACAAAAAATTGCCTATGCTTATACCCAGCAGTTGTTAGGCCCAAGAAAACATACAGATTGGTAGTTTGGTGGTTAAAGACATTAAAGCTTGAGGCAATCAGGATCCTCAGTACTGCTTGGGCATTACTGGGCCAATAAGAATGACACTGCACTATTGCCCTGGAAATCCTGAATTTATCACTACTACATATTTTCCAGAGAGAGATTAGAGCCACAATTCACAGATTAATGCAGAGACAGGTTAAGGACTACTCCCATAAAAAGAAGCAATTGAAGCTTTGAGAGGAGCTTTATGCAGAAAAGTTTCTGAGAATGCCCGTTGATATCGTGATCCCAAAGTTTAATAAGAAATTTTAAAAAGGATGTTGATTATATAGGTTAGGAGCTGGTATCAATAGAAATAAACCAAGGAGTAGAATATTAAGTATTACTAGGGATAAGGGATAGGGACAGGTATAAAAGGCCTACTGCATCTCGACCTGAATAGACCTATTGTATTCCCATGTTATTTTTAACTCACTGGCCAGCATCAGATTATTAATCAGCCTCCACAGCTTTGCGAGCAGCTCCTTAGTGTAGGATCTTGCTTGTGGTTTTTCTTGTCTTAGTTGGAAGAACCTGCTCTACACAGACCTTCACAGAAACATAAAATGTGTTCTGCAGTCTCTTTCTCTTCAGTATCTGCACAGGGTTTCTTCTGTCTACTCCTGTCCAGTGCATGTGCCTTCTTAAGTGGCAGTACCCTGTCAGGAGTCCAACCAGAATCTGGTTCGGTTGCAGTTGCCTTCCAGTAATTCTTTTGTAAGTTTTGCGGATGGTCCTTCTATGAATCTCTTCACGTGCCTTATACCTGTGGTATTATTCCATTGGTGTTGGACTCATTAAGGATCCATTTTAAGATGTATCCTCTTTTGTGGCAAGCTGCTAAGCTGCAGTAGGGTTCTGGGCCCAGAGTCCATGTTGGCCCCCTTTTTGGCTAACATGTCAACCTTTTCATTGCCTCTATACCCAAATGTCCAGGGACCCATGCCAGGGTCAGGTCATTACTGTTGCTGACTTCCATCAGAGCCTCCATGCAGTTCCTAACACTCTTTACCTTCGCCTCGCATGAGGCTAATGCCCTGAGTCCTGCCTGGCTGTCAGAGAAAATGGCTATCTTCCAGGACTGTATTCCTAATCTTTTTATTTCTTTGGTGCATTGTTCAATCACTATGATTTCAGAGTGGAAAACTGTAGCAAACTGTAGCATATTTACCTAGGTTTACCATCAGTTCGGTCTTTGGGTTCATCCCGAAGTCTCCAGCACCCCCTTGTCGGTTTGGGAGAAGTCTGAATACCAGTAGGAGTTTGCCTTTAGCGGTGTTCCTTTGGCCCATTCTTCCCGTTCTGGTAAATTTGTACTTTGGAGTAGTGACGTCAATTGGCATGTCTAGAATGTGGGTATTACAAAAGAATAGCTATCTACTCGCACATACAGGTAGAACTAAAGACAACATAGAAGTAAAGTCCAGATATTGATTGTATTGTATCAAGGCCATGTCAGACATTTGGTAAAATAATAAAATTACCCTCGTGAGGGTACAATGGCACACTCCTAAGAGTACATCTATCGGATCTGATTGACAGCATGGTATGGTATGGTATGGTATGGTAAAAAGGATACTAGGAAGCAGGGTTTGCGCTCCCCAGGCACTGCAGCCTTCTGGCTTATTGTACCTTCCTAGTTCCTTAGTTCAGTCAATAGACTCAATCCTTCTTCTTAGAAGTATCAGGTCATTGACTGTTGTTGCTGCAATTTGATTCCCTAAGATTTTTCCGTACGTTAGGTTAAATCTCCACAGAGCTGCTGTTTCACATTCGAAGATGATATGAGTGGCTGTTTCCTCCTCCTCATTACATAATCTGCAAATGGGATCATTGTTGTATTTACCCATGTTGTGTAGATGTTTTCTCAGATGCCAGACTGGCATTGCCAGTGACTGGTTAGTAGTCCTACTACTTCTCTGAGTTTGGCCCTCTCCAATTGCAGCAATGCTTTTACCAGTCTTGGTGAGGGTTGTTTCATCATAAGTTTTATATTTGTTTTTATGTCTAGCACTGCTAAGTTTATCCACTTCTCCTTTTGTTTTGATTGGATCCATTCTGCGATGGAGGATTCTATATTTGTTTTTGTTGTCCCCAGTATAGGTAACCTACGTATGGTCTTGCGGATCCTCCTCTGACCAGTCTGTTTGCTTTCTCATTACCCAAAATTCCTCTGTGCCCTGGCACACAAGATATCATCAGGTTGTTGCGTTTCTCCAGGTTTTGGAGATTTGGATAGATTTGCCATCTAATTTTCATGTGATTCTTTTACATGCTAATGCTTTAATGGCTGCTCGGCTGTCAGATCTTTTGAGGATTTTTTGCCAGTTTAACCTCTTTTAAGATTTTTCGGAACACAAGATGGCATGTATTTCTGCTTGAAAGACCGAAGTGTACTTCCCTGATGAGTTTGACTGCTCATGTTTTGGGCTTGTACAGAAAAACACCTGATCCGGTTACTTCGTTTGTTTTGGAGCCATCTGTATACCATACCATTATATCTGATGCTCTCCTGTGTTCTTTCTCTCCTTTATAGTCCATTGAGGCTTTGTAGGAAGTTGTGAAGAATGTTTCCGGGATCATATAATCAGTCCCCATTTCTAATAATGGGTATCTGATTTTGTTGATTATGGTTGTATGCCTGAATTGTTTAGTTCCTTTCCAATTTAATTGTTTCTGGAGCCTAAGTGAGCTTTTCCTAGCCTCTCCTTGTATGAATATTTCCAATGGAGGTAGATTTAGCAGAGTTTCTAATGCATTAGTAGAGGTTGTTCTCATTGCCCCTGTGATACATATGTTTGCTAGTCTTTGTATGCTGCCTAATGTTTGGGTAGCTACTTTTTGTTAGGCTTTGTTCCACCAGATTAGTGATCCATAGGTTTTTCTGGATCTTATTACTGCCGTGTATAGCCAATAGGCCATTTTAGGTTTTGATCCTCAAGCTTTGCCTAGGGTTCTTCTTATGGTCATTAGCGATATTTTACTTTTTGCTATAGTATGTTGCACGTGAGGGTTCCAGGTAAATTTCTTATCAAAGATTATACCTAGGTATTTGACCTCAATTTTTAGTTGCAGCATTTTATTATAGAAACGTAATCCTTGTATTTCTATATTTCTTTTCTTGGTGAAAGCAATTAAGGTGGTTTTTGAGGGTTTACTTTAAGTTTTAAACACCATTATTCCACAAGGTTTAGTGCTCTTTAGGTGAGCTCTTTTCTTGAATTGAATTTTTGCCTGACTAGTATGACAATATCATCTGCATAGCCTTGGGTGTAAATTCCGCTTTCATTTAGTTTGCATATGAGGTCGTCCACTACCACATTCCACAGCAGAGGCGAGAGTATTCCTCCACTGCTGCTTCTACTTTTTTGTGGAACATGGAGGACTGCACTTTTCTGCGTTTTAGCATTGATTCTATCCATCTGCATTCCATTCTATTTCATCCAGGTTTTGTCGGTTCCTTGCTGTATGAGTGATGTAACCATTGCTTCGAAAGGAGTATTGTCAAATGCTCCTTCAATGTCCAAGAAGGTTCCCAATGCTATTTCTTGGATGTTCAGTGAATCCTCTATTTGGATCATCAATTGATGTAGTGCTGATTCACACGATTTTCCTTTCTGAGATTGACAGCATACTAAATTTCACAAAAATATAAATCCATTAAACAATGGGTTGAGGATAAGTCCTCAGTTCAGTGGGATTGTATCCAGGATGGAGGCATGTGAAAAAGTTCATGAATGGGCCACCACAGAAATTAACAGAAAACTACCAAACATAGGTAAATATTAAGAAAGGAATCATAGTAGGACTTCAGACTCTTGGGGGCATATGGACATACCACAGCAGAAACAAGCTTGTGCAGATATTGGCATCTGAAAAAATGCCTTAAACTTAACGAATAGCTCAAGATAATAATGAAATATTATATTGATCATAGTGTGGAAGGTTGTGAAGTGGCTGACTCCTTTTAAACTTAAACTTAACTAATTCAGTTATGAATGATATATTACTTACATCAACAGCCACTTGTTGATCATCCTAAAAATAAATACAGTATATTAGAAATATCATTCTAAAATGTGGAATTTTTTAAAATATTGATGCAGATATTAATAGCTTTACAAGATAAATTTAGTGAGGGTTTTATGTATTGTATTTTATGTATTGACATAAACTTTAATTTATTTATGAAAGTTGAATCATAAAAACGCCTCTTAAAGAAAAATATTTTCAATGTTTTACTATTTTTTGAAAATGTATATAGCATTGTTTATCCATCAGTTTAAACAAAATATTACTTACATCAACACCCACTTTTTGTCGACCCTAAAAATAGACAAAATATAAGTATCATGCATTTGAATAAATATTTAATTTTAGTTGAAACCATGCGCTTACTAGTGATGGAGTGCTTGGTGTATAGAGTGCAACGTTTGAGGGAGAAATAATCTAAGTTGGAAAAAAATTAATTAATTTAAGGATTCCTTATTTTAATACTTAATATAATTTTTATTGATTTTTATATTTCTAGTTAAAACCTTAAAATTACCGGCATTGTCCCAGAGCTTGATGCCATCCATAAAGTATCCTCAGAAGAATCAGATCTCTAAAAAATTTAAAAGAAAACATTTGGCACTTTTTATCTGTACTGAAATAACATAGCATTATTTGACTGATTAAAATTAATGTTTGAAATAGTATATAGTTGATAGTACTAAGGCAAATAGTATATATTATGCAGTATGCTTGAAATGCCTGGTGCTAAGATTCCAATATCAGAATTGATCTTAATTTAAAAAAAATTACAATTACATTTTACATTACTTAACATTAATATTTTCTAACTTTTGAGGCAATTTTCGACAGGTTTAATTAAAACAAATAGGGTAAGTCATAAAAAAATGACCAATTTTAATTTTTTTGGAAACTAATCTTTTTTTTAGTTTTTATTTGTTTTTCAAATTCAATTGGCTTTGATATCACTTTAATCCACAGATTATACTACATTAATTTGTAAAAAATGATCTCATCTTGTCTTCAGTGTTTTTTTTTAGAGTTTAGATAAAGAGCATGACATTTTATAGCCTAAAATAACCTGTTTGGTGCGACAATTTGAAAAAGAGGATGCACTCTCTGAATGAACAGAGTGCAGATGGTTCAAGAAATTGGAAGCCGGTGATGTCAGCCTCGATAGAAAAGAGGGTTCTGGACGAAAATCATCATCAAAGAAAACTCTGTGGAACTCTGTTGAGACAGACCCGATGAAAAGTACTCTGGTAATTGGTGAGAGAGCTTTATGCTAATATTTTTTATTTTCACAATTAAATGAATTGAAATTACCTTCCTGTGCACAATACCAGGTATACTATGGGGTTCTTTACCAGGTTGAAATCCCTGAATTAATTGAGAAAAAACAAAAACAAAGTTCAAGAGTCTAGTACTGATGTCAATTGAAATGCTAAGTAAAATATCAAAAATACCATAAGTGTTGCAATGCTATCCGCACTATGGGGATCAGAAACTTTACGGTCAGCCTGAATAAAACATGAGAAACAAAACAATGTAATAAAAAACATGTAAGTAAAGTATAGTAAAGAAAATGGTTCTGATAAAAAAGAAATATACAAAACTGTATTAGTGAGTGAAAGCAAAATTAAATAAAAATGTAAATTATCTTACTAAAATAAAACGTGTTTTTTCCTCTGGATAATTGAAGGATGTCATTATTTGGCTCCATATAGAGCGTGTTTAGGATGCCACCTTGAGCACAGCAGCTAATCTTTGGGTCACTTTTTTTGTATGTAAATCTTGTCTTGAGTTTCTTTTTTGTGAATATCGAGAATATTTAATAGAGTGAATGTGCAGTGTGAGAGGGCTGATGGTGGACATATAAGACCAAAGTCTAGACCCTAGACTGCCAGAAAACTCAAGATAGCAATAAAAGGAAACAATTTAGAAAATATAATTAAAAACAAAATTGAAATTTTGATGTCATGTTGATCATTTTATGAAATTCTAAAACATTTTATTGCACTGACTTGCTTTATTGTAAAAATATTTTAAAATTAATACTATTATTTAATAGCAGTAGGGTTACTCACACTAGGACCTGGTTTTTCTTGATCAGCCTGAAATAGTAAAATTAAAAAATTAAATATACCTAGGTTCGTTTTAGCTGACCTCTGATATAACTTATATCTTGACAGTTCACTAAAAGTGTGTATTGTTTATTAAGCATTGACTTACATGAGGAACATCATTTGATGGTTCTGCCTAAATTAAAAAAAAAAAGTGGTAAAAAAATATTATCTATTCTTCTGTACAATTACCGTATTCTATGTGGCATTGATTTTATAAGCTTACAATTACTAAATTATCTATCATTAGGCTATATATAATAAACTATATTAAGGGACAAAATATAAAACAATAACATTTACATAAATACACAAATAAACATATATCATTAAAACATAATTCCCATGAGTAAAAATTGTATATACAAGAGTTTCATATTTGATAGATAGTAACTAAAAAAATGTTAGTGACAGTAAAATCTATAACATTTTTTTTTTAAAACTGTAATTAAAATATTGCTTACTGTTGTAGTGCTTTGTTCAGGTATTCCATCCTGATAGAAAAAAGAAATAATATTAATATAAATATACTCTTGTAATAGTAATCATGTTAATAATGTAATTATATTGTTTTCTATACTAAGAAGTTATGGCCTATCCATATTAAGAAGTTATGGCCAGCATTTCACCCAGAGGACTCAGGCTAAGAGAAACCAGCCAACGCTGGCACTGAGGGATTAATGAGCGAGTAGGTCTCAAGTCCATCGTCATCTTCGCTTGGTGTGGATCTTTTGTAAGCAGGATTGGATCAGTTGATTTCTTTGTGGATTTAGGTTAGTGATGAAGTAACGAACTTTAACGATTTGATGAGTTTTGATGGAAAGAATGGATGTGTTGAGTGTTAAATGGTTTGGAGGAACCCAGTCCATATCCGCAGTAAAGCCCCGTATAGAGTTAATTAAGTTTTGATGGCCAAAACTTATTTAACTTATTTTGATTTTAAAAGTCTGCGTGGATATTATCACTAAGTACCTGAGTTGAGTGGAAGTCAGAAGCTTTTTGATGTTGATGGAGGGCAAAACTTAAAACATTTGTAAAATTATTAATAAGCAATTTTAGATATCTTTTAAATAGTTTTTACGCTTTTCCAGCCATTTCTTGTATATTTCTTTAACAATATTTTTTCCAACAATTTGGTTTAGATATTTAAAAATTTAAAAATGTAAGGGTATTTATTACCAAATAGCAATAATTTTGTGTAAAAAAAGCTATGCTAAAATTGATTAAAATGCAAATTATTTTGTAAACTTACATCCAACAGCTCACTTGATGGATCCTTTAAACATAGAAAAAACAAAGCAGTTTAATTTACATATAATTAATTAACACTTTTAAAGTTTAAAATTTATCTTGATAATACATAGTAATAAATTATTTTATGTTGTCATCAAGACAGCTTCATTTTGAACAAACAATTTTTCATTGAAAATTATATGAATTTATTGAATATTATTTGTGATACTTACTTTTAAGTGAAGACCCGCCCCTTCCTTCTAACATGAAAAAACAAACCATTTAATAAATTGATACATGCATGTAAGTATAATAATAATAATTAACCATTGATAGACTTGAAAAGAAAATATAAACTACACATAAATTACAAATATGAAACTTACTAAATTTGAACGCAGAGGCCTCTAAAAAAGAAGAACAAGTGAATAATCAAGTATGGTTGGTAAACATTTAATGAAAGTGTTAATGCATTGCTTACCTGCTTATTGTTATCATTGTGTGTTTTCTGTAAAGGCAATTTGAAATTAGAAACATTCAAAAGCAGTAATTTAATTTAATTTAAATTCTGTATCTTGTATTGTTTTTTTTTTGTATAAATCAAGCACATATTTCATGAAGTTTTACCCCTTAGTAACCAGTCTAAGGGATGAAAGATGAACTAAACTCTCCCATGACACTAAAACTTGCAAATAAATAGTCTTCAAAGTTTCATGTTTTCTGTCCTTCAAAATGTTCATGACTTGTACTGATATTTGAAAGACTTTTTTTTGTTAATAGGTAAAAAAAAAAAATTAGAATTGATTTGGAGCATTCTTGCCAATCAGAAAAAAGTAACTTTTTTTTAGCCAAAAGTTATCTCATTAAATCAATCCAAGATAGTGAATAAACATGATTAATATGTTGATAAAAATATACTCTAATATTTACATTGTATTTGAAAATAAAGAGGCGGTAAATACAGTCATAACCGATTTTAGCAGGGGAAGGCACTAGACCTATTCCTTTTCAAAAAGACCGCAGTCCAAAGGTGAAATGAATAAAACAACTGTGGACTAAATTGCAGAATGTGGGGTTCCTCAGGCGCCTCTATGATATACGTATACATGCGTGTGCAGATTTGAGCTTACATAAATCAGTAATAACTTAAAAAGTTAAAATTATTTAATATTCCCTTAACCAAAATAATTATATATTTATCTTTTACAATTATGTGAGAAGCCAATGATGTTTGCTATTTATTTTATATGCCGGTAAAAAAAAGTATGTTGCAAGGCCGCAGAATTCAAACCCGGGAACTATATCTTACAGCGGAGCTTCCCAAACTAGGGGGTCGTGGTGATTAAAAAAAAATTAATCATTAATTATAATGAATAAATAACATTAAAAACTAACAACATGAGTAGTGAAAACGAAAGTTTTTTATTTTGCAGCAGCTGTCATTGTGCTTCAACAGACATGTTTTACCTATGAAACAAATGCCAGTCTTTTTTAAGAAAGTTTTGGATGTGTCTGTTCAGATTATTGATTATATCAAGTCGTGGCCGTTGAAGTCAAAACTTTTCACAATACTATGATGATTACGATATGGAAAGCCTTCATCATTCCCAACTTCACCATACAGAAGTTAGGTGGCTGTCTTCTGCTGAAAGCAAATTACGTCCGAAATTTATCTGTACTTGATAATAGACTTCGGAAACTTCTTGCCAAGCAGATTATAGGCAAAGAAATGTATAGGTTTAAGAAACAAAATCATGCAGTATAATTTGGATTTACGTCTTGTTAGACGGCCAATTTCTGACTGTACAGAGACAAGTAAAGCTACAGCCAATGCAGAAAGCTCACTGGAGAGAGCTTCCAAAAGAGAGAAATCCCAAAATTATTTAATATAACTTTTGTTACCCTCTGAGTGAAGAAATTTGTTTAACTTAAATTACAAACAGTTCAAACAACAGTGGATTAACTTTTTAGAGGTATGGAGAGGGAGGACTTCCATTCCTTGGCGTCTTGCCCAGCACCGGATGTGTAAGGAACTATATTTTGAAAGAGAAGGTCTGACTAGTAGGATTGTTAAAGTTATGGCAAAGATCAGACTGTGTTAGCTGGTTTCTTAGAGCCAATTGGTGTGGAGTAGGAGTAGGAGTGGCTTCTTTTTTGCATTTTCCCTTGTATTCCTTGTACTCTATCATCAAATGTTTTAATATTTTCCGAGTGTTGTGATTAAGAATGGCTGAGTTGCATCTGAACTGCAACGTATCTGTTTGTACTGGCCACCTTTTTTCTAATATTATCAGTGACCTTTATTTTTGTTGCCTAACTCCCTATTAATTACCATTAACATTTATTACTTGTTTTTACTATTTCTCTTTTAGTAAAATAATGAACATTGGTATTATTTACTTTTATTATTTACATTTGCTTTATTTTGGTTTATTCTGATTGAATTATGTGTCATAAGTAAGTAATGTATATTTACAAGTAATATTTCCAAGTTTTAATTCAATTATATTTTATTATTACTGAAATTTGTCATGCAATTTTTGAAGAAAATAAATTCTTCATGTGTATATAAATGAGACAAAAATAGTTGCCAGTTTTAGAAAAAACAAATATTGTTGCTCATATGGCATGCTTTCTGAATTAAAAAAGAAGAAAAAAGTTTATTCCTATATTGAAAATGATACAATTTATTGATTTACTAGGATTGATCATGCAAAACAATGAACAAATGAGTTATTACTACAAAAAAATCTATTTTAAAAGTTGTAGAAGCTCATTTTAAAATTTACTTTGTCAAAGAGTTGACATATTTCTATTTCGAATTTAAGGAGGATAGAAACACAACTTACCTTATCTGACATTTTATGCGATTGAGAAACTAGTTTACTGCAATGTAGGTCCCTTGGTGCCTTTTATAAACGGTAAAAATTACGTCTATGACCACTTAGTTTTTTCTATAAATGAAATACTGTTCTTCCAGCTGACTCATATCCTCTGTTTTCACCATAACTGGCCACATGTAAATACAAAAAAAATAAATGTCTGGAAAAACAATTAATTTGGTTTTTGATTTTTTTCCCTCATGCATTTGCAATTATTCTTTCAACTAATATCTATTTCATTAAACAAACGTACGTGTACTGCCAGCTTTCCAAATCACGGATGATTAGTATGTCACAAAATTAAAACTAAAGTTTAAGTTAATAAGTTTTCAAAACTTATGCATAAATATGTTGCTTATATTCAAGCCAATGCCAAAATGTGTTTTCTTGTTTATTTAATTTGTACTAAACTAGAAAACTTATAGCATGTTAGATTGTGAAATGTGACTGGAATTTTTAAATTACATATTTTTTTAATGATTATTGGAATCTTAAATCTTAACTGCTTTGACTTTAATATTTTGATAGGCGTACCCTTGAGAGATACTTGCTTTAATATGCCGGAAAATTTTTTTTGAAAAATACTTTTTACCTTAAGCTTTTTATTGATTATTAAAATATTTATATTATAAAGGTGTTCTATTTTAAACATGCAATTTTTAAGACTAATTCATCTTATCTAAATTGTTTAGTTTATGTTAGAAAAATTTCCTGATTTTTAAGTAAATACATTACTTATTCAAATAAAAAAATTATTAAAATTTCACTTTAAATTTATTTATTTTTTATTTAAAAAATGCTCTCTAACAAACCATAAAATATTTATTTAAAATCTTTTATAAGACATTCATAATTCATAGATAAATATAAATATTGATTTATATAAGTTGGAATTTTTATCAAAACTGGCAGTAATCACATTAGAATTTTTTGAAGTCTATTTATTGAAAAATACATATGTATTTTTTGCATACATACGTATTTGAATGTATATTGGGATAGAGATATAAATCACCGAAAGCTTGGTGAGCCCACAAAAGTCTACTTCATCACAAAGACCTTATCAAGATACATAAAAAAATTCGAATTGATTTATATAAGCTCAACTCCACATACATGTACATAAATGAGTCACGTAGTTCAGATTTTGGCAGTCCAGGGTCAGACCACAGTCTTATATGTTCATCTTCACCGAAGTTAGGCTGCCACAGCTTTGTTTTTCAGCCTGAAACACATGTAGTTTATAAGCTTAAACACACTCACTTTTAAATACATTTTTTTTCATATTTACATGCAAGCCATTCAATTAGGATGGTGTATTCGATATTGCTCCATCACGCCTTGAACAAACAATCTAGTTCTATTTAAAATTAATTGAGGATCAATGTTGTACTTGATACTCCACCATAAGGCTAATAAATACATTCACAAAGCTAGATCAGTGGTGGTTAAGATCAAAGTTTTTTTTTCAAATAATCTAATTGTAAGATCAAAGTACTTTTATCTGCGGGATACATGCACTGATTGGAAGCTTAAGAAAGAAATATCATAAACATGCAAGGTCAATGAAAAAGTTGCAAAATTAATTTATTAATATTAATTTATAAATTAATAAATTATTGCTTTGGCTTAAAAAAATCAGTTTGACTAGTACTATATTTTAAAAAAAAATTATTCTAGCTTCTGATATTAATAGTACAATTTCCTCTTTTTTTCTGTCATAATTTTGGCAAAGATTTACTTCACCTTCCACTGTTCATGGAATGTCATACTTGATACTCCACCATCAAGCCTTCCACTGGCTACATAAATAATACGCCATGCATAGAATAATACATAGAACTAAATGCACTGATCAAAAAAGCAAAACAGTAATATTCACAGTCATAAAAACAATCATTCACAAAAATACTATGAAACCCTGAAAGATTTCCTCCTGTGGCCTGCAGGGTAATAAACCTGTGATTTGATTTCGTTTGGCATTTCACCATTTTCAGTGGGCCTGTGCAATTAATGAAAGTAAGTTTCTTTTATAAAGCCATACAGGGTTGGATATGTCGGCATTAGTATAATGTCTTCTTGAAAGTGAGTTAGACTAGTTACACTTCTTTTAATGTTATCATCTACCAGTTTTAACACTAGGATTTAATAAAAATCTTATTTTCAAGGAAGTTAAATGTATGACTTAACAAATATATGATTTAATTTTATTATTTATTTGGTGTTTAATTTAGTCTAACATGTGATGAAAAATAAAAATGTAGTAAAACTATAAAAGAAGTATGCAAGTTTAAAAGGAACCGTGTATTAATTAGTTTTGTTCCTTACTCAGTTTTTAACTAAATCATATGCATGAGTGGCTTAGGTTAGGATTAGGATTAAGGTTAGGTATATGCATTATATATGTTTCAGCAAATTTCACCATAATCATTGCCATTTTTAATTTTAAACCTGAATTATTTATAATTAATTATTTAGATTTGTAACTGCAGTTTTTTAGGCCTGATGAAGGGTATTCTTTGATAGGTGATACAATTTATGTACAAAGTAGAACTCAAACAAACTATCAAAGGTACTTAAGAATGTGTGTGGTGATTAGTGACCGTTAATCGATAATTATTCAGAAATCGTGAGATGCGGTCTGGTGTGATGTAGGTTTCAGAAAAACATTTTCTTTATCGTGCCAACATTTCGATCTTTATTGAACGTTGGCACGATAAAGAAAATATTTTTCTGAAACCTACATCACACCAGACCGCATCTCACGATTTCTGAATAAGTACTTAAGAACAATTTAACAAAACCAGCCCCGGTGAGCTGAGACTACTAAACTATAGGTAAAATCATTTTGTTTAAATGTATAAAAATGAAACCATGAATTTTTTTTTACATGTTTAATATTTTAATGTATTGTAGCTTTTTACATAAAAAAGGTAAACTAAAAAAAAATAACAAAAAATAAACCTGGTGATTCCAATTCACTTACATATTTACAAACCATAATTTTAAATTATAAATTTTTTCCTAGAAATAAAATTATTACAATTCAATGCCTGAAGTAATTCTGCAAGCTTTGCTGTAAATGATTCTTGTTGATTGGATGCACACCCCTAAAAGATAAAACATGACGATAAAAAAGGAAATGTATATTTTTTTTGAAAATGTTGACTCAAAAACCCACTTCAGCGACGGTTCTATATACCCTTCTTCTAATAGTTTGCTGATGATGTGCTCTATAAGTTTCTCCGGAATATCAAAGTCCTTCAACAAAATCTGCTTGCTGATTTTGTCACACCACTGCATTTTATAGATCAGTCTGCGATATTTAGTCAGATTCTGAAACATTTTTCAGTGTTATTATAATTTTTAGTAATTTATTATCCAGAGTGTTTACCACTAATTGAGTACACTTGTATGCTATAAGGTCTACATCTGTGCAAATCAAACTTGAATCAGACTTCGCACATACATAACAACACCCTGTCACAGGTTTTATGCTATTGGGCCAAATTTTATAACACAACTAGAAATAAATTTATTGTAAGCATATAAATATGACTTAATAAATAATGAATAATTTTTATTTACACAATGCTGAAGCATATTGCAATGTATGCATAAAAATACTTCTTCATCTTTTGAATTAATCATACATATACATCTAACATTGGACTCATTTTTGATGATTTGTTGAGAGAAATATTTTTTCAATTCTGTAAGGAAAAAATAATGTTTACCATTTTTTAAATTAGATTATTGCAATTATTTTTACCAAATGCTGATGAGTTTTCACTGAAAGATAAATCAGTTGCAAATGTCAAGTCTCTTATATCAGTGCTCATGATGTTTTTTGAGCTTATATCGAGGGAGAACTTTGTAGAAACAGGTGAGCCAGGGATGACTTCATCTTCATCATCTTTATCACTGATTTTCTGCTTTTTCAAGCTCGCTTTGTCTGTTTCATCTTCTTTGACACCAATGGGTGAACTGTCCAACGTGCTCTCCTCTTCGATGACGGACAGTTGCTGTCTTGGAAAATGTGTCGTCTCTTCGAGGAGAACTGGAATATTCAGCTTGGGAGTTGGCCATTTTATTTTGGCAAAATTCCATGCCGCTGTTTCTTTAGAATCTTCCGACTTTCCTTTTTTTCTTTTTTTTATCGGCTTAATATTATCTTTTTCCTGTTCTTTTAAACAATTTTGCAACTCTTTCCTATGAGAGAGCCTAGGGAACTCTTCTTTTTTGACCTAATCAATATAAAAATTACATCTGGACCAGATAGATTTTAGTCTGGATCTGCTTACGTCTACAACTGTACCAGCTTCAATTGAAAAAGTGTGATAGCTTGTATTCACCTTTCCTATAATCTTCCTTTTTATCTTAGGGACATTTAGCCAGTTCAAAGGAGGATCATCCACAAAATAATGTGGTGTGTAATGATCAGGTATTTCTGTAATACACAAAAGTATTATTTTACTGGGATAAAACAAAAGACTAACTAAGTTCAGGTTAAAAAATAATAGAATAATAGAATAGTTTACTGATTATTGATTTGTACAAGCTGAACTCCTCACACACAGAATTGAGCTTAATACTTCAATCACCTACCTCGGGTTTTCACACTCCGGGGTCAAACCTTGATCGTATCCTGCAGCTAAAATTACGCTCTAGGGGCTGTCAACAGGTCATTTCAGCCTTTCTCATTTTACATTCATTTAATTATTTGTGGTGTAGTACTTCATGTTACTACACATACCAACTAAACTAATTGAGGGTCTATTCACACTAATAAATACATTTACTCTCCATGTACACAAAAAACAAAACAAAAAAAAGAAACAAAAGAACAAAATAAGATATCAAGTATTGCATGCAATAAAACAGCCCTGTTTCCTCAATATACCTCCACAAGTCCTTTTACAATGCATATTCACTCTAATAAATACATTCACTCTCAATATGCACAAAAAAGAAACAGTATGAGACAATCATCCACCTTGGGTGTTGGCAGCCCAGCCAGACCTCTGTCAATGGAGCTAACATTAGACTCCGGGGCTGTCAACACCAAGATTGTTGCAGCCCTCGACACACGCAGTTTTTAAATCTAAACCCTCTCACGCTCTTGCTCACTCTTAAATTCATTCTTTCCTATTTAATATTGTTCACTCTATTAAGATGGTTGAATACTCGATGTTCTTCCATCACCCTTTACACATTGAATTATCTAATTGAGGGTCTATAGGGTATTCAAAATTCTGCCATCGGCCCTCTTACACTATACATTCACACTAATAAATACATTCACTCTCAATATTGTTGGAATCGAGTGTCATGGCTATTGTGCCAGATTAGCAATCATGTCAGTAGAACAGCTGGAATGACAACGGCAGCACGAAAAACAAGTGAACTTGGAGAACTGAGATCAGATTATTACCCGAATCCTCATCAAAACCAGACCTTTTACCTTCCTTTGACCTTTTTTATATAATAAGCCCTTTTTTATGTAAAAAGATAATTTTTATAAGCCAATATATCTTTTTTCCTTTAATAATCTTCATTTTTTTACAATATACACAAAGGTAAACACAAAACAAGTTATCTACCGGTATTATATACAATACAACAGTCTTTTTTCCATCAAAAATCAGAACAGGAAATCCAAATACTCACAGCAATTTTCAACCACAACTATCATGTCAGGTGGGATTCCTACTCACTCCCTATATGGAACCAAGAACTGACAAATTTATAAGCAGAACCTTTAATTAAGCAGGATTCATTGAGCAACTTTGCTCTTTGTGCCGGACACAGCATGGGCTTTACTTATTTTTGCTTTTAAAATACATAAATTATTTGTTCATTTCAACAAAATAGAAAACATTGCTGTCTGTGTAATATACTTATATTACTATGTCATAAGTTTGTATTTAAAAAAATTAAGACTAATATTACACTCAATATTTGGCAATATTGATCGCAGGGAAAGATATACAATTCTGTAGGATACAACTAAACATTTATTCTTTATAATATATTTTTGTTTCATAATAATTATTCATGTTGTTATCGCTTGTCTTAAGAAATGTATGATTTAATTTTGTTGTTTATTTACTGCTTCATTCAAACATGATTAAAATTGTCAGTGTTGGTTGAAGAAGTATGTAGGTTTAAAAAGTGCATGAGCAGGTTAGGTTAGAATTAGGGTTAGGGTTGTGTTACATATTCATGATTAAATGTTTTTCCATGAAGTGAAGAAATTATAGTTTCTCCTGTTTCTGTAAGTTTCAGCATATTTCACCATAATCATTGCCATTTTTCATTTTAAACCTGAATATATTAAATTGTTTAGATTTGTAACTGTAGTTTTGTAGTTCTGATATTTAGGCATATATATTTCTTGATAGGTGATACAGTATGTTTACAAAGTAGGACTCCAACCAACCATCAGAGGTAACAATGTACCATTAACAAAACCACTGAGAATTGACTGACCTGGGTGATCTGAGAATGCTAAGCTAAACATATAAAGGTCAATCAAAAAGTTTAAAAGTAATGTATGCTTTAACATGGCAAAATCACATTTTACTAGTATATTGTGTTAAAAAAATTAATATAACTTCTGATATTGATAAAAACAATTTCTTCATTTTGTCTGTTCATAATTTTGTCAAAAATTTACTGCATTTCAATGTGTTGATGTGTACATACAATTTATATTTGTATATAGCATACTGTGCACAGGCAAACTAACAAAGAGGAACAAACATTCTATCCTAAAAAACAAAAAGTAACAGACAGACTCATAGAAAACAAGTAAAAGGCAGAATATTGCTATAAAGAAAACTACGACTTGTGAGATTTTGTCCTATGGAATATCGAGCAACATTTCTCTGAATGTCAGCCACATACATGAGCATTAACCCTTTTAAATAATAGTTTAATATTGTGAATTAAGACTTACTGTCTTCGTAGTATAGTATTCTGAGTTGCAATGTGTACACTTTAGGCAACGGACCCCAATCTTCAGTCAAGTCAAGCAGAGCTTTTAATATTTCAGAAGTGGTCTTTTTAGCATCTGAGTCATCACAATTTATGCTAAAACAGCCACAATTACAATAGGGAAGTTAAACAAAGCCTACTGAACCGATACCTATGGTCTTTGCTTAATGTTAAAGTGCAGGATGTCTTCTTTTCATAGTTGTATGTGATAGCGTAAAACTCGATAGGCTCTCCATTAGTAGTCAGGATCTCCAAAACAAGCTTTCTCATCTAAAAGGTCGTTTTACGTTAACGTTAGTTTAAGATTATTAATTAATAGGCAATTACATATTGGCTGTCGACTTCGCCAAGGGCACTCCTTATGTATCTGGTGAGCAAGTATGCTTTCTGGCACTCGTGGTTACCGGCAAGCACTTTGATCTTTCGCCCCTCCAGGTCTTTCTCGGTGTAAGCATTTTCTGGAAATATGTTCCGCACATACGTTATGCACGAGAGAGCCACACCGGTCACATATTTGACAAAAATTTTTGAATCGTAAAATGTCTTCAACGACATTGGAAAAAATGATTCCCATTCCTAAAAAATAAAAAAAGGAAAAACAAATTCTTGATATACTTACATTTTCATCAAAATTAGACAGAATGAAATCATAAAAATGATCAAATAAAACTTACTGCACATGCAGTCTTTTTAAGTTGGACCTGTAGGTTTTGCTGAGATGACATTTTTTAAAAATTAACCTCTAATAAATATTATCTTGTTCTTTATTTGAAATATTAATGATAAAGTTGAACATTTCCACCAATCACCAAGGTAAAATAATTCGAATTTGTGAACGTAAACATCCGAGATGACTGTGCCAACCCTAACTACCAGTCTAGCCAACATTTAATACGTTTAAAATATCATTTACACACGCACTTAAAACAAACTATAACGCTTCTATTAATTAATTTTAATTACAGAAAAACGAGTGATTAATTAAAAAATCGAGAGAAGCGTAATATAAATCACTTATTGAAAATAATAAAATATCGGAAGGGCCCCCTCTGTTTTCTAAATAAGTGACAATCGAAAATGAACTCCCTGTTCTAATATGGCTTTATTTTTTTATCTAATCCAATTTAACCTTTAACATTAATATGAGAATTTCATTGTTTGCAATAATACAAATTAGACTAACAGAAATATTAAAAACAAAACTTATATAAATTTGTGCTTCAGATAGTGTGTTTGTTGGCTTGTTTATGTTAACATGATTTTCTTTTTTCCCTCGAGCTGTTTGCATTTGTTTGTCTTGTGTGTCTGTACTCTGCGACTGTTTGATTTGTAAGGCCGGGCTCACAGTTCACATTTGATCCTAGAATGATCTATGGTTTCGCACGATTCAACTTTTGTTTAGTTCAGTTTCTATAAGCAGCTTATATGTTACAGAATTATACGCAATAAAGCTTTAACTATGGTGCAGGGAACTTCCAAAAATGTCGCTGACTAAATAAACTATTTTATCCTTGAGGCAAATCTATTCTACTCACACAGTATAAAGTGTAACACGTTATATTTTTTTGTGTTTAAAAGTAGAAAGTTTGAGTTTAACCAAAAATTAATCATTTTCATATCATTATTTTTAGTTTTAGTTAAATTAATTAAATTCTCACCTGAGAAAATGATACAAGTATCGTCTGCATAATTAAATATTTTTCCAAAGAATGTAATTTTCAAAAAATCATGAATGCATAAAAGAAACAAAATTGGGCCTAAGTCTGTACCTTGTGGTACTCCCGATTCAACGCGTAAAGAACTATCAACTGTTCCAACCAATTCAAGGAGTTTAAGGGATTAGAGACACCAATACACTCAACTTATGATCAACAGAGTCTAAAGCCTTTTTAATGTCCAAAAACGATCCACTAACGTAATTATCTTTATTAATTTCTTGTGAACTCGAGTTAGTAACATCGAACAAAGCCTGCTCAGTGGATCTGCCCAGAAGAAAACCATACTGTTTTGGAGAAATTATTCTATTTTCAATAAAGAAATCCAATTTTTTATTTTGTTTAGAACTTTGTATATGGATAAAGTTAATGAGATAGGCCTATAGTTATATTAACCTCTAGTTTTGAACTAGATTTAAATAATGGTATTACTAGGTTTTTTTTTTAAGCAGATAGATATTGACCAAGTGAATAGGCTAAACTAAAAATGTGTACCAAAGGTGGAATTATAAATTTAGAAATTTTTTAAGAACAAAATTATTTAAAAAGTTATCGTGAAAAGTTTTATGAAGACTTGTATAAATAAATAAATGCAAAAACATTTTGGTAGGAGTGACAAATTTGATCCAGAAAATAATAAAATAATTAGGTGCAAAGTATTATTTTTATCTGCCAGCGAGTCGAAAACATAAATTTATGATGAGTTGCAAGAATACTGTACAGGATGTTGTAATTACGCTACTGTTAATTTGGAACATGGTGGTGAAATAAACTTAAATGAGATAGGACAAATTAAGTTGGAATTGAATGAATGATTTTTTTTGTAAGGGCATAATCGGGCTAAATGATACGTGACACACGCCATTCAGGAAATAGGACTTGGTAATCATGATATGATGATATGATCGATGAATAACTTCTGGTTGTTTAGTCGGAATTATGACACTTTCCGTATTCATTCTATAAAAAGGTCAGGTTCGTAGTTCGTGGTGGTGAAGAGGGGCGGTGTATGCCGAATCCGTACGATGGGGCGGCGCACCGGGCGGTTGTTCAACTAGTGTTCCACGAGCCAGCAGTCAACATCCAGCATCCACCCGTTCTCGAAGCAACGCATGCTCAAACCCGATCGAATTAGGATTTGAATAAAACTCCCCCGGTACTCTATTTGCACGACGACCGTCTTCAGAGGCGAGTTTCTTCCCCAAGACGTTCGACAATGCCTCCGTCACGTGACAGCTGGACTCGAGACTCCTCAACCGTCAGAATTTTAGGTAACACAATTTATTTTTATACTACAAATTTTGTTTTTGTTTAATTTTATATTAACTTTCTCTTGCTAACTTGTTTAAAATAACTCAATATGACATCAAAAGAGTGGACAATGCAGTTGACCATTAACCGAAAACCACTTTTCTTTTTTACATAAAAATAAAATTGATAAAATATAAATTGTAAGTTTCGTTGCAGTTACAGGCCAAAAACAAAACACCTGTTGTATTCCTGCATACCTTCCAAACAAATCATCATCTAACTTTCACTACCTGGCCAGCTTTGTTTTAGTATCTATACTGATCAGTGATGACATTATTCACTAAAGAGTAAAAGATACTTGATTACACTATTGGTCTCTACCAAAAAATCGCAAAATGTCATATCACTATCCTACTTCTTTTCGGGATGGTTAGGGATTTATCCAAAATTTTTGAACGTATCCTCCTTAAAAGATTTATTCCTATATTTGACTCTGAAAACGTAATTCCGAACCATAAATTTGGGTTTCGACCTCTCCATTCTACTGTTCAGCAGTGCTTCAGAGTAGTCGACACGATATCTTCGGCTCTAGAAAACAAACAATACTGCTCAGCCGTATTTCTGGACGTCACGGAAGCGTTTGACCGAGTATGGCACCCCGGGCTCCTCTATAAGTTAAAAGGTATCCTCCCTCAGACTTACTACCTTATCGTGAAATCCTTCCTCTCAGATCGATGGTTTAAAGTAAGAATCGGCACCGAGTTTTCACCTATCACACCAATCAAAGCTGGCGTTCCACAAGGAAGTATCCTAGGCCCAATCCTCTACACCATCTACACTGCTGACATACCCACACATCCGAACACACAAATCACAGCCTACGCGGACGACACCGCAATCTNTATATATATATAAAAAAAAAAAAAAAAACTTCTTTTCGATCCTCTGAGATTATCAGGAATTACAGCTGGTTCGGCAACTCTTCTAAGTTAAAATTTGCTTTTTACCCGGATGTGGGTGATTAAAGTGTAAACTCTTCTGAATCGTAGGGCCAGGATGTCTCCACGGAGGTGGGATAGTGCTGAGGTCATAACAAGGTGTGTTCGCAATTTTAAGAAAGACGTTGTTTTATCGTTATTTGTTGCCGATGTTGAGATTCAACTGGTCCAAGTATGAATTAGGATATTGAGGTTAAAGAGCAGTCATTTGGCGTGGATGATAGCGGTGAATTTATCAGCAAAGTTCTCTTTCTGCACTAGTCCATGATTTAGTTTTAAGCCATCGTTTCCAGTACCAAATCGCACATTTCTCATCACTATGACACTTCCTTTCAATCTTCAGAGATTTTCAGTAATTAGAGTTCGCCAACTATCCCAAATCAAGGGTTGCCGTATTTTTATGGTGATTCGCGTGTTCTCCTGGAAAATAAGTCCAGCAAGTCTCCATGTGTGCTGAGATCATACCCAGGTGTAAGAAAGATATTACTTTGTTGTTATGTTTTTTATATGGATGTGATGCCGATGTTGAGATTCTAGACTATATGCAGTTAGTCGGAACAATGATACTGGTGAATTTATCATCCAAGTTCTCTTTCTGCAGTAATCAATGATTTAGTGTTAAGGCTCTGTTTACACTGCAAAATTGCATGATACATCATTGTGACGCTTCCTTTCAGTCCTCGCAGGTTTTCAGGAATTAGAATAGTTAGTCAACTATCTAAAGTAAAGGGTTACAGTTTCTTCCAAATTTAAAATGGTTCGCATGTTCTTCTGTACAATGGGCTCAGCAAGTCCAATTTTAAGAAAGACGATATTTTGTAGTTATATAATTTATCGGAATGTGATGCCGATATTTAGAGTAAATTGGTCCAAATACGACTGAGAACATTAACGTTAAAATTGATTCATAATTTTTATGTAAAGCGCGGTTGAGATGAAAAATTAGTGACACGAGCGGTACTCGAACCCACGACCTCTCTAACCACTTGAGCTATCGTAAGATTAAATGCAGTCAGTTTGTGCAGAACCTAGTGACTGTTTGAAGTATTCCAAACTGACACGTACATAGCAAATATACCATCAAGTTTTAAAGCCAGTCTTTCGAAGATTTAAAACTTAAATAAACTTGACCGGCTGATTAGTACAACTTGACGTCAAATTTTATCTTTTCCTCCAGCATTGCGTAACCACACCAGCTGAAACTATTGTAGTTTCCGGTAGAAAAAACAACAAATTACATTCTTATTTCAATTAATTTATCTTTTTATGTAAGGTTTTTGGTTGAAATGAACAAATTTAGTGCCACGAGTGGGATTCGAACCCACGACCTTCAACTAAATACGCAGTTGCTCTACCACTTGAGTAGAGTAATCTTTATGTAAATAAAAAGATTAATTAATTAAAAGAAGCAATTTGATTAATATACCAATAAATATGATGGATTACATTCTTGTGTTAGATAGTTGCTTATCATCTTGGTCTGCGTATCCTCGCTGATTTTTGTTGGTTCTGACGCGTTCGTAATTTCGCCATCATCAGTGTTTGGGTGATTTCTGTGCAGTTTATAAAAGAAAATTTCAAGTTATTCTGTGTTGATCCGGCAATCGGTCACTTACTGAAACCTGGAAGAACTTCCTCACTGAAGATTGCGCCAAGCGTTTGAATAACATCAGAACTATCGAGCGTGACAGACTCAATGCCGATGAACTTAAATCATTATTCCAGATCCAATCCCATTGTTAGAGTTTACAACTTCATTTTGTCCAACTTTACTCTGTAGGGTGGTGGGCTTTGGTTTGACGGTTTGTTCCACTGTTTAACGTATTTTTGTGACCAATAAATTCCATGTTGAATGATGGACCTCTCTTACAATCTGACAGCATGTTTCATTCATCTCCTCCTACGTGTATATAAACTGTGATGTTGATTGCTAAATAAAACAATTATAGAAAAGGACTTTAGAGTTTAGACCCGACGTTATTTTCAAACAGGTCATATTCGTCAGTCATCGCTGAACGACAGGAAGAAAGTAAGTCGATAGAAAACTTCAAGCCAATTTATCATGACTTCGTGCCAAACTTTGTTAGATTTCTTGTACTTAATAACCCATGACCTTTCGTATAGTTTCAAAAATATTTTCTGTTATTACAGTAGTTTTAATTTGACACAAAAATTGGGCCATTTTACAAATGTCAATCCGCACATTTTTTGAAGTTGCATTACATGCAATTAATTTTGTGATAATCGGCGAACTGTGTAAAGCTAGCTGGAGATAATTAATAAATTAAAACCTATTGTTGAACGCATGAAATTGTAAAAATTAGACACTATTTTGCATGGATGACAAACCAAACATTTTATCATCTGTGAAGATAAGATTAAAGAATACTTAGGAAATAGATGAAATAGATAAACACCAAAAAAAAGATTGTAGAGAGAGAGAGATAAAGTATCGTAAAAACGAGAAAGAGAAATGGTGAGACGGTAAGACGAAAAAAAAGAAACTGACAAAGAATACACTGATAGAGGGGAAAGAGAGAATATGTACATGTAAGAGAAAGAATGAGAAAGGGGAGATAAAAGTAAAGTGGATAAGGGAAAGAGAAGAGAAAGAGAGAGAGAAAACGAGAATGAGAAAAATACTGCACAAAATAGTTTTCACATAAAGAAAAACGTTTATATAAACTTGATACAAAAGTCAACCTCCGCTATATGAATCAAGAAATCATTCGAAACAAGAAATTATAAATTCTAATAGTTTCTAATCATAGTTGAACACTAGCTGTGTCTTTTGTGTGCGGCGGTAGAAATTAAAATAAGAAACTACTATATGCACAAATTAGCGCTTAATTAAATGACTTTCACGTACAGCACAAAGACGTAAAATAATAATAAAGTGGGAAGTTTATGGGCCGACAAAAAGCTGATCTCATCGCCGGCCCTCTGCGTGTTTTCCTTCTTTTTATCTTCTTTTGCGCGTGTTTTGTTTTAAACTGCAGCCATTCGAGCGTCTCGATCTGGTTACTGACTCTCTGATTTCAAATATATACTACGTTGATATCCTGGAATGCTAGTCTCTCGTTTCTGCCTCAGGTTGTAAAATACTAAATGGAAACAAAACATACAATACATATATATACATCACCACAAACATAGATGGCTGGTCACATTCACTCAAATTACTTTTACTCCCCAGACGTCATACACTCACCCTAGATTACTCGACATTCCTCGTGGCGGCGTTATAAGCAACCACTTCCTTTCACGCTAATAAGTTACTTTTACTCTCCAGACGTCATACACTCACCACAGAATACTCGATATACCTTGGGCGGGGTTATAAGCAACCCCTTCCTTTCACGCTAATAAATTACATTCATTCCAATAAATTAACATAAAGTCAAACAAAGACACAACACAAACATACAATAAAAAACTATATACATTTAAAAATCCCTATAGCCCCGAGGTACCGGAACAGCGATCTGGGCCCGCTGCCGTGCGTTATTCTTGTATGAACTATGCGTAGTCTTGTAAGTATGGCCTTTTCCCCTTGTCGAACCGTTCTCCGTGGACCAGGGACCGACTAATTTCTTAACCTGCCACAGTTTAAAAGGGGTATTTCTATTTCTACGGGCCTAGCGGTTTTCCCATTCTCTTTTAACAGAATTTGAAATTTTAACGATGAACTAGATTATCGACCTGCTGGATACAAGAAGTCTTTTCAGAAGATCTTCGGAAGAGGTCAAAACAGAGAAAACTTCCTTACGGCTTTCGAATTTGAAATAGTTTTAGGTCCACTTGGTGTAAAAAAAGACGTAAAAGTTACTATTCGCAAAAAGCGACCGCGATGATGACGTAGTTAACAAACCAGCATTGTATAAGTAAGGGCTAGATATAAAAAAAGAAAGGAAAGCTCGGCAAAGATGAGTATTCTTTTGAAAAGGGCGTTGGGTGGAAAATTAAGACATTAGACGCGAGATTAAACGGGCCTGTAGCCATATCGTCACTCCTCAAACAAG